GTATTTGACCCCTCTGCAAAACATGACTTAGTACTTGGTGGCAAAACCCTTGTTGGCAATCACAGAGGTCAGACTTTTCTTGTAGTTGGCCACCAGGTTTGCACACATCTCAGGAGGGATTTTGTCCCACTCTTCTTTGCAGATCTTCTCAAAGTCATTAAGGTTTCGAGGCTGATGTTTGGCAACTCGAACCCTCAACTCCCTCCAAAGATTTTCTATGGGATTAAGGTCTGGAGACTGGCTAGGCCACTCCAGGACCTTAATGTGCTTCTTCTTGAGCCACTCCTTTGTTGCCTTGGCCGTGGGTTTTGGGTCATTGTCATGCTGGAATACCCATCCACGACTCATTTTCAATGCCCTGGCTGAGGGAAGGAGGTTCTCACCCAAGATTTGACGGTACATGGCCCCATCCATCGTCCCTTTGATGCAGTGAAGTTGTCCTGTCCCCTTAGCAGAAAAAACACCCCCAAAGCATAATGTTTCCACCTCCATGTTTGACGGTGGGGATGGTGTTCTTGGGGTCATAGGCAGCATTCCTCCTCCTCCAAACACGGCGAGTTGAGTTGATGCCAAAGAGCTCAATTTTCGTCTCATCTTACCACAACACTTTCACCCAGTTCTCCTCTGAATCATTCAGATTTTCATTGGCAAACTTCAGACGGGCATGTATATGTGCTTTCTTGAGCAGGGGGACCTTGCGGGCGCTGCAGGATTTCAGTCCTTCACGGCGTAGTGTGTTACAAATTGTTTTATTGGTGACTATGGTCCCAGCTACCTTGAGATCATTGACAAGATCCTCCCATGTAGTTCTGGGCTGATTCCTAACCGTTCTCATGATCATTGCAACTCCACGAGGTGAGATCTTGCATGGAGCCCCAGGCCGAGGGAGATTGACAGTTCATTTGTGTTTCTTCCATTTGCGAATAATCACACCAACTGTTGTCACCTTCTCACCAAGCTGCTTGGCGATGGTCTTGTAGCCCATTCCAGCCTTGTGTAGGTCTACAATCTTGTCCCTGACATCCTTGGAGAGCACTTTGGTCTTGGCCATTGTGGAGAGTTTGGAATCTGATTGATTGATTGCTTCTGTGGACAGGTGTCTATTAAACAGGTAACGAGCTGAGATTAGGAGCACCCCCTTTAAGAATGTGCTCCTAATCTCAGCTCGTTACCTGTATAAAAGACACCTGGGAGCCAGAAATCTTTCTGATTGAGAGGGGGTCAAATACTTATTTCCCTCATTAAAATGCAAAATCAATTTATAACATTTTGGACATGCGTTTTCTGGATTTTTTTGTTGTGATTCTGTCTCTCACTGTTCAAATAAACCTACCATTAAAATTATAGACTGATCATTTCTTTGTCAGTGGGCAAATGTACAAAATCAGCAGGGGATCAAATACTTTTTTCCCTCACTGTATGTTACCATATGCCCGAATTGACTTAGTTTACATGTGATTCTAGGTCACAAACAACTCTGTTCTGTGTGATTACGTGGTTAGCTTGACCTAGTTTACTTCTCCCAAGTCATTGTGATGTGACGCAGTACAGTACGGGTGCCGAAAAAGGTGCTGAGAGAGAGAGACAAGCAGAGAAGTGGGACGTTCTTCAGGGCTTTCCCAGGAAACTATGGAATCTGTCAAGTTGTTACTAACAAACAGCAATTCTGACTGACAAGCAAGAAGAAACAACAGCAGTCATTTGACTGTGGCATCCCTAATGGTGCGTTCTTATATAAACCTTACTCCGACTTGTAGCATGTCTGTCTGTCCGTCCGTCTGTCTCTCTGTCTGTCAGGAACTCCATTCGTTCCAAAACCCAAATCACTTTGTGAACATTCTGAGTAGGCTAATTATCCACCCCCTCTTTTTGCCCCGAATCTGAGTTCGGTTCCAACTTCCAAGCAAGTCAGTGCCCGAGGCATGTTGCTATGTGTCAGTCCCCTACATACTTCTGATGCTTATTCACTATTGTTTTCACAGGAAAGCTGACGGTGAGGACTTTGAGTGACTGTGTCTTGCCAGGGAAGAGAACACTCTCTACACAGAGTCAAGTAACAGCGCAGACATTTACAACATACAGTACCAGTCAAAAGTTTGGACACACCTACTCATTCAAGGGTTTTTCTTTATTTTTACTATTTTCTACAATGTAGATTAATAGTGAAGACATCAAAACTATGACATAACACATATGGAATCCTGTAGTAACCAAAAAAGTGTTAAACAAATCTAAATAGATTTTAGATTTTAGATTCTTCAAAGTAGCCACCCTTTGCCTTGATGACAGCTTTGCATACTCTTGGCATTCTCTCAACCAGCTTCATGAGGAATGCTTTTACAACAGTCTTGAAGGAGTTCCCACATATGCTGAGCACTTGTTGGCTGCTTTTCCTTCACTCTGCGGTCCAACTCATCCCAAACCATCTCAATTGGGTTGAGGTCGGGTGATTGTGGAGGCCAGGTCATCTGATGCAGTACTCCATCACTCTCCTTCTTGATCAAATAGCCCTTACACAGCCTGGAGGTGTGTTTTGGATCATTGTCCTGTTGAAAAACAGATGATAGTCCTACTAAGCGCAAACCAGATGGGATGGTGTATCGCTGCAGAATGCTGTGGTAGCCATGCTGGTTAAGTGTGCCTTGAATTCTAAATAAATCACTGACAGTGTCACCAGCAAAGCACCCCCACGCCATAACACCTCCTCCTCCATGCTTCATGGTGGGACCCACACATGCAGAGATCCTCCGTTCACCTACTCTGCGTCTCACAAAGACACGGTGGTTGGAACCAAAAATCTCAAATTTGGACTCATCAAAACAAAGGACAGATTTCCACAGGTCTAATGTCAATTTCTTGTGTTTCTTGGCCCAAGCAAGTCTCTTCTTCTTATTGGTGTCCTTTAGTAGTGGTTTCTTTGCAGCAATTTGACCATGAAGGCCTGATTCACACAGCCTCCTCTGAACAATTGATGTTGAGATGTGTCTGTTACTTAAACTCGGTGAAGCATTTATTTGGGCTGCAATTTCTGAGGCTGGTAACTCTAGTGAACTTATCCTCTGCAGCAGAGGTAACTCTGGGTCTTCCTTTCCATAGCGATTGATGGTTTTTGCAACTGCACTTGAATAAACTTTCAAAGTTCTTGAAATGTTCCGTATTGATTGAGCTTCATGTCTTAAAGTAATGATGGACTGTCGTTATCTTCTGTATACCACCCCTACCTTGTCACAACACAACTGATTGGCTCAAACACATTAAGAAGGAAATAAATTCCACAAATTAACTTTTAACAAGGCACACCTGTTAATTGTAATGCATTCCAGGTTACTACCTCATGAAGCTGGTTGAGAGAATGCCAAGAGTGTGCAAAGGGTGGCTATTTTAAGAATAAATATGTAAAATATATTTTGATTTGTTTAACACTTTTTTGGTTACTACATGATTCCATATGTGTTATTTAATAGTGTTGATGTCTTCACTATTATTCTACCATGTAGAAAATAGTACAAATAAAGAAAAACCCTTGAATGAGTAGGTGTCCAAACTTTTGACTGGTACTGTATATTTTCCTTTGAAGAAACAACAGGGGCTTCATTTATCAACCGTGCGTAAATGTCTTACTCAATGCTGGCGTACGTGGACCTTATAGCATTTGCATGCACCACAAATGATTGGGATTTATCAAACTGGGATTTATCAAAATCAGAGCCATACTACAGTATATTTGTGGGCTCATGAATGAGCGATAAAAACCCGCCTGGAAAACACTCATTCAACTTTTATGGTAACAAAAACACCATCATTTGCTGTATGATTTGGAGATGTTGGAACTGGGCCATGATAGTTACTAAAAGAAATCCCAATTGCAAATTTGATTACATTTCTGTAGAGGTGTGGGCAGAATGTTTTAATATTTTCTTTGGAGGGCAGAATGTTTTATTCTTTTCTTGGGGGGGCAAAATGTTGTAATATTTTCTTGGGGGGACAGAATGTTTTAATATTTTCTTGGGGGGGCAGAATGTTTTAATATTTTCTTGGGGGGGCAGAATGTTTTAATATTTTCTTGGGGGGGCAGAATGTTTTAATATTTTCTTGGGAGGGCAGAATGTTTTAATATTTTCTTGGGGGGGGCAGAATGTTTTAATATTTTCTTGGGGGGGCAGAATGTTTTAATATTTTCTTGGGGGGGCAGAATGTTTTAATCTTTTCTTGGAGGGGCAGAATTTTTAATCTTTTTTAAACAAAAAACGCATGCCGCCTATAGCAAACATTGGCCGCGCATTCTGAAAGATTGATCGTCCTTTCGAACAATTTAAAAGTAAATGCTACAGCCCACACTTCTATGCAAAAGACGAATTGCTGTTCAATATTTCGTTTTTCAATAGATTATTATGTTTCTATCTCCTGCCTTGGTATTGGCTCTGAGATTAAATAGGCTAGGCAATGATGTCACGCTTCAATCTCACAGCAATACTGTAGCCTACCCATACTGCCAAAGACTGTCAAGGCTACCGGTGTATTTACTTTCAAGCATGCTTGGCTATTGAATGAGTGATATATAAATAGTAAACTAATATTTGTTGTGTAACGGGAATAAACCAGTCATGTCAGAAAAGGAGAGACATGTCCTGCAATATGATTATGATTTATACTTATATAATAAAAGTTGAATAAATATATTATACAACATGCTGCTAAGCAATCTACTGTACTTACCAACAGCAAATGGATCTGTTTTATCACTAGGCCAATGTTTTAATGTTTTTATTAGCCTACCATTATTAGAATTACCAAACATCAAACACCTCAATTTCCCCCAAAATAACAATATTTGCTTGCAGTACAGTTGATCAACCACTAGAAGTTGTGCCCACGCATGGTTTGAGATTTGCATTGAGATACGCACACTTTCCCGTCAAGTTCAAAACTGATCAATGCCATCTTTTGCGGGGAAAAAGTTGCACGCAAGGTTTGAGTATTTTTTGTGCGAACACACCTTGATAAATGAGGCCCCAGGTCTCTTACATAACTTACCCAGTGGAATCAGACTGTTTTAAAAAATCAAATTTCATACTATGGTATTATGGCTAAGTATTGAAATTGGAATCGTATAAAGCCTTATATCACTGTGAAATCAAATCTCAGGTTATTTATACATTTCTCTGTTCTCTCATTTGTTTTTCCCTCTAGGGCATCTAAGGCTCCATATCAAACTCTTCCTTTATCTGCAAGTGAGTGTTGATGACATTTTAGGCAGAGCATAACATAGCATAGAAAAGCATAGAATAGCATACAGTGGGGAAAAAAAGTATTTAGTCAGCCACCAATTGTGCAAGTTCTCCCACTTAAAAAGATGAGAGAGGCCTGTAATTTTCATCATAGGTACACGTCAACTATGACAGACAAATTGAGAGAAAAAAAATCCTGAAAATCACATTGTAGGATTTTTTATGAATTTATTTGAAAATGATGGTGGAAGATAAGTATTTGGTCACCTACAAACAAGCAAGATTTCTGGCTCTCACAGCCCTGTAACTTCTTCTTTAAGAGGCTCCTCTGTCCTCCACTCGTTACCTGTAATAATGGCACCTGTTTCAACTTGTTATCAGTATAAAAGACACCTGTCCACAACCTCAAACAGTCACACTCCAAACTCCACTATGGCCAAGACCAAAGAGCTGTCAAAGGACACCAGAAACAAAATTGTAGACCTGCACCAGGCTGGGAAGACTGAATCTGCAATAGGTAAGCAGCTTGGTTTGAAGAAATCAACTGTGGGAGCAATTATTAGGAAATGGAAGACATACAAGACCACTGATAATCTCCCTCGATCTGGGGCTCCACGTAAGATCTCACCCCGTGGGGTCAAAATGATCACAAGAACGGTGAGCAAAAATCCCAGAACCACACGGGGGGACCTAGTGAATGACCTGCAGAGAGCTGGGACCAAAGTAACAAAGCCTACCATCAGTAACACACTACGCCGCCAGGGACTCAAATCCTGCAGTGCCAGACGTGTCCCCCTGCTTAAGCCAGTACATGTCCAGGCCCGTCTGAAGATTGCTAGAGTTCATTTGGATGATCCAGAAGAGGATTGGGAGAATGTCATATGGTCAGATGAAACCAAAATATAACTTTTTGGTAAAAACTCAACTCGTCGTGTTTGGAGGACAAAGAATGCTGAGTTGCATCCAAAGAACACCATACCTACTGTGAAGCATGGGGGTGGAAACATCATGCTTTGGGGCTGTTTTTTTGCAAAGGGACCAGGATGACTGATCCGTGTAAAGGAAAGAATGAATGGGGCCATGTATCGTGAGATTTTGAGTGAAAACCTCCTTCCATCAGCAAGGGCATTGAAGATGAAACGTGGCTGGGTCTTTCAGCATGACAATGATCCCAAACACACCGCCCGGGCAACGAAGGAGTGGCTTTGTAAGAAGCATTTCAAGGTCCTGGAGTGGCCTAGCCAGTCTCCAGATCTCAACCCCTTAGAAAATCTTTGGAGGGAGTTGAAAGTCCGTGTTGCCCAGCGACAGCCCCAAAACATCACTGCTCTAGAGGAGATCTGCATGGAGGAATGGGCCAAAATACCAGCAACAGTGTGTGAAAACCTTGTGAAGACTTACAGAAAACGTTTGACCTGTGTCATTACCAACAAAGGGTATATAACAAAGTATTGAGAAACTTTTGTTATTGACCAAATACTTATTTTCCACCATAATTTGCAAATAAATTCATAAAAAATCCTACAATGTGATTTTCTGGATTTTCTTTTCTCATTTTGTCTGTCATAGTTGACGTTTACCTATGATGAAAATTACAGGCCTCTCTCATCTTTTTAAGTGGGAGAACTTGCACAATTGGTGGCTGACTAAATACTTTTTTTCCCCACTGTAGCAAAGCATAGCATAAACTAAGCAGCTAACATTCTCAAAAACTATGCAATTTGGACAATAAATACAATAAAGTTGCTTAACAACTTTACTTCCTCCTCCCAGATCAGCTGATCTGAGAGCTGTGATGTCGGCGTATGGACAGACCCAGTACAGCCCCGGCCTCCAGCCTGCGGTACCCTATCCACCATACACACACCACGCCCAGGGCTACGGAATGCCCTCCTACAGTGAGTACCCGGCATTTCATTCAATACCGGGGGTGAAGAGGAGGGATATGACTGTTTAAGAGATGCCTTGAAAGTTGTAAGGCATCTAAGGCAGCGTGAATAGGTATCAAATTGTATTTAATTTTATTTGTCACATGATAAAAAGAATAACACAAGGAATAAATACACAATGAAAAACGATAACTCAGCTATATACATACAGTACACGGGATGCCAGTATGCCTCTCTGTAAAATCCAGTGTAACCAGTGTCAGTAACTGAATCCAGTGTGGATGATTCTGTTTGTCCTTTCCTCTGCAGACATAAAGACAGAGGATGGCCTCAGCCTCTCTCCAGGACAGAACAGTCTCTACTCTAACTACAGCAACACTCCCCCCAGCCAGGGCCTCTATAGCTACTCCACACACGGTCATTCACGTCCGTCCTTCTCATCACGCACACAAACACACACACCCACACACACACACCACAACGACTCCACACACACACACACACAAACAGCCACCACAAATACCCACACATATCAGTCGTACTCCCTCCCTCACTCTGTCTCTCTCCACCTATCTGTGCCTTTCTCTCTGATCTCTCCTCTTCTCTTGGTGTGTTTCTCTCTGATCTCTCCTCTTCTCTTTGTGTCTTTTCATGATCTCTTTCTCTTTATGTGGTTTCTCTCTGATTCTCCACTCTCTTGTGTGTTTCTTGATATCTAACTCTCTATTGTTTGTCTTTTGTTGCGAGCGCGAGAGACGGATAGATAGATAAGAGCTCTGAGAGGAGATATAAGAATTCTAGATATGGAACGGAGTATCTCGGATATCTCTTGTCTTCTCTCTGCTCTCCTCTATCTCTATGTCTCTCTCTCTCTTCTTCTCTATGTCTCTCTAGTCTCTCTCTCTCTCTCTCTCTCTCTCTCTCTCTCTCTCTCTCTCCTCTCTCTCTCTCTCTCTCTCTCTCCTCTCTCTCTCTCCTTTCCTTTCTCACACACACTCTCTTTCCTTCTCTCTCTTGCTGAGATCTATTCTCTTTTCTATGGCCTCGCTCCCTCTCTTTCATTCTCTCTCTGATCTCTCCATCACTACGGGCCAGTGAGTCCTGGCGTTTCCAGGTGGGTGTCCTTAGCAGTGCCCATCTGTCCTCCTCCACACCTGTTCTCCATTAGCTGCGGTCTGGGTGCCTGGCGTCAGCCCCTTTCCTCCCACCACACCCACAACACACAGCCCAGGCTCAGACCAGCATGTGGGTGTGTGCGTGGGGGGGTGGCGGGTGGGGGGGCATGTGGGTGTGTAAGAGAGAGAGTATACGTGCGTCAATGTGTGCGTGTGTATGCTTGCGTGTGTGTGTCTGCACACATGCGTGGTTGTGTACTATGTGTGTGTCTGTGCTCCACACATTCCCCAGTTCTTTGGCGCCCAAAGCATGCTTGGCTCAGTGGGACTTGATGGATTTCAAAGCAGCGTGAAATTGACCCTGCTCTGTCAGAGGCTAGAGGTCAAGGTGCATGTTGTGGTGCTCGGAGGGGAGGCTAATGGAAGAACTACATGGACTCACTGACAGGGGAATCCAAGGCCACTGTTAACAGGATCGTATTAATGAGTATGCACCGTAGCAAAACCTTTTGCAATGAAAAACTGTTCAGGTTTTTCTTCTGTTTGGTGCCACATTGATACATCATCAATAGAATCCACATTGATACATCATCAAAGAGGATTGTGTATTTGTCTTGGTCTATATTTTGTAGTTTTAGCTTGGACTAAATGGTCTGTTCCAGCTTCAGCCAGCTACCGTTGTTTGGACTAAATGGTAGTCTGTTCCAGCCAGCTACCGTTGCTTGGTCTAAATGGTAGTCTGTTCCAGCCAGCTACCGTTGCTTGGTCTAAATGGTAGTCTGTTCCAGCTTCAGCCAGCTACCGTTGCTTGGACTAAATGGTAGTCTGTTCCAGCCAGCTACCGTTGCTTGGTCTAAATGGTAGTCTGTTCCAGCCAGCTACAGTTGCTTGGTCTAAATGGTAGTCTGTTCCAGCTTCAGCCAGCTACCGTTGCTTGGACTAAATGGTAGTCTGTTCCAGCCAGCTACCGTTGCTTGGTCTAAATGGTAGTCTGTTCCAGCTTCAGCCAGCTACCGTTGCCGTCAGAAAGCAAGACTGAAACACTGGTATTCCAGCAATCTGAAACCATGACAGCTGATGAACACATGGGAAAACTCTCATGTGTTTTAATACAGGTAAACAAAATCTAGAGTGGCTTGAAACAAGCTCCCATGGCAACTCCATGTACAAGACCACTAGACCTCTCCTCCCTCCCACACACACACACGCACGCAAGTAAGCGCACACAAACACACCACACACACTACACTACACACTACACGCTACATACTACACACTACAAATTACACACTACACACTACACCACAGAGGAGAAACCAAATCAGAACCAGAATTCCACTGTTTATTTGGAAACCTTCTGGTTTCTGTTGTTGTTGCTTTGAAGAGTATGTTGTGTGGTCCTAGATGACTCCCGGGTGGTTCTGGGTAGTCATTCATCTATCATTGAGTCTTGGGGTGGATGGATGGATGGATGGATGGAGGGGTAACAAACAAGTGTGGCCGGGGAAAAGAGCCCGGAGGAAGGCATTCCTTCAGCAGAGTTGATAACACTGATGGAGTAACTAGCTAGCGCACCAGGCTTCCCCCACCTGCATTGTTGTTGTTGGGACTCATAAATCAAGCGCCATACTCCCTGAGGACTGGCTTGTCACTGGAGGGGTTGAGGCAATTCAATGTTATGAGGCCAGTCGTGAAGCTACTTCGGTGATAAGTGTTAAGGTGATTACATTACGATACAGGTGTAGGATCTTAATTTGCTCACTCTGTTGTTGCTGAGAGTTTTCCTGCGCTGCAGGAAATGAAGATGAGCTTCGTGATTTACTTAAATTCACAGAAAACCTGGACTAAAACATGGTTATATTAACAGTATAGCACATGTAGCCTAATTTTGGTCAGCTAATAGCCTAACCACCGATCAAGCAACATTATGGACTAAACGTTCAAATCCTGTTGCTGCAGGATTATTTTTCTATTACAATACTGGTCAAATTAAGATCCTATATCTCTATGTGTTGGGCCAACTAGGGTTGCAAAAGTCCGGTAACTTTCCCAAAATTCTCATGTTTTCCAGAGGCGTTCATATTTTTCTGATTATTTCCTTCTGATTCCGAAAATCTTCCTATCAGGATTTCTGGAAAAACTGTGCATTTTTGGAAAGTTACCAGAATTTTGCAATTGTTGTCTCACAATATTGACCTCATTCCGTCAGTAGAGGATGCCTGGTTGTTCTTTAAAAGTGCTTTCCTCTCCATCTTAAATAAGCATGCCCCATTCAAAAAAGTAAGAACTAAGAACAGATATAGCCCCTGGTTCACCCCAGACTTGACTGCCCTTGACCAGCACAAAAACATCCTGTGGCGTACGGCATTAGCATCAAACAGCCCCCGCGATATGCAACTTTTCAGGGAAGTCAGGAACTAATATACACAATGAGTTAGGAAAGCAAAGGCTAACTTTTTCAAACAGAAATTTGCATCCTGTAGCACTAACTCCAAAAAGTCCATGGAGAATAAGAGCACCTCCTCCCAGCTGCCCACTGCACTGAGGCTAGGAAACACTGTCACTACCGATAAATCTAAGATAATCGAATATTTCAACAAGCATTTCAACAAGGCCCCTACCCCGGCCACCAGCTCTCCCCCCCCCCCCCGCCGCTTCTACTTCACCCAAATTCAGACAGCTGATGTTCTGAAAGAGCTGCACAATCTGGACCCCTACAAATCAGCTGGGCTAGACAATCTGGACCCTTTCTTTCTAAAATTAGCCGCCGAAATTGTCGCAACCCCTATCACCAGCCTGTTCAACCTCTCTTTCATATCGTCTGAGATCCCCAGAGATTGGAAAGCTGCCGCGGTCATCCCCCTCTTCAAAGGGTGTGACACTCTAGATCCAAACTGTTACAGACCTATATCCATCCTGCCCTGCCTTTCGAAAGTATTTGAAAGCCAAGTTAACAAACAGATCACCGACTATTTAGAATCCCACCGTACCTTCTCCGCAATGCAATCTGGTTTCCGAGCTGGTCATGGGTGTATCTCAGCCACGCTCAAGGTCCTAAACGATATAATAACTGCGATCAATAAAAGACAGTACTGTGCAGCCATCTTCATCGACCTGGCCAAGGCTTTTGACTCTGTCAATCACCGCATTCTTATTGGCAGACTAAATAGCCTTGGTTTCTCAAATGACTGCCTCGCCTGGTTCACCAACTACTTCTCAGATAGAGTTCAATGTGTCAAATCGGAGGGCCTGTTGTCTGGACCTCTGGCAGTGCCACAGGGTTCAATTCTCGGGCCGACTCTATTCTCTGTGTATATCAATGATGTCGCTCTTGCTGCTGGTGACGCTCAGATCCACCTCTAGTCGCCTGCCCGACTAGAATCACTACTCTCGGCGGGTCTGACTTAGAATATGTGGACAACTACAAATACCTAGGTGTCTGGTTAGACTGTAAACTCTCTTTCCAGACTCACATTAAGCATCTCCAATCCAAAGTTAAATCTAGAATCGGCTTCCTATTTCGCAACAAAATGCCTTCGCTCATGCTGCTAAACATGCCCTCGTAAAACTGACTATCCTACCGATCCTTGACTTCAGCAATGTCATTTACAAAATAGCTTCCAACACTCTACTCAGCAAATTGGATGTAGTCTATCACAGTGCCATCCGTTTTGTCACCAAAGCCCCATATACTACCCACCATTGTGACCTGTACGCTCTCGTTGGCTGGCCCTCACTACATATTCGTCGCCAAACCCACTGGCTCCAGGTCATCTATAAATCCCTCCTAGGCAAATCCCCGCCTTATCTTAGCTCATTGGTCACTTTAGCAACACCCACCCGTAGTATGCGTTCCAGCAGGTATATCTCACTGGTCATCCCCAAAGCCAACACCTCCTTTGGCCGCTATTCCTTCCAGTTCTCTGGTGCAAATGACTGGAACGAACTGCAAAAATCTCTGAAACTGGAGACACTTATTTCCCTCACTATCTTTAAGCATCAGTTGTCAGAGCAGCTTACCGATCACTGCACCTGTACACAGCCCATCTGTAATTAGCCCACCCAACTACCTCATCCCCATATTGTTATTTACATTGTTATTTATTTTGCTCATTTGCACCCCAGTATCTCTATTTGCACATCATCTTCTGCACATCTATCACTCCAATGTTAATACTGAATTATAATTGTAATTATTTTGCACTATGGCCTATTTATTGCCTTACCTCCATAACTTACTACATTTGCACACACTGTATATAGATTTTCTATTGTGTTATTGACTGTACATTTTGTTTATTCCATATGTAACTCTGTGTTGTTGTTGTTTTTCCCGCACTGCTTTGCTTAATCTTGGCCAGGTCGCAGTTGTAAATGAGAACTTGTTCTCAACTGGCTTACCTGGTTAAATAAAGGTTAAATAAAAAATAAATAAAACAATTCACTAAGTGTACATAGTTACAAATTCTATTGTATTGCTCCATAATGAGTGCTAATTGACTGATATACTTGAATGATAGGTATTCTATTTCTGTTGAGTTACATTTGACTGCCTTGCATTCTTGAATTTTCCTGCTTTGTTTCCATTCATTATAAACATCTCTTTCAAGGGATACATTAACAATAAACAGATTTTTCCATTGAAGCTTTCAGTAGAAGTCCAATTTCTGAGTGAGTCTGTTTTTAATGTTGGTTTAATGTTGTTTTCCAGGTAGCAGTATTTCATCTGGGATTTTCCAGGGAGCCAACCCCATCACAGGCTCAACTCCATTCAACACCACACAACAGGTAAGTACCAGATGTAATACGCAAGACATTACAAACGAAAACAGCTTTCTTTCGCGGTGCACCAAGTGTCCAAATAGCTGGGATAGAATGAAATGAGTTTGGAATACTGCAACTTACAATTGTATGTGCCACACATTTTCAAGCTTTCTGCAATAACGTCCTTCATGAGGGCATCGTAAAAATATGTTTTTTGTTTGTTGATATTGTCCAGATATAAGTATTGACTGAATAATAGTATGAAAATAAAAAATGTATGCTATCACTAACTGTAAGTCGCTCTGGATAAGAGCGTCTGCTAAATGACTAAAATCTCAAATGTAAAAAATAAATAATCCAGTCAATTATTTCAAATAAAATAAAATAGTATTTGTCACATGCGCCGAATACAACAAGTGTAGACTTTACAGTGAAACGCTTACTTATGAGCACTTTCCCAACAATGCAGTTAAAAAGTAAGACAATTAATAAATAGATCAAAGAAAATAGTAAGACAATAAAATTACGATAAAATAACGAGGCTATATACAGGCTATATACAAGGAGTGGTACTGGTGGTACCGAGTCAGTGTACTGGGGACGAGGTAGTTGGGGTGATTGATTGAGGTACTATGTACATGTACAGTGCCTTCGGAAAGTATTCAGACCCCTTGACTTTTTCCAAATGTTGTTATGTTACAGCCTTATTCTAAAATGGATTAAGTAAAAAATATATATATCATTAATCTACACACAATACCCCATAATGACAAAGCAAAAACAGGTTTTTAGAAATGTTATCAAATGTATTACAAATAAAAAACAGAAATACCTTATTTACGTAAGTATTCAGACCCTATGCTATGAGATTCGAAATTGAGCTCAGGTGCATCCTGTTTCCATTGATCGTCCTTGAGATGTTTCTTCAACTTGATTGGAGTCCACCTGTGGTAAATTCAATTGATTGGACATGATTTGGAAAGGCACACACCTGTCTATATAAGGTCCCACAGTTGACAGTGCATGTCAGAGCAAAAACCAAGCCATGAGGTCAAAGGAATTGAGACAGGATCATGTTGAGGCACAGATTTGGGGAAGGGTACCAAAACATTTCTGCAGCATTGAAGGTCCCCAAGAACACAGAGGCCTCCATCATTCTTAAATGGAAGACATTTCGTACCACCAAGACTCTTCCTAGAGCTGCCCCCACGGCCAAACTGAGCAATCGGGGGAGAGGGGCCTTGGTTAGGGAGGTGACCAAGAACCCGATGAGCACTCTGACAGAGCTCCAGAGTTCCACTGTGGAGATGGGAGAACCTTCCAGAAGGACAACCATCTCTGCAGCACTCCACCAATCAGGCCTTTATGGTATAGTGGCCAGACGGAAGCCACTCCTCAGTAAAAGGCACATGACAGCCCGCTTGGAGTTTGCCAAAAGGCACCTAAAGGACTCTCACACCATGAGAAACAAGATTCTCTGGTCTGATGAAACCAAGAATGAACTCTTTGGCCTGAATGCCAAGCGTCATGTCTGGAGGAAACCTGGCACCATCCCTACGGTGAAGCATGGTGGTGGCAGCATCATGCTGTGGGGATGTTTTTCAGCGGCAGGGACTGGGAGACTAGTCAGGATCGAGGTTAAGATGAATTGAGCAAAGTACAGAGTACCTAGTCCAGAGTACTCAACCTCAGACTGGGGCGAAGGTTCACCTTCCAACAGGACAACAACCTTAAGCACACAGCCAAGACAACACAGGAGTGGCTTCGGGACAAGTCTCTGAATGTCCTTGAGTGGCCCAGCCAGAGCCCGGACTTGAACCCGATCTAACATCTCTGGAGAGACCTGAAAATAGCTGTGCAGCGACTCTCGCCATCAAACCTAACAGAGCTTGAGATGATCTGCAGAGAGGAATGGTAGAAACTACCCAAATACAGGTGTGCCAAGCTTGTAGCGTCATACCCAAGAAGACTCAATGCAGTAATCGCTGCCAAAGGTGCTTCAACAAAGTACTGAGTAAAGGGTCTGAATACTTTTTGCTAAAATGTCTAAAAACCTGTTTTTGCTTTGTCATTATAGGGTATTGTGTGTAGATTGATGAGGGGAAAAAACGATTTAATCCATTTTAGAATAAGGCTGCAATGTAACAAAATGTGGAAAAAGTCAAGGGGTCTGAATACTTCCCGAATGCGCTATATGTAGGGGAGAAAAGCAAAAGGTAGCCGCTTACAGTTTTTTACAATCACTTTGGCACTAATTTCAAAACCTTGACGTCATTTTTCAAAACTCTAGACACAAAACTCACAACCAATGATCAAAATGCACATTTTTCAAAACTCTAACACTTTTTTTCAATTGCTTGGATACAATACACATAAAACTAAGATCATTTGTTCATTTAACAAAAATCACCTGTTCAATATGACACAGCTTAACATCAAATAACTACTATTTCAAAAGGCAATTCACACATTACATTTCAGATGAGTGTCTATTCATTTCATTACAATTATCCAACTATCAATTGATACAACTGCTCAAAATGCTAAGTAACTGTTGCATTACTCTTAATGCATAGTCGTATGGAAACAGACAAACAATATCCCATGTTTAGATCATGAAAGTTTCAAGATAACGAGATTCATTGTCACCAATTAGCGTGGAGCATGAACCAATTAGACTACATTATCTATGGATGTAATATTTCATCATCATTCTTTATCAGACACCGTTTCTATGGTCCCATGTACCACCTTTTCAGACTATTTACAGTATTGACAGTACTGCACTGTATGGATGCAGGCCCTTGTAATTGCTTCTCCAATTCTGCCAACGTGTTACTGATGATTGAGTTCACATTGTGGAACTGGAATTGATTGGGATCCACTTGCAACAACATAGCGATACGTACTGTAACATGGAGCTGGCAGGTGATCCAGGTCACAATAGAGGTCAAGCAGCGGTGGGAAGAAGATGAGGAAGACGTGTTGGTCAAAGGAATGGCAGGGGACAAGCACCCCTTCTGAGAGGTGGTCGTGGGCCTCGTTTGAGAGGTGTGGGGGAACGTGGTAGAGGACAAGGCCACGGACCAAGACAGCGGCAGCAACAGCAAAGAGTGTCCAATGAAATCCGAGCAATAGTTGTAGACCATGTCATAAATCATGGCATGACAATGACTGAGGCGGCTACAATGATACAACCAAACCTCAAAAGGTCAACCGTGGCCTCAATAATTAGAACTTTCCGCAATGAGAAATGGTAAGTAGTCAGCATGCACTAAACATTATGCTTCTCTCAATTGTCAAATGACTGCATACCCATGTGTATCACAGAGTAGGTGATGTGACTAAGTGTCTTCTTACTGTAATGTTTCCTGTAGAATTGAGACTAGGCCAAATAGGGGAGGCAGAGGCAAAATTCTGACTGACCAACAAGAGCAGGCTGTGGTCAATTTGGTTCGGGCCAGAAATGATATTCGCCTTACAGACATTCGCCAGCATATCTTGGACAATGAAGACATGTTTAACAATGTGGAATCCATAAGTTTGCCGACTATTGCACGCATGCTGAGAAGGCACCAGGTGTCTTTAAAAGAACTATACCGTGTGCCTTTTGAAAGAAATGCAGACAGAGTGAAGCAAATGAGGACTGAGTATGTTCAGGTATGTTCAGTTTCAAGATTGCTGTTGTAATAAAATTCCCTAATAATTCTACATTGTACAGTAATCAGTAAATCTCTTTCCAAAATGTATTTTTAGAAGGTGATGGAGCTGGATGCTGATGACAACCATCACAAATTCATATATTTGGATGAGGCAGGCTTTAACCTGGCCAAGACAAGGAGGAGAGGTCGGAATTTCATTGGCCAGCGGGCAACCATCCAAGTACCTGGACAACGTGGGGCCAACATTACAATGTGTGCGGCTATATGAGAAGATGGTGTGGTGGGACGCAGACCTCATATTGGGTCATATAATGCAGCTCTCCTTGTAACCTTCCTTGATGAGCTCGATCAGGTCTGTAGAGCTGATGGCGTGACCTATGTCATTGTGTGGGATAATGTCAGGTTCCACCATGCTCATATGGTGCAAGCATGGTTTCAGGCCCATGCACAATTTACCACCCTGTATTTACCCCCATACTCTCCTTTCCTTAACCCGATTGAGGAATTTTTCTCCACATGGAGATGGAAGGTTTATGATAGGCGCCCTCATGAACAAGTCACTCTTCTCCAGGCGATGGATGACGCATGCAATGACATCATGACAGACCAGTGTCAGGCCTGGATTCGCCATGCCCAAAGTTTTTTCCAAGATGTTTGGCTAATGAAAACATCCATTGTGATGTAGATGAGAACCTGTGGCCAAATCCACAAGACAGAGTTGATGAAAATGTAAAAGTACAGTAATCACTCCTATGTTTTGCTTTTTACAGTACAAGCAAGCAAGTTGAGGAACACTGCATTTGATGTTTTACAGTACTGTATTGTTTTTCATCAATATATTTCAGATTTTGTTCAATGATTCCACTGTGTCTGTAGTATTCTCTCTACTACTGCAGTACTTTTACAGGGATGTATTTACATGTAGTACCATAATGAAACATGTATCACCTATTTTGTACTACAATATTTAATGATTGTACGAACAATGACACAGTGAAACTATCGGTTGCTTGTGTGTGGGTGATCTAAATTAACGTTTCATTGGTATTTCACAATAAATTTGTTTTTTGAACCAATGATTGTGCAAGTGCAATATTTCTTTAAAGATATGAACGCACAATGCAATGTTTTGAACATTGGACAGCCTGTGTTACAAGTGACGACCATTTTGAGTTTTGTGTCTAGAGTTTTGAAAAATGACATCAAGGTTCTGAAATTAGTGCCAAAGTGATTGTAAAAAACTGTAATTAACGGTTCAGCAGTCATGGCTTTGGGGTAGAAGCTGTTCAGGAGCCTTTACACTGTGAAGCCCAATATGTGATAATATGTAATATTCTGTGTATTTTCCTCTCAAGTGTTTAATATTGATCCTGTTCCCTCTGTCAGGACTTCTCAGGGTACTCCAGCTACAGCCAAAGCCAGTACTCACCATACTACAACACACACTACAACAGCCCATACCTCAGCCCTAGCGCCATCACCACGCCCATACCCTATCAGCATCCAGAACACCCCGCCGTGGTGCCCAATCACAGCTCAGAGTCCCAAACAGGTACAGATGGTTGCTCCCCCTTCCCTTTGTTGGAGAATGACTTATTATGACTCTTAACATTGTATTTACCTTTGTGTCATGTTGTTTGGTGTTTTAGACATTTTCATTAATGGGATGTTTGCGTGTGTCTGTCTGTGTGTGTGTGCGTGTGTGTGTGTGTGTGTGCGTGTGTGTGCGTCTGTGTGCTTGCGTGTGCGTCTGTGTGTGTGCATGTATCTGTGTGTGTGTGTGTCTGTGTGCTTGTGTGTGCGTCTGTGTGTGGTTGCGTGTGTCTGTGTGTGTGGTGGTGTGGTGTTTTTGTGTGCGTTGTGTGTCGTCTGTTGTCTGTGTGTTGTGTGTGTGTGTGTGCGTCTGTGTGCTTGTGTGTGCGTCTGTGTGTGTGTGGCTGTGTGTGTGGGTGTGTGTGTGGGTGGGTGTGTGTGTGTTGTGTGTTCCAGGAGAGTACCATCCGCCCCTAGCCCCCCCCACCCCAGGAAAGACCCGGGAGGTGGTGCAGCCGACGGCTCAGACGGGAAACTGAGGGGCAGGAAAGAGTCAGTGACCCACGCCCCCCCTTGGATTCAGATATAGATGTAATGTTACAGCCCCCCCTGGATTTAGATTGAGGAATGTTAAGCCCCTGGATCAGATATAGAGGTAATGTTACACCCCCCCCTGGATTCAGATATAGAGGTAATGTTTACGCCCCCCTGGATTCATATATAGGTAATGTTACACCGCCCCCCCCCCCTGGATTCCCAGATATAGAGGTAATGGTCAGCCCCCCGGATTCAATATAGAGGTAATGTTACAGCCCCCTGGATTAGATATGAGGTAGGTTACAGCCCCCGATCGATATAGAGGTAATGTTACAGGCCCCCCCTGGATTCAGATATAGAGGTAATGTTACAGCCCCCCCTGGATTCAGATATAGAGGTAATGTTACAGCCCCCCCTGATTCAGATATAGAGGTAATGTTACAGCCCCCCTGGATTCAGATATAGAGGTAATGTTACAGCCCCCCTGGATTCAGATATAGAGGTAATGTTACAGCCCCCCTGATTCAGATATAGAGGTAATGTTACAGCCCCCCTGGATTCAGATATAGAGGTAATGTTACAGCCCCCCCTGGATTCAGATATAGAGGTAATGTTACAGCCCCCCCTGGATTCAGATATAGAGGTAATGTTACAGCCCCCCTGGATTCAGATATAGAGGTAATGTTACAGCCCCCCTGGATTCAGATATAGAGGTAATGTTACAGGCCCCCCTGGATTCAGATATAGAGGTAATGTTACATGGAAGTCACACACACACAAAACATTAAGGCCATAGTTTATTGACAATTGGACAGATGGACTAAAGTACAGTAATACTTTCCCGACTGTACTGAGATCCTCAGTAGTGTCAATGGTACAAGGGGAAAGACCACAGTCATTTATGCTATCAGTATTACAAACACATTTTCTGAGTTATTTTTCTACTGATTGATCAGGCTGTATGTTTTAGCCCTCACTGCCATGTTCTTCTCAATGTAGATATTATGTTAATATTCAGCAAATTGTGTAAACATGTTTTTTTTATTATTTTCCCAGCGTGTGTTTGTGTGGGACCTAGACGAGACCATCATCATTTTCCACTCTTTGCTCACAGGGAGCTTCTCCACACGATTTGGCAAGGTACAAAACAATCGACATACATGAAAAACAATCAACATTACATGGTGAATACTCTCTCCATATAACTTTTTAGATTATATAACCCTGAAAATATTTGCTGGCTTATTGAACTAATCATTGATGAGATAAACTATGCAATATCAGTTAGAGGAGAATCCTAACTTCCAGTGAAATGTTGTCTTAGTCACACATCGATGTCAATGGGACTAAGCGGAAATTCTACTCTAATCTTTGTTGAAACGTAACTCTTTTAGTAGTTACGTTTGCTCTCTCCGTGACTTTTCACACGATTGGTGTTTTCCTGCTCTACCCTCTTGTCTCTTTATATAACCCAGTGGACTTGTTTGGCCAATCCACGTCCCACAGTTTGATTGACAGCTGATGAACTTTTACATAATAGACAGGCAGCTGATGACAGGAACAATACTCATGTTTCATTTTTTTGGCTGCGAGCGTGTTTTGAATTCTCACGGTCCCTCTGTGGTTTGATGTAAACAAGGAACCAGGGAGTGTGTAGTGAGAGGAGGAGAGAGTAGTGAGAGGAGGAGATAGTAGTGAGAGGAGGAGATAATAGTGAGAGGAGGAGAGCTAGTGAGAGGAGGAGATACTAGTGAGAGGAGGAGATAGTAGTGAGAGGAGGAGATAGTAGTGAGAGGAGGAGAGACTAGTGAGAGGAGGAGATAGTAGTGAGAGGAGGAGATAGTAGTGAGAGGAGGAGAGACTAGTGAGAGGAGGAGAGACTAGTGAGAGGAGGAGATAGTAGTGAGAGGAGGAGATAATAGTGAGAGGAGAGGAGAAGGACTGGGAGAGGAGGAGAGAAGAGGGAGGGGAGGAGAGAAGTAGGGACGGAGGAGAAGGAGGAGGAGGAGGACGGAGGACAGAGAGGAGGGCAGAGGAGAGAGAGGGAGTGAGAGGAGGATTGGTAGGAGAACGAGGGGAGGATAGGAAAAAGAGAGATTGAGAGAATAGGACGAGAAGTAGGAGAACAGAGGGGAGGAGGAGAGAGGCGGAGGAGGAGAGTGGATTGTAAAGGAGAGGAATGCACTGGAGGAGGGAGAGGAGGAGAGAGAGAGTAGGAGGAGGGAGGCCGTGAGAGGAGGACGAGAAGAGGTGCGACTAGTGACGAGGAGGAGAAAGTACGTGAAGGAAAAGAAAGTAGTAGTGAGAGGAGGAGATGATAATAGGGAGGAGGAGGAAGGAGAGATTAGTAGTGAGAGGAGGAGAGAGTAGTGAGAGGAGAGCTAATAGGTGAGAGGAGAAGGGAGGGAGGAGGAGGAGGAGAGGAAGAGGAGAAGGAGGAGAGAGAGAGGAGGGGGAGGAGGAGAGGGAGGAGGAGGGAGGAGGAGAGGAGGAGGGAGGAGGAGAGGAGTATTAGTCCTAAGCACTTCACCATTTTTGCACGGCCCTGTTTATTGTCTTGTATCGTCGGGGGGGGGGGGGGGGGGGGGGGGGAGAGGGTGGAAGCGTTGACGTTTTTCTGATGTGCCAAATTCCTGTTTCCACCCAGGCAGAGCCCCTCGAAATTGTGATTTTCAATCCGACATGCTCTGACATCAAAACTCAGACATCCGTGATAGAAAAAAAAGTTGTTGGGGAGGAAGGGGGGTGGAGGGGGGAAATTTCTCAAATCCCCAAGAAGATTACAACCAAAGTCGAGAGTGTATAGGCCTAGTGGGATTATGTACAAACCAGGAATTGGTTTTCAATTATGTAGGAGCAAGTTTGAAACGTCTTTCTCACAGTAATGCTCACTGTCAGACAACGACCAATGTTTATGTTAGCTCAGGTTTCCCTCTCTTAAAGAAAAAGGACCCCAATTCATCTTCAAAATGTAATGGCGTGTCTAGTCCAGACGGACTATAAATCATTCCCCATGACAGTCATTGTGGTATGACCAAGCTCATTGAGGTAAACAAGTGTTTGGCCTGTGTTAAGGCAAGCAAGGCAAGCCTGGACCCAGGAAGGGGTGGAAAACAAAGGGTTGCGCTGAAAGACTGTTGTTTTCACTGCCTTTGAAAAGGCGAACTGTAGAGCACATTAAGATTTTATTCCCTACATTAGTGATCAGACTGTATCTCATTTATCATACGTCGGCTCTCTCCTCCTCTCAATACTATTTTCTCCTCCTCTCACTAAGCCTCCGCCGTACTCTTTCTCTCTCTGTCTTAGCGTATGTATTTCCTCTCTGCACAAAGACAAAAGTCCCCAAACGGGGGGTGGGATTGGATGTTTTTGTCCTTTCTGATGTGTTCTTGTTCTCTGTGAATTCCTGCCTGTGATTAGCAGGAAGAGTAAGCTGGACCTCTTTTATTTTTCATTGCTTCCTCCCTCCGCATTCAAGAAGTATTCAAGAAGCCTTATGCTTAGCAGAGAGGGTGATTACGGATAATTATCTCCATTTAAACAAAACACCTCCTCCGTCTCCTTCACCTGCCCTCATTCTCCTCCCACCCCTCTCTTTCTGCCTCCTCATTCACAATTGGAGGTGGGAAGAAGGCTGTCATCTTTCCAAACCCTAATCTGATACTCACCTTTGGCTGACGCCTCAGTCCTCCATTTCTGACACACTGCCAAGCTGTTGAACCACCGCCACAGCATCAGTACAGCACACAGCAACCTGCCGTGCCGGTGCCCAGACACTTCCCACAACAACACTGCACTGGGCTGTTTTCATAAAAACTGTAATTTCTCTGTTTCTTCTGCGGAAGATATATAATCATTTAATAAAGCGCCTCTTCTTCATTCCTGAATTCTTCAATAACTGTCTGACACAGAGAGAGAGAGGAGAGAGAGAGAGAGAGAGAGAGGTGAGAGAGAAGATGAGACGAGAGAGAGAGAGCATGAGGAGAGGAGAGAGACGATCGCGAAGAGCCTAGAGGGAGAGAGGAGAGAGAGAAGAGAGACGATGAGAGAGAGAGATGAGAAGCGAGAGAGAGGAGAGAGGAGAAGAGAGGAGAGAGAGAGTGAGAGGGAGAGAGAGAGAGGAGAGAGAGGAGAGAGAAGACGAGGATAAAGAGAGAGAGAGAGAGAGAGAGAGAGAGAAAGAAAGAAATAGATAGATAAAAAGGATGAGAGAGAGAGAGAGAGAGAGGGAAGAGAGAGAGAGACGGGAGAGACGAGGAGAGGATGAGAGAGAGAGGACAGTAGAGAGAGGCGAGGAGAAAGCAATAGATAGATAAAAAGAGAGAGAGAGAGAGAGAGAGAGAGAGAGAGAGAGAGAGAGAGAGAGGGGAGAGGGAGAGGGGGAGAGAGAGAAAGGAGGGGTAACAGTAGGTCTTGGGTAACAGTAGGTCTTGAAGGGTGCAGTTTAGTGGAAAGAATGATTGACATAAATGTAATTAGATTTCTTGCTAAGGAGATAGAACCTGTCCTGTCTTTCAAAGGCTGCCAGTGTCTTTAGAAGGTTGTTGGACATAGGGAGAAAATAACTCAATATTATGAAGGCGTTCCCAATGTTTGGTATACTCTGTGTATTTACCACTATGCAAACCACCCTACCTGTGTTAAGCCCAAGAACACAGACATCTATTTTTTCCTGAGATGAACAATGACCTATGGAAGTACAAGAGTCCTCTTAAACAAGTGGTTCATGAAGCGGGAATCCTAACTTCACTTAAGTCGAATTTTCACCTACAGTAGTTATGCATTGATGTCAATGGGAGACTAAGGGCTCTATTCAATCCATATCACGGAAATTCAGCTTTACAGCGTGATTGAAATTTAAAGGCTATGTTCCCACGTTAGCAGAGACTGCATTCACGGTAAACACTGTAGATGTCGGCTCAATAAGAAATTACCTTTTTTAAATAGAGCCCTAAGTGAAAACTAAGTGTGGAAGTAGAGTTATGAACGTACATCCTGGTACAAACAGCTGTATTGACCTTGTAATGCAATGTCTTTGTGTCTCCTGTCAGGACTCATCCAAGGCAGTGTCGCTGGGCCTGTGGATGGAAGAGATGATCTTTAACCTGGCCGACTCACGACTATTCTTCAACGACCTGGAGGTGAAGTTTATTTACCTAATGAATGACATTATCCATCATCCATACTCTCGCTTATTGCCATCATCCATCATACATCATCCATATTATTCCTTATTAGATCCACCATCCCTCCATCCCTCCAGCCGCATCCCTCATCCCTCCATCCTCCATCCCCTATCCCTCGATCGAGCCCTCACCCTCCAGAGCCCGAATCTCCACGATCCCCTATCAGCGATCCCGCTAGAGCTATCCTCCCCCGCCATCCCGCAAGCCGCCAGCCCTCACCCGCCATCGCCCCGTCCCAATCCCCAACACATCCTCCATCCCTCCATCCCTCTATCCTCCATCCCTCCATCCCTCCATCCTCCATCCCTCCATCCTACATCCCTCCATCCCTCCATCCTCCACACTGTTGCATATTATCCATAATCCACCAATCATATTCTCGATTGATCAGTAGGATCAGAAGTGTACCCTAACTACATGATCTGACCAGGAAGAAACTCAAGGCTGCAGTTAGAGCTCAGTTTTTACTGGTCAGGTCAAAAGGTCAGGAAAAGACTCCTGGCCCTAACTATCAGCAGTATGAGATGTTTTATATAGATAATGATAGACAGCTCTAGTCTAGAGGGATCTTCTTATATTTCAAGTATAGGGCAGGGTTCAGTGACATCTCTCATGTCAATATTACATAATGTTCTAAAAATATACCTTTCACATTGTTAGGGTTATTCCAGCATATACTCAGTGCTTAATTTGAGCCAGATCCTGCCCGATCAAGATCCAGCACCTCTCAATTTTGGACTGTTTTGTTCCGGAACCCATTATTTTCACTGTTTGCAATGTAAAAATTATAATAAAATCTGAGTTAATTCAAGATGCCTCCTGCATTCTAAAAAACGTAATGTGAAAACATGCCTGATATTCTAAGAATGTATTAGTGTTGGGCCTGCCCAGGTTTATGGTTTGCGCAACATTATAGCCTATAGACCAACGCGTAGACATTGCTGTGGTGAGAGAGAGAAGCACGCCTGTAGCCTATCTCTCACAGAACTAGAATGACACTCACTTTCTATGATCTCTCTCCCTCTCTCTGCTCTGATAAACATGACAGGAGCTTGCAACTGTCATCTCTCCAGCGTTGCACTTAATCATTTGTTTGCTTATAGAATCAGAGCTGTGGGAAGGGTGCTGGAGGTGGCGCAGCACCCCTGATAAATTGAAATGTACTTGCCAAAGTTCTAGAATTACTGCTGTCTGTTCAGAAAGAAATTAAATCATTCAGAATACTACACCAGGAGTAGGTATATACAGTGGGGGGAAAAAAGTATTTAGTCAGCCACCAATTGTGCAAGTTCTCCCACTTAAAAAGATGAGAGAGGCCTGTAATTTTCATCATAGGTACACGTCAACTATGACAGACAAAATGAGAAAGAAAAATCCAGAAAATCACATTGTAGGATTTTTAATGAATTTATTTGCAAATTATGGTGGAAAATAAGTATTTGGTCAATAACAAACGTTTCTCAATACTTTGTTATATACCCTTTGTTGGCAATGACACAGGTCAAACGTTGTCTGTAAGTCTTCACAAGGTTTTCACACACTGTTGCTGGTATTTTGGCCCATTCCTCCATGCAGATCTCTCTAGAGCAGTGATGTTTTGGGGCTGTCGCTGGGCAACACGGACTTTCAACTCCCTCCAAAGATTTTCTATGGGGTTGAGATCTGGAGACTGGCTAGGCCACTCCAGGACCTTGAAATGCTTCTTACGAAGCCACTCCTTCGTTGCCCGGGCTGTGTGTTTGGGATCATTGTCATGCTGAAAGACCCAGCCACGTTTCATCTTCAATGTCCTTGCTGATGGAAGGAGGTTTTCACTCAAAATCTCACGATACATGGCCCCATTCATTCTTTCCTTTACACGGATCAGTCGTCCTGGTCCCTTTGCAGAAAAACAGCCCCAAAGCATGATGTTTCCACCCCCATGCTTCACAGTAGGTATGGTGTTCTTTGGATGCAACTCAGCATTCTTTGTCCTCCAAACACGACGAGTTGAGTTTTTTACCAAAAAGTTATATTTTGGTTTCATCTGACCATATGACATTCTCCCAATCCTCTTCTGGATCATCCAAATGCACTCTAGCAAACTTCAGACGGGCCTGGACATGTACTGGCTTAAGCAGGGGGACACGTCTGGCACTGCAGGATTTGAGTCCCTGGCGGCGTAGTGTGTTACTGATGGTAGGCTTTGTTACTTTGGTCCCAGCTCTCTGCAGGTCATTCACTAGGTCCCCCCGTGTGGTTCTGGGATTTTTGCTCACAGTTCTTGTGATCATTTTGACCCCACGGGGTGAGATCTTGCGTGGAGCCCCAGATCGAGGGAGATTATCAGTGGTCTTGTATGTCTTCCATTTCCTAATAATTGCTCCCACAGTTGATTTCTTCAAACCAAGCTGCTTACCTATTGCAGATTCAGTCTTCCCAGCCTGGTGGCAGGTCTACAATTTTGTTTCTGGTGTCCTTTGACAGCTCTTTGGTCTTGGCCATAGTGGAGTTTGGAGTGGTAACTGTTTGAGGTTGTGGACAGGTGTCTTTTATACTGATAACAAGTTCAAACAGGTGACGAATAATACAGGTAACGAGTGGAGGACAGAGGAGCCTCTTAAAGAAGAAGTTACAGGTCTGTGAGAGCCAAAAATCTTGCTTGTTTGTAGGTGACCAAATACTTATTTTCCACCATAATTTGCAAATAAATTCATAAAAAATCCTACAATGTGATTTTCTGGATTTCTTTTTCTCAATTTGTCTGTCATAGTTGACGTGTACCTATGATGAAAATTACAGGCCTCTCTCATCTTTTTAAGTGGGAGAACTTGCACAATTGGTGGCTGACTAAATACTTTTTTTCCCCCACTGTAGTTTAGCCACAGAGGACCAATAGCTTCTGTGGATTGTGTGTAGTCCAATCACAAGGCATGCCTACAGGAGGGAACGTGCGGCAAATCTGCCAGTAAACAGCATGCAGTCAAAACAGGCCTTTCGCAATATTTCAAATAGAATAGTGGGAAAGCACAGGTTAAAAGCAATGGATTCTGTCTGTAGGCTACCAAATAGGCCTATGTCATCAACTTCCAAATAGGCCTATTGAGCGAGCAGCATTGTTTGACAAAGTAAAACAAGAGGGAGATAGGCTTTTGGCACGAACGCATCGGCCATCTCTGGTGAGTGAGCTGCGCATCATTGGGTGAGTCAGTGAAACTGGAAAGCATTTTTAGGACTATAATTTCCTCCTCATATTGTACAATATGTGTCTCCATACACCTAGGCCTAAGCTATTGATGGATTCAAGACAAGGTTGTTTTTGTTGATCTCAGATTCTCAGTTTGTCAGTGTCAAATTAGCATAGCCTGTCACTTCGATCATTTGTGAGGTATTAAAAAAGATTCTGCTAAAGACTCCAGTCATCTAAAATGATGTAGAATTGCATGAAATGCGTTTATAAAAGGCCACATTTTTCCAGGACCCTAGGCTTAAAAAAAGAATCCTCATGTGTGCACCTTCCGCCCCTGTTGTACTGCTGTATGCCAGCACGCAGTAGTGATGATAATGCATGCAATGATTTATTATAAAGTACTATTTTTATTATATATACACGTTCCGGTACCCCAGAGCCCCCAGGTCACCCCCTCTCGGCTCACTTTTTGTTCTGGAACCTCCCGATTTACAAATTAACCACTGGATATACTCAAAATATTCCAGTTGACAGCCTAATTGTTAAAGTGAGTTTGGGATAGTGTTAAACTTGAGTATTTTTACCAGCAGGAACGGCATGTAGGCTTTTCTCTGTGCATTCCACAGCCTTGTTCTGACAAAGACGAGGATTCATTTGGGCTTGTAGGGAGAAAGAACACTTTGAGTTGTTAATTGTAGGTGTGTGTCTGTCTCTGAAAGGAACATTTGTTGTGGGGAGGAGGAACACCTGAGGGGAGGAAGGCTGACAAAGCCGTTCTCAAACCCCATTTTTAAGTTCCTTCTTTTTGCCCGCCTCTGTAGTTCCTCATGCATACAGTTGGCCTATAGTGGTGGCCATCTGTGTTAGTCGTGTGCTGTGGTTGATTTATGGAGTAATCTTCCTACAGGTTTGGCAACAGCTAATAGAGAGATAATAGATGCCACAGGCTGAGGAAGCTGTAGGCAATAAAGAGATACGAGCTAGGGAAGGCTCTACCGCAGTTACAGTATTCTTCTTGATGAAACAGAAGACAATTGTCGTTAATTTAACTAGCTTCTGTGAGAAGTCAGAAATATGTAATATTTCTCATTTTGCATAGATAGCTCTATGTCTATATTCAACATCGAAACTCACCCAGCCCTACATAGCCAGATATGTACTTCTCCGTCCACACCAATTCATGTCGTTAAATCAATTTAGCTTGCGAGGTGTTGAGATGGACTGCTGTGGGTTCTAGAGCTGCCTTATAAAACCCTATGTTAGCCTATGGGTTCTGTGGGTCGTGTTAATGATTCCCTATGTGTCTGGGGGAGCTGGGTCGCAGCATTGGGGAAGCGTTACAGCAGCATTGGGGAAGCATTTTGGGGAACGAGTGAGAGCGTGATGAGGTAGCGTCTTCCTGTGTCTCAGGCCGGTTGAAAGGCGATAGCGTGGCCTGTCAGTCCGGTGTAGCCGTGTGGGAGAAGAGGTAGGAGTCAGTAGTTACTGAAGTAGTAGTCAGGGAATTAAAGAAGGGAAGAGATGAGAATAGCAGATCTGAAGTGGAGATTCAAAGGGATTTGGTGGAGAGGTGGGAGGATAGTGTGTGTATTGTAGTGGCACACCATGGGAAAGTCGTTTTTAGGAATTGTTTGAGGAAGCAACTTTGCTGTTTTTCCACAGTAGTTTGTACCTTGTAACAACTTGTAGCAACTTCTACACACCAACAATCCAGAATCAATTTACATCCAGTATATGTACTACTATATACAGTATTTATATTGTATACTACAGTATATTTAATACTACAAAAATCCTGTATTTAATGGAACATAGATCTGAAGGTTCTTTGGCAGTTGGCAAAAGAAGTTGATATGGTGTACATCTTAGTGGGGTTTATTAGTGGAGTGTGGTGGCGTCAGGTAGAGTTGATACACATCCATACTGGCGCCTGAATGTCTCAGCAGCTTATTTTCCGCCTCTCTGTTGTCTTTTGTTTTCATTTTTTTTGTTCTATCGCTCCCTGAGGCTCCCTTAAGAAGAAACCTGCCCATGCACAGCTTTGAAATGGATCTCCCTCTCTAATATATCCACTATCTTTCCCTCTCCTTTCCCAGGAATGTGACCAAGTTCATATTGATGACGTGGCGTCAGACGACAATGGGCAGGACCTGAGGTACTGTACTGCTTTTTCTCTTGAATTTAACTCGCCTCACACTTAAACCAGTTCTGAGTGGGTTTACAAAAGGTTCAGTGGGGGTATGTCCTGCTCTCGCTCTCCGCTAGAAAGTGGGAGACAGGAGAGAAAAGTGAGAGAGATTGAGAGAAGAGGAGAGAGGCGGATGAGAAGAGAGAGAGGAGAGAGATTGGATAGAGAGATATGATAGGAGCGAGGCAGAGAGATTAAGGAGAGAGCAAGAGATCTAGGCGAACCACCAAGTAGAAGAAGAAAGAGCGATAAATAAAGAACGATATGAGCGAATATGAGCTCCTCCTATTCGTCTTCTCTAGTTAGCTACTTGATACAGTCTTAACTAAAGATATCTATATTATATATCTCGCCTTCTATCGATTTTTTTCTTCTATCTCTATCTCTCTTTCTTCTATGATTTCTCTCTCTTAATATAGCTCTTCGATCTCTTTGCTCTCTTCTCTCTCTCTCTCTCTCTATCTCTCTTCCCTCGTCTCTCTCTCTCTCTCTATCTCTCTCTATCTCTCTTTCTCTCTTCTCTCTCTTTTCGCTCTCTCTCCCGTTATTCTCTTTCTCTCTCTCTCTCCCCTCTATCCCTCTGGCAATATAATATATCAGAGTTAACAGTATCATCATTCTTCAATGTCTAATCAAAATAACACTCTGTCATTCTCTCTGCCTCCCTCGTTCCAGAAATGTTACTACATAAATTGATGAAGAACTTTAGGATTGGTTTCAAAGGAATATTTGAGTGCAATCCTTCCCCATTTTTTTAGTGCTTTCAGGCATGTTACTCTTTTCACACAAAAATATGTATTAACCTAACTGGATGTGCATACTGCATGTTCTCCCACTTAGATATAACAAACTTCAAATTCAATCTTTTTTATCCTTGCATGGTCTCACCCTCGCTCTTTATTATAGGATTTTAAATGTAAAAAATGTAATGTCTGTTCCCATCCAGGTTCACACTGGAAAATGTTTTGCATAATGCATTTATCTATTACTCTTTACACGAGCTACTTCAGTAATACTACTCCATGTATGTACAGGCACTGGCCACCAAATATCAATCAGAGTTGTACATTGATCTGACTGTAGCCCAGGACCATGCTTCTCTTTAATGCTCTCTTTTGGTTGTTTTCTTCCAGCACTTACAACTTTGGCACGGATGGGTTCCAGAGCCCTGCGGGGGCCGGTACTTTGTGTCTGGGCTCAGGTGTCCATGGTGGGGCTGACTGGATGAGGAAATTGGCCTTCCGCTACCGGAGGGTAAAGGAGATCTACAACACCTTTAAGAACAACGTGGGAGGTAGGTTCTGATGTGTGTGTGTGTGTGTGTGTGTGTGTGTGTGTGTGTGTGTGTGTGTGTGTGTGTGTGTGTGTGTGTGTGTGTGTGTGTGTGTGTGTGTGTGTGATCTTCTCTGGCAGTCAGCTGATATAAAAATCACAATGTAAGTAGAATTTGTTCATGCTGTATAACCATGATCATAATGAATAATTGGGGTGTGATTGTGATTGTGTCAGGTTTGCTGGGCAGTCCCAAGCGGGAGGAGTGGCTGCAGCTGCGCAGGGAGATGGAGGTTCTAACAGATCTGTGGCTGACCCAGGCTCTCAAGGCCTTGGCCCTCATAAACTCCAGGTTAGGACACCCCCCTTCTCAACTGCCCTAGACACTCTATTTTTTTAAGGTGGAGATATGATTATTCTGTTGTAGTCATGCACAATGCTCTTGGGTGGTCATCAATCAGCAAGATAATTGAAAAAAACATCCTTTTATTTCACAATGTACACTATTTAAAACGGCCAAAATCCATAAACAACAGTATTCAGTTGGTAAGAGACAGACATTCAGTCAATACTAGGAATAGATTGTCCACCATCTATGTGTTATCCAGACAGACAAGAGAAATAGGCAAAATAACATTTAGATTCAGAGTAATAAAAAAATGAAATAATTTATCTGAGCAGACCAGATACCTTTCAATATATACATTCAAACAATCTATCTGTCAGAGTATTTATCTGGTCAATATGGCAGTGTATTATGTCTGCTGTTTTTAACAGTGTGTTATATGTGAAAATGTGATTGTACTATAAATTGTATTGTTTAAGGACTCTTGGAAGATTAGTCCAAATGAGGACTAAAAGAGATCCTAATCTAATCAAATCAAAAATCGAATCAATCTATGATTGAAAACAGTAAACAATGTAAACAGTAGGTTCACTCAGAATAATATAGTTGGGGTACGAGATCTTCGTAGATAATCCATAAAAATGATAAATGGATGGTACTCCAAATGTATTAAAGGGATAGTGCGATATTCTATTTTCCTACTTGCCCAGATTCAGATGAACTCATGGATAGCTCAGTTGGTAGAGCATGGCGCTTGCAACGCCAGGGTTGTGGGTTCGATTCCAACGGGGGGCCAGTATGAAAATGTATGCACTCACTAACTGTAAGTCGCTCTGGATTAGAGCGTCTGCTAAATGACTAAAATGTAAAACACCATTTATATCTCTCTGTGTGCAGTTTGAAAGAAGTTGGAGTTAGTTTCGCGAGCCAATGCTAACAAGCGTTAGCACAATGAGTGGACGTTTACAGGTACGCTAGTATGACATATTGAGATCATTTGTTGACATTTCTCTGTTTTCAGGCCAAACTGTGTGAATGTGCTGGTGACTACCACCCAGCTGATCCCAGCCCTGTCCAAGGTCCTGCTCTACGGACTGGGCCCAGCCTTCCCTATAGAGAATATCTACAGTGCCACCAAGACAGGTGAGGCAGCGTGCCACACTCAATATGGCATAGATTATCATCGTTTTAGGGAAGGAATACAGTTGAGTTGATTGTTTTCACACCATGGTTGAAAAAGCAGTTTATGTTATGTTTAACAATTTGTATATAAGCCTGTTTACTACCTGCTAGCTGGCATTGTGCAATCTATGTTTACTTTCTTGACATTTTTACCAAAAGTGTTATTTTAATTTGTTTACACTTCCATTTAACACTTTATATAAATGTAAGGTTTATTTTAGAATTGTACACATCTGCAGATAAAAGCTGAATTGCAGCATACGTAGTCCCACTAAAGTAAAAAAATATATATAAATAAATAAAAAATTCCTAGTATTTTGAGACGTAGTATACAATATTACAGTTAAGCAGTAGTAAGCGGTTTCACAAAGTCTTAATTAACACTTAATTTTGTAATAATCTGAACACACTTATTTGTTACTTTTAATAACTCTCCAGGGAAGGAGAGTTGCTTTGAGCGTGTGGCTCAGAGGTTCGGTCGGCGAGCGGTGTACGTGGTAATAGGGGATGGAGTGGAGGAGGAGTCTGTAGCCAAGAAGGTGAGACTCACGTATAACGAGGAAAAGGGGTGGGTGGGTACACAACATATTTCCCCCTGCCTTATTTTTCATGCTAGTGCAAAGACGTCAGATCAAATCTAATATGCCCCCACACATATTATTTGAAGCGTTTTCTTCATTTGAAAAACCAAAATAATGTTTTATATCCTAATGCATGGAATCGTGTTTGGTATTAGTGTGACCAGTGACTGGGGTTTGTACCCTCTCCCACACGCCATAACATTTTAGTCATTTAGCAGATGCTCTTATCCAGAGCGACTTACAGTTAGTGAGTGCATACATTTTTCATACTGGCCCCCCGTGGGAAATGAACCCACAACCATGGCGTTGCAAGCGCCATGCACAACCAACTGAGCTACAGGGGACCAAGAATGTATTAGCTCGCTGAGCTTGGGTAACTTGAGCGTGGCTCACTGAACAATGTTAGCTAGCTAATTACACTAGCTAGCTGGTTTAGCCAGTGTTCCACATTTTCAACATGTCAATTTGTGTCTTGCAGAAGAACATGCCCTTCTGGAGAGTGTCGTGTCGGCCTGACCTGGAGGCTCTGAGTCATGCACTGGAGCTGGACTACCTCTAGTGGGCACTATCCCATCATGCTCTTAGCCACTTCCTGCCTGGTGATGCCACTTCCTGTCCAATGGACCAATTGGGGTTGAGGTCGGCGACGATTCACCACAATACAAAAGCCAAGAATAAGGGACCAATCTTTGTATCTGCAGGGAATCGCAATTGTTACTGGAAATATTACTGCTTTCATCCTTTTACACAGAGACTTTTACATGAAAGTTATCCCACTTTTCAACTTTACAGCGTTACACTGAAAATAATGATCTAGGTGCATTTTGTCCTTACGTGGAGGATGAATAGTTTTGTTTTGTTTGTTTGTTGTTTGTTGTGACGTTTCTTATTATTAGGAATGGGATAGATAAGAGGACATTGTTAAATGGCAACTCCACCACTTTTCAACCTCATATTCATTATCTCCAGCACCATACCAGAGTCTAGATATGTGAAAACTGAGTTTCTTATTATTTTCTGTGGTCGAAAGTTAAGAAGAAAGGTCCTAAAAATGCTTCTCTGTAGCACAGGCTAGGATAAAAAGGAAGAAAAACTGTGATTTTCTAAACCTGCAACGAGTTTCTAGCCAGAGGGAGGATATTTTCTTGCTCCCCACGTCACCGCGAATCTCACAGTGTTTGAAAATCACTATTCTTTAAGCGTTTTAACTTTTGATGATGTCATCGGGTAGAACCTTTTAACTTTATTTGTTTCTACAAAACGTAGAAATGCACAGTTTTCACGCACTGTATGTAGACACTGGTATTGTGCTGGAAATAATGAAAATTAGGCTGAAAAGTGGTGGAATTGCCCTTTAAGATAAGAAACCTACACTGAACAAAAATATAAACGCAACACCCAACAATTTCAACGATTTTACTGAGTTATAGTTTATATAAAGAAATCAGTCAATTTAAATAAACACATTTGGCCCTAATCTATGGATTTCACATGACTGGGCAAGGGCGCAGCCACGGGTGGGCCTGGGAGGGCATAGGCCCACCCACTTGGGAGCCAGGCCCAGCCAATCAGAATGAGTTTTCCACACAAAAGGGCTTTATTACAGACAGAAATACTCCTCAGCACATTGTGTGACAAAACTGCAGATTTTAGTGGCCTTTTATTGTCCCCATCACAGGTGCACCTGTGTAATGATCATATTTAATCAGCTTCTTTGATTTTACACACCTGTCAGGTGGATAGATTATCTTGGCAAAGGAGAAATGCTCACTCACAGGGATGTAAACAAATTTGTGCACAACAGTTGAGAGAAATACGCTTTTTGTGCGTATGGAACATTTCTGGGATAATTTATTTTCATCTCATGAAACATGGGACCAACACTTTACATGTTGCATTTATATTTTTGTTCAGTATAAAAGAACGGTTATGAATGAGAATTGGACATTACCAACAAGTTATTAGAGATAGCTAGATCCTACCTTGACTCAATCTTTTCACATGGCTTTTTTGATAGAATGTGATTTTATAGTGTAACTACGGCCCCAAAAGTAGATCTGTCTCATTTAGCAGGTTATTGATGAATTAATAGTCTAATATTATGAGCTGAGACCTAACAAAATAAATGGGAAAAGATTTGAGAAAAACTTACCAGCGACAATTATAAAAAAATTCAGATGAGATAGCATCAATTTCCTGACGTCACCATAACATATAATTCATAGTTCATTGCCCTATGATACAGTGGCTTGCGAAAGTATTCACTCCCCTTGGCATTTTTCCTATTTTGTTGCCTTACAAGCTGGAGTTAAAATGGAGTTTGGGGGGGGTTGTATCATTTGATTTACACAACATGCCTACCACTTTGAAGATGCAAAATATTTTTTATTGTGAAACAAACAAGAAATAAGACAACACAACTGAGAACTTGAGCGTGCATAACTATTCCCCCCCCCCCCCAAAGTCAATACTTTGTAGATCCACCTTTTGCAGTAATTACAGCTACAAGTCTCTTGGGGTATGTCTCTATAAACTTGGCACATCTAGCCACTGGGATTTTTGCCCATTCTTCAAGGCAAAACTGCTCCAGCTCCTTCAAGTTGGATGGGCTCCGCTGGTGTACAGCAATCTTTTAAGTCATACCACAGATTCTCAATTGGATTGAGGTCTGGGCTTTGACTAGGCCATTCCAAGACATTTAAATGTTTCCCCTTAAACCACTTGTGTGTTGCTTTAGCAGTATGCTTAGGGTCATTGTCCTGTTGGAAGGTGAACCTCCGTCCTTATCTCAAATCTCTGGAAGACTGAAACAGGTTTCCCTCAAGAATTTCCCTGTATTTAGCGCCATCCATCATTCCTTCAATTCTGACCAGTTTCCCAGTCCTTGCCGATGAAAAACATCCCCACAGCTCAATTTTAGTCTCATCTGACCAGGGTACCTTCTTCCATATGTTTGGGGAGTCTCCCACATGCCTTTTGGCGAACACCAAATGTGTTTGCTTATTTTTTTCTTTAAGCAATGGCTTTTTTTCTGGCCACTCTTCCATAAAGCCCAGCTCTGTGGAGTGTATGGCTTAAAGTGGTCCTATGGACAGATACTCCAATCTCTGCTGTGGAGCTTTGCAACTCCTTCAGGGTTATCTTTGGTCTCTTTGTTGCCTCTGATTAATTCCCTCCTTGCCTGGTCCGTGAGTTTTGGTGGGCGGCCCTCTCTTGGCAGGTTTGTTGTGGTGCCATATTCTTTCAATTTTTTTTATAATGGATTTAATGGTGCTCCGTGGGATGTTCAAAGTTTCAGATATTTTTTTATAACCCAACCATGATCTGTACTTCTCCACAACTTTGTCCCTGACCTGTTTGGAGAGCTCTATGGTCTTCATGGTGCCGCTTGCTTGGTGGTGCCCCTTGCTTAGTGGTGTTGCAGACTCTGGGGCCTTTCAGGACAGGTGTATATATACTGAGATCATGTGACAGATCATGTGACACTTAGATTGCACACAGGTGGACTTTATTTAACTATGTGACTTCTGAAGGTAATTGGTTGCACCAGATCTTATTTAGGGGCTTCATAGCAAAGGGGGTGAATACATATGCACACACCATTTTTCCGTTATTTTTATTTTTTTAAACAAGTTATTTTTTTCATTCCACTTCACCAATTTTGACTATTTTGTGTATGTCCATTACATGAAATCCCAATAAAAATCTATTTAAATTACAGGTTGTAATGCAACAAAATAGGAAAAACGCCAAGGGGGATGAATACTTTTTCAAGGCACCGTATGTCATTAATAATTTAATTTAATATTCTATTAATTTGCAACAACCACACTTATGCAGTCTATATAAACCTGACAAAATATTATATAAACTGGACAAAATACTTCCAACCCTACTGAAGGTGCCATACCGCTTCTGGATGATGACTTTTTAATGTTATCTATTATACCAAAAATGAAAAGTCAATTATGTTACCCATTCCATGCCCTTCTTTGAAATGAAAATATAAATTGGTAAGAGCAGCTATGCCAAGATTTTCAGACAGACAGACAGACAGACAGACAGACAGACAGACAGACAGAGACCAACAGCATTACTAAAATGAACAATATCTTAATTAATGGATGTGGAAACTAAGCAACCCTTTGACAAAGCACAGGAAAAATCAAATACTTAACTTAAGAAATATCCATACCTTGTGAAATGTATTTTTAAGCATATACATTTGTCTTGGAGAGGACTTAGTCTAGCGATTGAATCTTTTTATTAAGGAACACATTTTCTGCTTCATAAGTTGCTGGGTGTACATTTGTTGTAATCTTTCTCCATGAATGTTTCTATATAACCTGTATGTAATGAAAATGGTATGATAGTCTTTGGACTTGCATGTGCTATTACACTGTCTTTCAGCTTAGATTTGTATATAAGGTTTTATTGTTTCGACAGACAATTAAAATAGATTAATAAAGATAAATTAATTACATTCTGAGAAAAGTGTATCTTAATTAAGATTGAATTGCTCACTGACGACACATTTCAACTGTATTCCTGAATTTTCAGGTAATAGGTCATTTAAGGATCTACTTATGAACATTATTAGATAGTTTGTTAACCATTAAATTAGGAATATGATTATATAATATATAATACAAGGCCTGTTATTAATGATTTACATATAACACTTATTTCTAATATGGTTTGTACGTATACACATTTACTCATGCTAAATGAATACACGTAATCATCTATTAACAGTTTATTAATTAATTATAAGCTATGTAAGCAAACCTTCAAATAAATTAAATATGACCCATTGGCAATGGCAAGTTAGTGAAATGAGGGTGTTAACTAGGCCTGTAAACAAAGAGTATACGACCAGCTAAGGCATGAGAAACATCACTCTTGAGAAAAAATGTAATATTATCCAACTGACTATCACCAACTTCCCCTTTTCCAGCTACTGTACCATAAGATGGATTGTTTGGAATTATTGAGCAAAACAAACATTTTGGTTATACAGCAACACCCATCAAATACCCACTCGAGTCACTCAGGTTTCAATTTATACTTGAGATACGCACACTTAATTGAATGGACATTTTTCAGACATTGAAACATCCTGTGAGGACCAGCCCTATTATTTCAAGATGTCATTATTGGACATCTTTTTTAAGACAAATGGAAGAAGATAATGTAGTCATATTCAACCAAAACACATTCAAACCAAATAATAACTTTGCAGAGGAGGTTATCGTGTGTATCCCGCAAGCAGATAAAATGATTAGGTCATGTATTTAACTAACTTGATTTTAGATAGTCAGGACTGTGGGCCAATAGCACCCTCAAGTGGATGCTTACTGCTCTGATCTGAACTCAATAATGTTAGGAAATATTAACTTTCAAGTAACACCAACCACCAATATTCTCCCAAAATATAAACCCATTTAAAAGTACAATGACTAAAAGTGAAGAGCATAACATCAAACTGTGGTAAACATAATCCTGTTACAAACTGCACTGGAGTTAGTCTCTCAAACTGTGGTAAACATAATCCTGTTACAAACTGCACTGGAGTTAGTCTCTCAAATAATGTAAAAAATATTTCCTCCCCAAATAAACATTGTAAAAAAAAAAGATTGCACAAAACATTCTGTAAACACAGTTTGGTTAACATAAGGATCGATTCAATCCGTATCGCCGAAGTCCAGCGCTGTAGCACGCTTTAAATGTAAAGCGCTATTGCCCTGAACTTCGGCGATACGGATTGAACCGAGCCCATAGTCTGACAAAACATTTTTTTATTCGGAATGTTTCCTGAGAAAAAGTTGCATTCAAGGCAGTTTTTGTAAGGAGAAAGGCAAGATTCTCCACATACCAGTTATAAATCCTCTTAGTATCCAAGTATGGCGTGTCAGTGGGGCACATACTGTGCTATCACTGGAGAAAGCACATAACAAATCTATTCAGCAAAAAATCAGAAGCACTTGTGATCTATTCTAACATTTCAAAGAGGATCTAGTGTAGCCCTTTACAAATCACGTTCAGGTGGACTGTTAATCAATTACATCATCCATTCCTGTTTGGAAGTCACAGTAAATTTCCAGGTCTCCACAATCTGTGAGAGGAGTATCTCGTCAGGGAAGGAAGCCTCCACGTCAGGAGGGAGTTGTAGTTCTTTGCGGTCCATGTATCCAGCCAATGTCTCTTTGACACTAGAGTAAGAGAAAGAAAACAATACGTGTTGTGATCTCAGACCTCAGAACTGTGTGTGTAACGCAGGGAGTAAGGAAGCAGGTGAGTTTCATAATAACTAACATGGAGCATTACAAAAAAACAAGAGACATGAAAACTGAACCAATACTGCCTGAAGAGTGATGCTAGATAAAGGGGAAGTAATCAGGGTAGTGATGGAGTCCAGGTGATCCTCATGATGGCGCGCAGGTGTGCGTAATGAGGGTTGCCGGAACCGGTGGTTAGTAGACTGGCGACATTGAGCACCGGAGATGGGGGGGCGGGAGTAGACGTGACAATGTTGTTCAGTCAAGGGGACCAAATACCAGCAAAATATGTGAAGTCACATCTGCCTTTCTTCGACATTAGATCTGCAACTTTTCTTTTTACATTGCCCTTCCATTGTGAATGTGGCTTCACATTCAAGGCTAATGTATGTGTTTGGCAGCTACATGTCATACAAAACATATCATAAACACACATGCACTTAAAATGCAAATGTCCCCATTCATGAAAATGAGAGTTACAATGATGGTTTGGAATTGGAAGACCTCGGGAGTAGCCCCTGTTCCCGCCCATGCCTGCTGTCTGTCCTCACCTCCAGTGTGGTCCGTAGGTATCCGAGGCACGAGGTCTCCCCAGGTTCAGCAGGATGAACTCGTGCATCTCCAGCAGCCAGGTGTTGATGTTCCCATTGGAGATGAAGCCCTGGAGCAGCTTCTTCTGCTCCTCCTCCAGGTGCTTCTGGTACTCAGCTGAGACCCCAGAGAATGGGTCCTTCAAGAGGGACGAAAGAAAAAGGCAAACTCAGAGCTTTCCAGACCAACAGTGGTATCACACAGCATGGCTGGGAATCAATCCGAAGGATGGCTATGGATTTACCCTTCCTCATCTGTGCAAATCGCTACTTAAAATTGACCAAAGTAATATGTTTAGGGTAAAAAACACTGAAACATCTCTCAGCATGGTTGCAATAATAGAGCCGGCAAGTCATTTGTAGGATGATTGTGTTATGTATTACTACTGTATGTGTGATTTTATTTACAGTGGGGGAAAAAAGTATTTAGTCAGCCACCAATTGTGCAAGTTCTCCCACTTAAAAAGATGAGAGAGGCCTGTAATTTTCATCATAGGTACACGTCAACTATGACAGACAAAATGAGAAAAAAAAATCCAGAAAATCACATTGTAGGATTTTTAATGAATTTATTAGCAAATTATGGTGGAAAATAAGTATTTGGTCAATAACAAAAGTTTCTCAATACTTTGTTATATACCCCTTGTTGGCAATGACACAGGTCAAATGTTTTCTGTAAGTCTTCACAAGGTTTTCACACACTGTTGCTGGTATTTTGGCCCATTCCTCCATGCAGATCTCCTCTAGAGCAGTGATGTTTTGGGGCTGTCGCTGGGCAACACGGACTTTCAACTCCCTCCAAAGATTTTCTATGGGGTTGAGATCTGGAGACTGGCTAGGCCACTCCAAGACCTTGAAACGCTTCTTACGAAGCCACTCCTTCGTTGCCCGGGCGGTGTGTTTGGGTTCATTGTCATGCTGAAAGACCCAGCCACGTTTAATCTTCAAAGCCCTTGCTGATGGAAGGAGGTTTTCACTCAAAATCTCACGATACATGGCCCCATTCATTCTTTCCTTTACACGGATCAGTCGTCCTTGTCCCTTTACAGAAAAACAGCCCCAAAGCATGATGTTTCCACCCCCATGCTTCACAGTAGGTATGGTGTTCTTTGGATGCAACTCAGCATTCTTTGTCCTCCAAACACGACGAGTTGAGTTTTTACCAAAAAGTTCTATTTTGGTTTCATCTGACCATATGACATTCTCCCAATCCTCTTCTGGATCATCCAAATGCACTCTAGCAAACTTCAGACGCGCCTGGACATGTACTGGCTTAAGCAGGGGGACACGTCTGGCACTGCAGGATTTGAGTCCCTGGCGGCGTAGTGTGTTACTGATGGTAGGCTTTGTTACTTTGGTCCCAGCTCTCTGTAGGTCATTCACTAGGTCCCCCCGTGTGGTTCTGGGATTTTTGCTCACCGTTCTTGTGATCATTTTGACCCCACGGGGTGAGATCTTGCGTGGAGCCCCAGATCGAGGGAGATTATCAGTGGTCTTGTATGTCTTCCATTTCCTAATAATTGCTCCCACAGTTGATTTCTTCAAACCAAGCTGCTTACCTATTGCAGATTCAGTCTTCCCAGCCTGGTGCAGGTCTACAATTTTGTTTCTGGTGTCCTTTGACAGCTCTTTGGTCTTGGCCATAGTGGAGTTTGGAGTGTGACTGTTTGAGGTTGTGGACAGGTGTCTTTTATACTGATAACAAGTTCAAACAGGTGCAATTAATACAGGTAACGAGTGGAGGACAGAGGAGCCTCTTAAAGAAGAAGTTACAGGTCTGTGAGAGCCAGAAATCTTGCTTGTTTGTAGGTGACCAAATACTTATTTTCCACCATAATTTGCAAATAAATTCATTAAAAATCCTACAATGTGATTTTCTGGATTTCTTTTTCTCAATTTGTCTGTCATAGTTGACATGTACCTATGATGAAAATTACAGGCCTCTCTCATCTTTTTAAGTGGGAGAACTTGCACAATTGGTGGCTGACTAAATACTTTTTTCCCCCACTGTATATTTATGTAACCTTTATTTATACAGGTTTTTTCTCATTGAGATCAAATCTATTTTTCAAGAGAGACCTGGTCCAACAGGTGCGATAAGCTGTTGGTCGGTCTGAACCTCTGCCTTACCCTCTTCAGACTCTTCAGCATGTTCTCTGATTTCAGGGAAGAGAGGAGCTGCCACAGAGCAGCGCAGTGCTTCAGACTGCATCTGCCCAGAGCCTAAAGTATTGGGACAGCACAGAAGATACACGTTAGACTACATGTACTGAATACTGGACACAATTACTGGTACACTGGGAACAATGCAGCACTTGTGAATGCCGGTACAGTAGGACCTTAGAGATATGAACACATTGGGAATTGGAGGTTGATCGAAAAATCGGAATGTTGTTAATTCTTAACTTTGCCTGTTCGGTTGACCGGGCAGTCTGACTCTTAGGTTTGTATCTTACGAGTCTGTACTGCATTTCTTTTTAGCTAATGTTGACCGATCTGACACACAATATCAAATAAACATGGTCACCTTTAAGTGTGGGTCGGTCTGCTCGCCCATCCTAAGCGTGTCCTCCAGGTAACGCACCAGGGGCATGTGGGCATCTCCCCCAGTCATGGACAGGAAGCCCAGAGCCAGCTCCACGGCCTTCAGGGCCTCACACACCTCGCTGTACGACTCCAGATCCCTGGACAGGGCTGTGAGGGTCAGGGACGGCAGATGCTCCTGGGAAAACAACAATGATATTGTGCCGTTGAAATGTGATATGTATTCACATGATGTCACAATGGTGTGTCAACAAAAACCTGTCATAATAATGCTACAGTATAACTTGCCTGAGACACCTTTCCTTTCACTGTTTTCAAAATGCTTTCGTAATCTCTTTCGTGTCTGGTGACCAGAGTCGGGATTCCCTATAAGTCAACACATTGGATTCAGTAAGTGCTGTATTGCTTTCATCTATCCAGTCGTTTCAGATCTGTAATCACCAGAGGGTAGACAAGAAGAAAGGGTCTGGGGACAAGAGGAAAGGGTCTGGGGACAAGAGGAAAGGGTCTGGGGACAAGAGGAAAGGGTCTGGGGACAAGAGGAAAGGGTCTGGGGACAAGAGGAAAGGGTCTGGGGCCTTAATTGGAAGCCAGGACTCACAGTTAGTGTGATAAGGGGTTTGCCCTGCAGGAAGCGGGTTAGGACCTGCTGCTGGATCTTGGGAAGGTCGTACTCAGACAGGGTCTCCTTGCCTCGCTCCAGGCTGTACTGGCAGTTAGACAGCACCAGGGGCAGCAGGTCCTTCTCCAGCTCATAGCGGATCACATGCAGATCTGTCAGCTCTGGCAGGCTAACCTTATAGCTGTTGGAGCAGAAAGCACCTTGAGACCAGAGGAGAATGCTGAGGGGAGGACGGCTCATAATAATGGCTGGAACGGAGCGAATGGAATGGCATCAAACACATGGAAACCATGTATTTGATGTATTTGATACCATTTCACTAATTCCGCTCCATCCATTACCATGAGCTCGTCCTCCCCAATTAAGGTGCCACCAACCTCCTGTGTTTGATACCTTTTTATATCCCTGTCTGATGGCTGAGCAGTAAACAAACCAAGTGTTAGGTCCAAATATATCTCATTTTCATTCTACCTTAAAAAAAAAATATTTTCATTATTGTGTTTAGACTTAGGGTGGGTGGGGGTTTGTTTGGGATGGGGGTGGGTGATGTGGGAGGGGTCATTGTAAAAACACATTTTAAAAAAAGTAAACTGTCCACTTAGACTTTGATTTTGAGGAGGTCCTCTCCCTCTCTACGGTTGCTCCATGGCAGTGCTGTACCTGGTGTCCTCCCCAGTGTGGCGGTCCGCAGCGTGCAGCAGCTCGTTGTGCAGGGCCACCAGGTGGCTGAGCAGAGCGGTGGAACACAGGCCTGGACCCTGGCGCCGTGGCAGGAGGTACTGGAGGTCACTGTCCTGGTCCAAATCCTCCTTCCAGAACTCTTCTGGGATCTTTATTTCACCTGCATATCCAAACACACACACACATAAAGAAAATGGCTATGTCCAAAATGGTACCCTATTGCCTACATAGTCCGCTACTTTTAACCGGGGCCCTATACAGAGAATAGGGAGCCAATGTTCCGGTTGTATGGCCAACTTTGTCCTGTCTTAAAGGGGATTGTACTCAAAGAAGGGTAACTCACTGGTGGCTACAGACACTCTGAGCAGGTTCCATGTATTCAGGAAGATCTGGATTCGCTTCTCATAGCACACTCTCATCGGTGCTGTTAGACAAAATAGATTGACAAACAACGAAATCCCATAAATTATATCACTCAATTCTGCTTTTCATAAGTTAGTCTCAAATTGGCAATCGGGAATAATATGATGGTAACTATGCTGCATAGTGCGAAGGATGGATCATTCTGATGGACAGTTGACGTTACCTGACTGTTTCTGGATGAACTCTCTAATGGAGTCATTCATCAGGTCTGATGACTTCTGGAACCTTTTCACCAGACTCTTCTGCAGGGCCAGGATATCTGGAAGGAACTTTACCAGCCGGAACTCTGCCTCCTGCGAAAACGCCAAAATTAATGGAAATCATGTGAGTAAGACTCACTCAGAAACTATTTTTGAAATGTTACCACTTACAATAGGAAGAACACAGGTTTCGTGACAGATTACCTTCTGTAGGAACCTCCATAGTAGAGGCAGCTTGTCCTTTCCGTCGTTCTGCTCTACGATGTGGGTGAGGCTGAGTAGGGACACCCTCTCTCTGCAGCTCCACACTCCTGAACAGTGGACCTGGGAGCCCCGAGGCAGGGAGGACAACGGACACTCATCCCCAAATGCCACCCTCATGATGAAGTTAGAGGAGACACGCGAGTCATTTCTGATTGTGGCATTCACCTCTCTCAGCCGCTGGTCAAGGTGCTGTGATGTCAAACACACACAGGTACGTACACATAGACGCACACACACAAAGTGAAACTCTTTGTCCTTTCAAAGGTGCAATCTTATCTTTGACTTGGAATATAGATGGAATATATCTTTAATCAAATATATCTTTAATCAAACTATAGCTAACTTAAAATTTTATCTGAAGGTTTCACCTTCAACTGAGGAGTGATGATGTCAGCAGCAACAGTTGTCTCCCAGGTATTTCTGGCCTCTTTAGTTGAGAGTTGGGAATCATAGCCAGCAGGCCCTATAATCAAATAAACAAATACTCCATGAGGTAGCTACTGGTTGTCACGGTTTCGGCCGAGGCTGCCTCTCTCCCTTGTTCGGGCAGGCTTCGGCGTTCGTTGTCTCCGGAATACTAGCTGCCACCGTTGTATGTTTCATGTTCGTTTGCTTTTGTCTGTTTGTTGTCACACCTGTTCTTGTTTAGCCTAATTAGTGTTCTATAAGTTTCTCGTTGTGTGTGTCTAGTGTTGTGTGTTATTGATTTTTGTCATTCGTGTATAGGGCGTGATTCCTGTATTTCGCTCGGTTGAGCTTCCCTCCACTGTTGGGAGTATTTACGCACCTGTTTGTGCGCTTTTGTTTTGTTCGCCTTCGTGCGTATTTCGCCTTCGGGCAAGAGTTGACCTATTGCCGTGTTTGGCGATCACTAAAGTCTGTTGGACTATCCGTCTGTGTCCTGCGTTTGATTCCACCACTGCACCCACCTACAGCACGCGCTGACAGAATAACACACCCTTTTAAATGGAATCAGCAGGAGCCGCAGCAGCCCAGGCGACGCTGGAGGACAGGGTCCGGGAACAAGGTGACCAGATCCTGCAGATGGGGACCGCACTGCAGGAGGTGATCACCACCATCCGAGGCTGGGGGACGCCTCCACCGCCACCCGCCCTGCCAGCACCATCGGCCAGTCAGCCTATTCCCGCACCGGAACCCCGAGGAGTCCGACTCTCGCTCCCGAGGGCTTACGATGGAACCGCGGCTGGGTGCCAGGGTTTCCTTCTCCAGGTGGAGCTGTACCTGGCCACCGTGCACCCGGCGCCCTCGGGACATGAGAGCGTGTCCGCCCTGATCTCCTGCCTGTCCGGGAAGGCGTTGGAATGGGCCAACGCGGAGTGGAGGAGGATCGACGCGGACACCATAACCTACGAGGAGTTCTCCCGCCGCTTCAGGGCGGTGTTTGACCATCCCCCGGAGGGGAAAGCGGTGGGGGAGCGTCTGGTCTTCCTCCGGCAGGGGAGGAGGAGTGCTCAGGAGTTCGCCCTCGAATTCCGTACTCTAGCGGCAGATGCAGGGTGGAATGATCGGGCTCTCGTCGATCACTACAGATGTAGTCTACGAGAGGACGTCCGTCGGGAGCTGGCCTGTAGGGACACCAGCCTCACGTTCGACCAGTTGGTCGACATGTCCATCAGGCTGGATAACCTGCTAGCTACCCGCGGACGTCCCGAGGGGGGTCCGTCCATTTCACCCTCCAGCGCCTCCGAGCCGTGCCCCATGGAGCTCGGTGGCGCTGGCGCTAGAGAGAGGAGGGGTCGGCTTACTAGGGGGTCCATCCCCTGCACCAACTGTGGTCGGGGAGGACACACCGCGGCTAGGTGCTGGGGATGGCCTCCTAGGGGAGAGGACGACAGGTCCCGCACTGGGGATTCCTTCCAGGTGAGTAGGCGCCCCACTCACCCAGAGCTCTCTGTTGCACATTTCTGTATACCTGTGCGTTTTCCACAGGTAGCACCTCATTCCCAGCATAAGGCGCTGGTAGATTCAGGCGCGGCTGGGAATTTTATTGATAATAAGTTTTGTTTAGCTTTAGGGATTCCCCTTCTTCCTGTTGATGTCCCTTTCCCCGTTCATGCCCTAGATAGTCGTCCGTTGGGTGCGGGCTTGATCAGGGAGGTCACTGCGCCACTTAGGATGTGTGCGCAGGGGGGTCATCAGGAGATGATTCAGCTATTTCTGATTGACTCTCCTGCGTATCCGGTGGTGCTGGGCATGCCCTGGTTGAGTACCCATAACCCATCTATTTCGTGGCAGGAGAGGGCTCTGATGGAGTGGTCTGCCCAGTGTGTGGGTAGATGTTTAGGCGTTTCCGTAGGGGCTACCTCGGTGGAGAGTCCAAACCAGGTGCCCGCATTGCACGTTCCCCCTGAGTATGGGGATTTGGCTATTGCGTTTAGTAAGTCGAGGGCGACGCAGTTGCCGCCACATAGGCAGGGAGATTGTGCGATAGACCTTCAGGCAGGAGCTGCGCTCCCACGGAGCCATGTGTATCCTCTGTCTCAAGAGGAGAAAAAAGCTATGGAGACCTACATAGACGAATCTCTGAGACAAGGATACATACGGCCTTCCACTTCCCCTGCGTCCTCGAGTTTCTTTTTTGTGAAGAAGAAGGATGGTGGTTTGCGCCCGTGCATCGATTACCGTGGTCTCAATCAGATTACGGTGAAGTACAGTTATCCACTCCCGCTGATTGCGACCATGACTGAGTCATTGCATGGGGCGCGCTTCTTCACTAAATTAGATCTCAGGAGCGCGTACAACTTGGTGTGCATCAGGGAGGGCGATGAATGGAAGACAGCCTTTAGTACCACCTCGGGCCATTACGAGTATCTGGTCATGCCATACGGGTTGATGAACGCTCCGTCAGTTTTCCAATCATTCGTGGATGAGATCTTCAGGGACATGCAGGGGCAGGGGGTGGTTGTGTACATAGATGACATTCTCGTGTACTCGCCTACCCGTGTCGAGCATGTGGCCCTGGTGCGCCGAGTGTTGCGGAGGCTGGTGGAGCACGACCTGTATGTTAAGGCAGAGAAGTGTCTGTTTTTTCCAGGAGTCGGTCTCCTTTTTGGGGTATCAGTTGTCTACGTCAGGGGTGAAGATGGAGGTAGACCGGGTGTCGGCCGTGCGTAATTGGCAAACACCAACCACTGTGAAGGAGGTGCAGCAGTTTTTGGGGTTTGCAAATTACTACAGGAGGTTTATCCGGGGTTTTGGACAGGTGGCAGCTCCCATCACGTCTCTTTTGAAGGGGGGTCCGGTGCGTCTGCAGTGGTCGGCCGAGGCGGACAGGGCGTTTGGGAGGCTGAAGGACCTGTTTACCTCGGCCCCGGTGCTGGCGCATCCGGATCCCTCTTTGCCGTTCCAGGTAGAGGTGGACGCGTCAGAGGCCGGTCTAGGAGCCGTGCTTTCACAACGGTCTGGCGCGCCACCTAAACTCCGCCCCTGTGCTTTTTATTCTAAGAAGCTCAGTCCGGCGGAGCGGAACTATGACGTAGGGGACAGGGAGCTGTTAGCCGTGGTACAGGCCCTAAAGGTGTGGAGGCACTGGCTTGAGGGGGCTCAACACCCTTTCCTCATTTTGACGGACCACCGTAACCTGGAGTACATCCGGGCAGCGAGGAGGCTGAACCCTCGCCAGGCAAGATGGAATATGTTCTTGACCAGGTTTACATTTAAGATCACGTACATCCCTGGGTCACAGAACGGTAAGGCAGATGCGCTGTCTCGGCGGTATGACACGGAGGAGAGGTCCGTGGAGCCCACTCCCATACTGCCGGAGTCGTGTCTGGTGGCACCGGTAGTGTGGGAGGTCGATGCTGAACTCGAGCGGGCGTTACGCACCGACCCTAGTCCACCGCAATGCCCTGAGGGTCGGAAGTACGTTCCGCTCGAGGTTCGGGATCGATTGATCTATTGGGCTCACACGTCACCCTCCTCTGGACATCCTGGTATCGGCCGGACAGTGCACTGTCTTAGTGCCAAGTACTGGTGGCCCACGTTGGCGAAGGACGTGAGGGTTTATGTTTCCTCCTGCTCGGTGTGCGCCCAGTGTAAGGCGCCTAGACATCTGCCTAGGGGTAAGTTACTACCCCTGCCCGTTCCACAACGACCATGGTCTCACCTCTCGTGGATTTCATTACTGACCTTCCTCCTTCACAGGGGAACACCACTATACTGGTCGTTGTGGACCGGTTTTCTAAGGCCTGTCGTTTGCTCCCCATGCCGGGCCTTCCTACTGCCCTGCAAACCGCCGAAGCACTATTCACCCATGTGTTCCGGCACTACGGGGTACCCGAGGATATTGTGTCTGATCGGGGTCCCCAATTTACCTCCAGGGTCTGGAGAGCCTTTATGGAGCGGTTGGGGGTCTCGGTGAGCCTCACCTCGGGTTACCACCCGGAGAGTAATGGGCAGGTGGAACGCGTGAACCAGGATGTGGGTAGGTTTCTTAGAACATACTGCCAGGACCGGCCGGAGGAGTGGGCAAGGTACGTTCCCTGGGCCGAGATGGCCCAGAATTCCCTACGCCATTCCTCCACTAACCTAACCCCTTTTCAATGTGTGCTGGGTTACCAGCCGGTTCTGGCACCTTGGCAGCAGAGCCAGATCGAGGCTCCTGCGGTGGATGAGTGGGCGCGGCGCTCGGAGGAGACATGGAACGCTGCACACGTCCACCTGCAGCGGGCCCTCCAACGTCATAAGGCGAGCGCCGATCTCCACCGCAGTGAGGGACCGGTGTACGCACCTGGTGATCGAGTCTGGCTCTCTACCAGAAACCTGCCCCTCCGCCTGCCCTGTCGGAAACTGTGTCGGCGGTTTGTAGGGCCATTTAAAGTCCTGGGAAGGTTGAACGAGGTGTGTTACAAATTACAACTGCCTGTTGAATATAAAAGTATTAACCCCTCGTTCCATGTGTCCCTTCTCAGGCCGGTGGTAGCTGGCCCACTCCAAGAAAGTGAGATCAGGGAGACTCCTCCGCCCCCATTGGACATCGAGGGGGCACCGGCGTACACTGTGAGGTCCATCTTGGATTCGAGACGTCGGATGGGGGGTCTCCAGTATCTAGTGGAGTGGGAGGGGTACGGTCCGGAGGAGCGGTGCTGGGTGCCGAGGAGAGACATCTTGGACCCGTCTCTCCTGACGGAATTCCATCGTGGGCACCCGACGCACCCTGCTCCGCGTCCTCCGGGTCGTCCCCGAGGCCGGAGTCGGCGCACGTCTGGAGCCGCGCGTCAAGGGGGGGGGTACTGTCACGGTTTCGGCCGAGTTAGCCTCTCTCGCCTGTGTCGTTCTGGTGCCAGAGCTTCGTTGTTTGCGTTGTGTCCACCGATCTGTTTAGCCGTTGTATGGTTCATTTTTCGTTGTTGGCTTTTGTTGTTATTGTTTTTGTCATCAGGCTGTTCCTTGTTTCCTCTTAGTTTCCCTCTTTGGAGTTTTCGCGTTTGTGGTTTGTTTGTTGCTTCGTGCTATTGACTTAGTTTGTCATTCGTGTATAAGCGTTGATATCCGTCTTGTCGCGTTGATTCAGCTTGCCCTCCACTGTGGTAGTTTTAAGCACTGTTTGGTTTCGCTATTTTTTTGAATTCTCCCTTTGACGTATTTCGCCTTCAGGGCAAGAGTGGACCTATGGCCGTTTGCAACAACAAATCTGTTGGAACTATCCATATCTGTATTCCTGCGTTTGATTCACCATTAAAAACTAGATACGCGTTACACTGATTGAGTATCATAAAAACTAGATTGGATTATAGAATATTTATCATCTTCAATAAAAAACTTTTCTGTTGACTTCTTTGTTTCGTTTTATGGGTGGGAGGCGCACAACTGTGGCCTGTTCACCTCGTAACTCATATTTTTTGAATGTCGAGGATTTATGTGAACATTATCCAGAGTTAAGATATGGTTGTGGTGCACTCAGGAACTGGATTGATTATCAGTGATTGGATTGAGTATTGTCAATCCAACTTGTTCAGATAACATCCTTGAGTAACAATCAGAAACAACTTGAATGAGCATGATGATTTGAGACTGAAAGAGAAAATAAGTATTGACGATGTTTCATTTATCGAGAATTTTTATTTCATGTATTTGTTTTTTGCAATGATACTTTGGTATTCTTTGAACTTCACACAAATGGCAGTAAGCTAATGATTGTACCTATTGGTGACATGCAAATCTGATATCAGCTTGATGGTTGGTAAACTGTATTTCATATTTCATAGGTTTGGTCAATGTCCAAAATCCTAGAAGGTGACCATCAGAATCAGGCGTCCGGAACTGGAGGCTGGATGATCTGCTGGATGGGGGTGAAGGGGGTGAGGGACATGTTTTTGGTGTCCAGGGAGTCTGGGTTGTCCCTCCTCTGAGGATCTCCTAGGATGTGGCCAGTCCTTGTCAGATCTCCCCTAAGAGGACAAGTTCAGTCATTCAACATGGGATCTGTCAATCTGATGCTTTAGCAGCAATATCAACGGGAAGCCCCTTTTGTAAGCACCACAGAGAACCAACTTACCGCTGCAGTCCAATAGCACTGAAACCTCTCACAGGAGCATGTCTCTCCCCTCCAACCACTGCCCCACACTCTAGACAGTGTGCCAGCTGGGTGGGGCGACCACACTGCAAAGAGGGGGTGAATTAGTCTGCTGTGTAGTTAATCAAATCAATTGTCACATGCGCCGAATACAACAGGTGTAGACCTTACCGGGAAATGCTTACTTACAAGCCCTTAACAAACAATGCTGTTTTAAGAAAAATAAGAGTTAAGAAAATGTTTTACTAAATAAACTAAAGTAAAAAAATAAAAGATCAACAATAAAATAACAATAACAAGGCTGTATACAGGAGGTACCGGTACCGAGTCAATGTGCGGGGGGACAGGTTAGTCAAGGTAATATGTACATGTAGGTAGGGGTAAAGTGACTATGCATAGATAATAAACAGCGAGGAGCAGCAGCGTAAAAGGGGGGGGGGGGGGGGGGTCAATGCAAATAGTCCGGGTAGCCATTTGATTAGCTGTTCAGCAGTCTTATGGCTTGGGGTTAGAAGCTGTTAAGAAGCCTTTTGGACCTAGACTTGGTGCTCCGGTACCGCTTGCCGTGCGGTAGCAGAGAGAACAGTCTATGACTAGGGTGGCTGGAGTCTTAGCCAATTTTTAGGGCGTTCCTCTGACACCGCCTGGTATAGAGGTCCTGGATGGCAGGAAGCTTGGCCCCAGTGATGTACTGGGTCCGTACCGACTAACCTCTGTAGTGCCTTGCGGTCGGAGGCCGAGCAGTTGCCATACCAGGCGGTGATGCAACCAGTCAGGATGCTCTCGATGGTGCAGCTGTATAACTTTTTGAGGATCTGAGGACCAATGTCAAGTCTCCTGAGGGTGAATAGGCGTTGTTGTGCCCTCTTCACGACTGTCTTGGTGTGTTTGGACCATGATAGTTTGTTGGGTGATGTGGACACCAAGGAACTTGAAGCTTTCAACCTGCTCCACTACAGCCCCGTCGATGAGAATGGGGGCGTGCTCGGCCCTCCTTTTCCTGTAGTCCACAATCATCTCCTTTGTCTTGATCACCTCCATATAGGCTGTCTCATCGTTGTCGGTGATCAGGCCTACCACGTTGTGTCGTCGGCAAACTTAATGATGGTGTTGGAGTCGTGCCTGGCCACGCAGTCATGGGTGAACAGGGAGTACAGGAGGGGACTGAGCACGCACCCCTGAGGGGCCCCCGTGATGAGGATCAGCGTGGCAGATTTGTTGTTGCCTACCCTCACCACCTGGGGGTGGACCGTCAGGAGGTCCAGGATCCAGTTGCAGAGGGAGGTGTTTAGTCCCAGGGTCCTTAGCTTAGTGATGAGCTTTGAGGGCACTATGGTGTTGAACGCTGAGCTGTAGTTAATGAACAGCATTCTCACGTAGGTGTTCCTTTTGTCCAGGTGGGAAAGGGCAGTGTTATAATAATAATATGCCATTTAGCAGATGCTTTTATCCAAAGTGACTTACAGTCATGCATGCATACATTTTTGTGTATGGGTGGTCCCGGGGATCGAACCCACTACCCTGGCGTTTCAAGCGCCGTGCTCTACCAGCTGAGCTACAGAGGACCACAAGGTAACCTTGTTGAGTGCAATAGATATTGCGTCATCTGTGGATCTATTGGGGCGGTATGCAAGTTGGAGTGGGTCTAGGGTTTCTGGGATGATGGGATGATGGTGTTGATGTGAGCCATGACCAGCCTTTCAAAACACTTTATGGCTACAGATGTGAGTGCTACAGGTCGGTAGTCCTTTAGGCAGGTTACCTTGGTGTTCTTGGGCACAGGGACTATGGTGGTCTGCTTGAAACGTTGTTGAATATTTGTCAATTGAATTTTACATGAAGAACTCTGCTTACCTCACCAACAGCACAAGGGTGCCCATCAGGACAAGCTGTAGAGAACAAATGGCAATAAGACATTGGAATGTTTAGTTTTGCAATGTTTTACTCAGTATACATCACAACTCATCATTTAATTCCTCGGTAACACTTTACCAACAGGTATAATGTTTTATATACTTATCATGTGAATGTATGCGTCATTATAATGTACTATTATAATGCTTACAATATGTGTTCTATGCTGCAATTTTTCAATAGCTGTAATTTAGTGGGGATCAGTATGAGATGATTATCTACATTATGAGCTGTAGCCACAACAACTATTGCAACCTGAAAGCTGAGGTGAATGTTATTGGTAGTGGATGAGTTGAGCTCTTAAGAAAGTGTTTTGTGGGTGAAATATTATGAATATGTTTCATAATTTCATAATTATACTTGTTTTAAAGACTGCCGAAAAAATCCAGTGTTTCTATGTCAAACGGTTTTGTTATATTTCAGTCTTCTGTGATATAAAGTGTAATATTGGGATAAAAACTCAAAATATAATACATTTCAACTCTATATCTGACATGGTACAGGTGTCTTTTTTTTAAAGCCCATAACCATGTGTGTGAGGTGTATAATTTTGTTTCAAAGTAGATTTGTTTAAGACTATCAATAAATAATCGGTGTAACCCCTGATTCAGCAGTAATAGGTTAACTAAATCTATGCCAGAGGTGAATTGAGAGAAAGCATATTTTATAGTTAACATTTCTATGGGCACTGTACTTACAATACCAGGTGAGTGCTTGAAGGCCTCCAGTCTGTGTTAAAACCCTTTGGGCCATAGCCAGCATGTCTTCAGGCATTGTGGGTATGAAGGCTCTCTGTTGCAATAGAAAGTCCGATAAAGACAGAATTCCCATATTCAACATTGAATAAAACGTTTATGAGAACAATGGCTGCGTTTAAATTCTCCACCCTTCTGCCAAAGTGTGCATTTGGATTTAAAAGCATTGGATTGGTGTACGCATTGGCTAGAGTGAGTTTCCACCATTGTTTAATCCATGCGAGGAACTGTGCAGGTGCACACTTCGGGAGAAGGGTGGACAATTGAAATGCAGCCAATATGAGATGGAGGTGAGATGGAATCATACCAGCATGTTGTTAGGAGTCAGGCCAAGCTGCTGAAGAGGTGTAAGCACCCCTTCTGTCCCAGTGAGCAGCACAGCGGCCAAGTGGACAGCCAGCTCTATAAGGACGTGCTCTGCACCGGTACGGCCATTATGGACAGTCAGTCCTCCCATCCTGTTGTGCACCAAAGCCATGGCAAAGTCCCTCACCGGCCTGGGATCTAGGTACCTTGAACCCTGGATGAAGTACTCAAGTGCTTGGCGTTTCTGAGGGAGGACAACCATTATGGTTAAATATAACCTCTGTGTGTGGACTGAGGGTTCAGTTGGACATAACAGATCTTTCATCCTAACATTTTCTGGGACAATCAACATGGGTTGATTGAGATTTGGGGGGACTTTTCAGGAATCTATGAAAGGTCATGTTTAAATTAAAATAGCAACATGATATGAAAATCAAACGTTGACATTTAACTAGACCTATTTCTATCATCATCAACAGAGTCCTAGAGGTGTCCTACCCTAGAGGTGTCCTACCCTAGGGGTGTCCTACCCTAGGGGTGTCCTACCCTAGAGGTGTCCTACCCTAGAGGTGTCCTACCCTAGAGGTGTCCTACCCTAGGGGTGTCCTACCATAGAGGTGTCCTACCCTAGAGGTGTCCTACCGTAGAGGTGTCCTACCCTAGAGGTGTCCTACCATAGAGGTGTCCTACCCTAGGGGTGTCCTACCCTAGAGGTGTCCTACCATAGAGGTGTCCTACCATAGAGGTGTTCTACCATAGAGGTGTCCTACCCTAGAGGTGTCCTACCATAGAGGTGTCCTACCCTAGAGGTGTCCTACCATAGAGGTGTCCTACCCTAGGGGTGTCCTACCATAGAGGTGTCCTACCCTAGGGGTGTCCTACCCTAGAGGTGTCCTACCATAGAGGTGTCCTACCATAGAGGTGTCCTACCCTAGGGGTGTCCTACCATAGAGGTGTCCTACTATAGAGGTGTCCTACCCTAGGGGTGTCCTACCATAGAGGTGTCCTACCATAGATGTGGGGTGGAGGCTTGTGTTGGCTGCTCGGTACAGACTGGTGACTTCTCTGAAAAGAGCCAGCAGGACATACAATGTCCGCCTCCTTGGAGGTGCAGTACATCTCTATAAACAAGACAAAGACACAGAGCGGAGGATTATCCTCTTATCAATGATCCATTACCTCAGATAATTAGAAATGCTTTTAAACCGGTTAATAATAGTAATGCGCGAGACAGTGGTTGAGTGCTGAGTGGAATTGCACTAATACCTCACACATCTTCTCTATGTCCTCCACACTGCCCTCTAATACTGCTTTGGCAACAGCCTCCCGTACAGCCTGGTATTGCTCTCCATAGACCAGATACTGGTCCATCTGCCCACCATCTTCATTCTGCACATAATCCCACATACGAACAACCATATACAGTATGTGTTTTATTTATATTTTTATGATCGACTTCATGAATCATTATAAAAAAGTATGGAAAATAAGTATGAAATCAAAAACGGTCAAGTACAATTAACAGACAGTGTGATGACTTGATCTTTCAATAATTACACAATGGTATACACGTAAAAAACTAAAACAAATATTTGACAATATCTGCATTTTTCAAAATGCACATATATGTGACCAGATTTCTCTGTGGGGGCTTATGTCAAATGTTAGAGCTTCAAAATGGTATATCATACAATGCAGTTGGAGGAAACATTGGAAAGTTATGCTGCTTTGAAAGTTGATTAAACTTGTTATCCCACTTAGGAGACAAGTAGGACAAAATGCCCTTTGAAAAATGTTGATGCTATTTTCACTTCCGAGAGATCTCTTCTTTGTTTACGCCCATTCAGCATCGTTCACACCCTCTTAAGCCTTAGCCCCACCCATCTCTTTTAGAATTCACATGTAAACGCATGGCCAATCATCAGCATGGTCAACTCCACCATTATCGCAGCCAGACGCTGGGTCCTACTGTGAAGAATGAAGTAGTATCAAATGCCCCAGATCCTTTAACCAGTCACATATATGGTTCTTCGTTGCAAGAGTTCATTTACAGAGAGATCATATGATATACAGTGCATTCGGAAAGTATTCAGACCTCTTTACTTTTTCCACATTTTGATATGTTACAGCCTTATTCTAAAATGGATTAAATAATTTTTTCCCTCATCAATCTACACACAATACCCCATAATGACAAAGCAAAAACAGGTTTTTAGACATTTTAGCAAATTTATAAAATAAAAAATAAAAAAAATAAATATCACATTTACATAAGTATTCAGACCCTTTACTCAGTACTTTGTTGAAGAAAACTAAATTCCCTGCCGACCTGGCATCTTTTCACTCCCTCCTCTCTACATTTTCTTCATCTGTTTCTGCTGCTAAGGCCACCTTCTACCACTCTAAATTCCAAGCATCTGCCTCTAACCCTAGGAAGCTCTTTGCCACATTTTCCTCCCTCCTGAATCCTCCCCCCCCCCTCCCCCCCTCCTCTCTCTCTGTGGATGACTTCGTCAACCACTTTGAAAAGAAGGTTGACGACATCCGATCCTTGTTTGTTAAGCCTAATGACACTGCTGGTCCTGCTCACACTGCCCTACCCTATGCTTTGACTTCTTTCTCCCCTCTCTCTCCAGATAAGATCCTGCGACTTGTGACTGCAGGCCGCCCAACAACCTGCCCGCTTGACCCCATCCCCTCCTCCCTTCTCCAGACCATCTCCGGTGACCTTCTCCCCTACCTCACCTCGCTGATCAACTCATCCTTGACCGCTGGCCATGTCCCTTCCGTCTTCAAGAGAGCGAGAGTTACTCCCCTTCTCAAAAAAACAACACTCGACCCCACTGATGTCAACAACTACAGACCAGTATCCCTTCTTTCTTTTCTTTCCAAAACTATTGAGCGTGCCGTCTTTAGCCAACTCTCTTGCTATCTCTCTCAGAATGACCTTCTTGATCCAAACCAATCAGGTTTCAGGACTGGTCATTCAACTGAGACTGCTCTTCTCTGTGTCACAGAGACTCTCCGCACTGCTAAAGCTAACTCTCTCTCCTCTGCTCTTGTCCTTCTAGATCTGTCTGCTGCCTTTGATACTGTGAACCATCAGATCCTCCTCTCCACCCTCTCCGAAATGGGCATCTCCGGCGCGGCTCACTCCTGGATTGCGTCCTACCTGACCGGTCGCTCCTACCAAGTGGCGTGGCGGGAAGCTGTCTCCGCACCACGTGCTCTCACCACTGGTGTCCCCCAGGGATCGGTTTTGGGCCCTCTCCTTTTCTCCCTATACACCAAGTCACTTGGCTCTGTCATATCCTCACATGGCCTTTCCTATCATTGCTACGCTGACGATACACAACTAATCTTCTCCTTTCCCCCTTCTGATCACCAGGTGGCGAATCGCATCTCTGCATGTCTGGCAGACATATCAGTATGGATGACGGATCACCACCTCAAGCTGAACCCTGGCAAGACGGAGCTGCTCTTCCTCCCCGGGAAGGACTGCCCGTTCCATGATCTCGCCATCACGGTAGACAACTCCGCTGTGTCCTCCTCCCAGAGTGCGAAGAGCCTAGGCGTGACCCTGGACAACACCCTGTCGTTCTCCGCCAACATCAAGGCGGTGACCCGCTCCTGCAGGTTCATGCTCTACAACATTCGGAGAGTGCGACCCTGCCTTACACAGGAAGCGGCGCAGGTCCTGGTCCAGGCACTTGTCATCTCCCGTCTGGACTACTGCAACTCGCTGTTGGCTGGGCTCCCTGCCTGTGCCATTAAACCCCTACAACTCATCCAGAATGCCGCAGCCCGTCTGGTGTTCAACCTTCCCAAGTTCTCTCACGTCACCCCCCTCCTCCGCACACTCCACTGGCTTCCAATTGAAGCTCGCATCCGCTACAAGACCATGGTGCTTGCCTTTGGAGCAGTGAGGGGAACGGCACCCCTGTACCTTCAGGCTCTGATCAGTCCCTACACCCAAACGAGGACATTGCGTTCATCCACCTCTGGCCTGCTGGCTCCCCTTCCTCTGCGGAAGCACAGCTCCCCCTCAGCCCAGTCAAAACTGTTCGCTGCTCTGGCACCCCAATGGTGGAACAAGCTCCCTCACGACGCCAGGACAGCGGAGTCACTCACCACCTTCCGGAGACATTTGAAACCCCACCTCTTTAAGGAATACCTGGGATAGGCTAAAGTATTCCTTCTAACCCCCCCCCCCCCCCCCCCCCCCCCAAATTGTAAAGTGGTTATCCCACTGGCTATAGGGTGAACGCACCAATTTGTGAGTCGCTCTGGCTAAGAGCGTCTGCTAAATGACGTTAATGTGCCCTTGAGCAAGGCACTTAACCCTAATTGCTCCTGTAAGTCGCTCTGGTTAAGAGCGTCTGCTAAATGACTAAAATGTAAATGTAAATGTAAGCACCTTTGGCAGCGATTACAGCCTTGAGTCTTCTTGGGTATGACCCTACAAGCTTGGCACACCTGTATTTGGGGAGATTCTCCCATTCTTCTCTGCAGATCCTCTCAAGCTTTGTCAGGTTGAATGGGGAGCGTCGCTGAACAGCTATTTTCAGTTCTCTCCAGAGTTGTTCGATCAGGTTCAAGTCCGGGCTCTGGGCCACTCAAGGACATTCAGAGACTTGTCCCAAAACCACTCCTGTATTGTCTTGGCTGTGTGCTTAGGGTCGTTGTCCTATTGGAAGGTGAACCTTCACCCCAGTCTGAGGTCCTGAGCAATCTGGAGCAGTTTTTCATCAAGGATCTCTCCGTTCATCTTTCCCTCAATCCTGACTAGTCTCCCAGTCCCTGCCACTGAAAAACATCCCCACAGCATGATGCTGCCCCCACCATACTTCACAGTATGGATGGTGCCAGGTTTCCTCCAGATGTGACGCTTGGCATTCAGGCCAAAGCATTCAATCTTGGTTTCATCAGACCAGAGAATCCTGTTTCTCTTGTTCTGAGAGTCCTTTAGGTGCCTTTTGGCAAACTCCAAGCGGGCTGTCATGTGCCTTTTACTGAGGAGTGGCTTCCGTCTGGCCACTCTACCATAAAGGCCTGATTGGTGGAGTGCTGCAGAGATGGTTGTCTTTCTGGAAGTTTCTCCCATCTCCACAGAGGATCTCTGGAGCTCTGTCAGAGGGATCATCGGGTTCTTACTCACCTCCCTGACCAAGTCCCTACTCTCCCGATTGCTCAGTTTGGCCGGGCGGCCAGCTCTAGAAGAGTCTTGGTGGTTCCAAACTTCTTCCATTTAAGAATGTTGGAGGCCACTGTGTTCTTGGGGACCTTCAATGCTGCAGAAATTTTTTGGTACCCTTCCCCCGATCTGTGCCTCGACACAATCCTATCTCAGAGCTCTACGGACAATTCCTTCGACCTCATGGCTTGGTTTTTGCTCTAACATGCACTGTCAACTGTGGGTCCTTATATAAACAGGTGTGTGCCTTTCCAAATCATGTCCAATCAATTGAATTTACCACAGGTGGACTCCAATCAAGTTGTAGTAACATCTCAAGGATGATTAATGGAAACAGGATGCACCTGAGCTCAATTTCGAGTCTCATAGCAAAGGGTCTGAATACTTATGTAAATAAGGTATTTCTGCTTTTTTTATTTTATACATTTGCAAACATTTCTAAAAACCTGTTTTCACATTGTCATTATGGGGTATTATGTGTAGATTGAAGAGGAACTAATGTAATTTATTATATTTAAGAATAAGGATGTAATGTAACAAAATGTGGAGAAAGTCAAGGGGTCTGAATACTTTCCGAATGCACTGTATATGTAGTCTTTCATTTGACTTTAATACAGTCCTTGACAAGTACTTTAATTAAAGGAAAATAAATACAGGCTTTTTCAACAGTTAAAAATGAGGTTCATAAAACATTCAAGAAAACCGTATGTTACTATGTACCTGTTGATGTATCTCTTCAGGGAAAAGCCACCTGTACTCGGCTTCCTTCAGCATCTTCTGGACACACTCTACACCCTGCTGTCTGCTGATGTTGCGGATCATGTAGACCCGGTACCAGTCGTTCACACTCCTCTCACACAGGTTCATAACAGCACGAAGAAACTCCTCAACTACTTCCTGAGGACTTTCACATGCTCCTGTGCACAATGTGAAAAACCAGACAGTTCTTTCAGGACATGTCTTGGATCAGCCATTCAAACTTATTACAAGTCTTTTCTACATTCCCCATGACACACATTTGTGATGGCCTAACAGCCAAAATGTTTGTTGTTGCTCTTGTTGCCTCTAAATTAATACATTTAAAAATAATTTTAAAGTCAGTTTTTTGTGTGTATTTTTGGTAATCGAATCAGTTCTGAGCGCAGTGGTTTCAATTATCTTTTAGAATTCCTTTATACCAATAAGCCCAATTTTGAACCAACATGGAGCAGAACTTTTTAATACATTTTCTCACCAAACAGCATGCTATGGAGAAGGTGTGCAGCCATGCCCAGGCACAGGCGGACCCTAGCGATCTGCTGCAGGTACTCTATTGTGACCGTCTCAGCCGAGTCAGTGACAGAGTCCAGGAAGTGATGCAAGAACTCAGTCTCTTCCTTAAGGCAGGTGTATTCTTGTGGCATTCTGTCCAACAATGAGTCCTGCGAAAGAAAGTTGTATAATAGTCATGTAATCATACTGCAGTCGTGCTCTATGTTGTTATTCTGATTGGACAACAGTCTTGCCTGCCTGCATTGACACCCAATCAGATCATACCTCAAGGCAGTTAATGTACAACGCATAGAGTTCATTTTTATCTTCTGCCTCAACAATGTTGCTCTCTTCTATCGATGTCAAATGCTGCTGCAGATATTCCTTGACTTCATCAAAGCTAAAAAACAAAACATGAATTAGTTAAATTCAGGAAAATGTTTTGACACCATACCTAATCTGAAACCTTGAATTGCGTTACTGGTTACAGCAACATTACAACGACATTAGCAGCTTTTCTGGTTCACTCACCTGTACTTGAGCAGGAGTTTGAGTATCACTGATCTCACCACAGGATTTTTGTCCAGAGACTCATCGAATGGTGAGAAATCTTTGGTGTGTATCTGACTTTGTGCTGGTACAAAGACAATACAAATAGAGCACATCTACAAACACTTATTGAGCCCCAATCTTCCATCCAATCTGTCAATTGTGTGTGTGTGTGTGTATATATATATATATGTGTGTGTGTGGGGGGGGGTGGGGTACCTCTGATAAGTGGAATCGGGTCTGTCTCGACCATAAGGAAGGACAACAAGTGAAGGATGACACCCTTTGATGGGGGGATGTTGTCCTTGAAGCACACAGTAGTGACGAGGTTTATGAAAAACGCATTGCAACTCCGTCTGAACTGGGCGTTTAGGGTGATGCAAGCTCTGCAAAACCATAGGAGACAGATTAGACACTCACTGAGAAAGTACAGTCCCAGTATCCATGGTCAAAACTGTAAAACACACCCACCGTATGTCTTCAGACACTTTCACCTCAAAGTCATCTGGGAGTTCCTGTTTGCACATGGGGCAGTACATCTGGCCCACATTGACACGTCCTCTGACACAGGTCAGACAGAAAATATGGTGACAGGGCAGGTCCACAGGGTCCTCGGGTTCCCCCATACACACAGGGCACTGGAGACCAAACCTAAGGGAAACATCATATGGTAATAACAAACAATTCTGTATATCTCTTATGATTTCACATGTGAAATTTCACGTGATCACATGAAAGTGTTTTTGGAACACGTGAAATTCATGTGTATTTTCCGTAAAGGCAAGCTTATCAGCGACAGCAAATAACATAGACAAATTATATGAATACCATTTAGCACAAAGTAAAGAAACCAAATGGACCTTACTTGCAAATCAGATCACTTGCTCCTTTCTTGCATGCCTTCAGTATTTTAATGACGGCTGCAAAGGGTTCCTCAGATTTTACGTCTGAATGTTTTGCCAGAATCTGTCATACAAGATACAATTAGCAGTCCAATAAATGAAGTAGCTCTTTCCTGCAGTCAAATGACCTACTGGCCTCATGGGTGGAATGTTATTAATATTTTTCATAATTTCATTATTCATAAACATGTTTTTGAAATCGCCGGAAATCCGGTGTTTCTATGTCAAACAGTTTTGTTATAATTTTGTCTTCTGTGATGTATATAAAGTGTAATATTGGGATGCAAACTCAAAATTGAATACATTTCAACTCTATATATGACATGGTACAGGTGTCTTCTTTTTGTGAGCCCATAACCAGTAGATTTGTTTAAGACTACCAAGAAACATTCTGTTTGAGCCTGATTTAGCCCACAGGTTAAATAAGCACAATGTTTAGTGACTGTCCAAAAATTACATTTGGATAGTTCAAGAACTGTTTACAAAGCTCAAGATCACATAGGGCAAATGAAGTCTGAAGGATGGTAAAATATGGGATGAAAATAAACCATGCATGAGCAAAAACGTAAAGAGTACAAATGGGAACATGGAATATCGTTCAGTAGCATGCTAAGTTAGACAAAACAAAATATACAAGATAAACGTACTTTGCCTAAGGTACGAGTGTGGTCAAGGACCAGAGGCTTGAGCTCCCTCTCCTCAAACTCAAAGCCTAGTAGCATGTGTTCCACAAACAGAGAGAGGATGCAGATGTGGTTCCAATTATTACTAGAAACAGAAACAAGGACGTTATTCATTCTGGGGGAATTAGACATATCTGGGACAAGTACAATTACATTGTAATAAAAGTTTATCATACAGAAAACCTGAAATATATACTTCAAAAAGAAAGGTCAAAGACGCAACCAATCGGGCAGACTCACAATTGAATACAGGTATTAAGATACAGTGCCTTCAGAAAGTATTCATACCCCTTGACTTATTCCACATGTAGTTATGTTACAACCTGAATTCAAAATTGATTAAATATATATATTTTTACCCATCTACACACAATACCCCATAATGACAAAAAAAGATATATATATTGAAAATGAAATATATAAATATTTAATTTACATATGTATTCACACCCCTGAGTCCATACATGTTAAAATCACCTTTGGCAGCGATATCAGCTGTGAGTCATTCTGAGTAAGTCTCTAAGAGCTTTGCACACCTGGATTGTACAATATTTGCACATAAGAATTCCTCGAACTGCTTTTTTTTTTAAAAATTCTTTAAGCTCTGTCAAGTTGGTTGTTGATCATTGCTACACTGCCATTTTCAAGTCTTGCTGTAGATTTTCAAGCCGATTTAAGTCCAAACTGTAACTTGGCCATTCATGAACATTCACTGTCTTCTTAGTAAGCAACTTAGTAAGCAATTTGGCCTTGTGTTTTAGGTTATTGTCCTGCTGAAAGGTGAATTCATCTCCCAGTGTCTGTTGGAAAGCAGACTGAATCAGGTTTTCCTCTAGGATTCTGCCTGTGCTTATCTCTATTCCGTTTTTCTTTTTATCCTAAAAAACTCCCTAGTCCTTGCTGATGACAAGCATACCCATAACATGATGCAGCCACCACCATGCTTGAAAATATGAAGAGTGCTACTCAGTGATGTGCTGTGTTGGATTTGCCCCAAACATAACGCTTTGTATTCAGGACATAAAGTCAATTTTCTAGCCAATTTTTTTGCAGTTTTGCTTTAGTGCCTTATTGCAAACAGGATGCATGTTTTAGAATATTAGTATTTTGTACAGGCTTCCTTCTTTTCACTCTGTCATTTAGGTTAGTATTGTGGAGTAACTACAATGTTGTTGATCCATCATCAGTTTTCTCCTATCAAAGCCATTAAACTCTGTAAATGTTTTAAAGTCACCATTGGCCTCATGGTGAAATCCCTGAGCGGTTTCCATCCTCTCCGGCAACTGAGTTAGGAAGGACGCCTGTATCTTTGTAGTGACTGGGTGTATTGATACACCACCCAGTGTAATTAATAACTTCACCATGCTCAAAGGGATATTCAATGTCAGCTTTTATTTTTTACCCATCTACCAATAGCTACTCTTCTTCGCAAGGCATTGGTAAACCTCCCTGATCTTTGTGGTTGAATCTGTGTTTGATATTCACTGCTCGACTGAGGGACCTTACAGATCATTGTATGTGTGGGGTACAGAGATCAGGTAGTCATTCAAAAATCATGTTAAAACACTATTATTGCACACAGAATGAGTCCATGCAACTTATAATGTGACTAATAATTATTCCTGAACTTATGTAGGCTTACCATAAAGGGGTTGAATAGTTATTGGCTCAAGACATTTCAGCTTTTCATTTTTAATTAATTTGTAAACATTTCTAAAAACATAATTCCACTTTGACATTATGGGGTATTGTGTGTAGGACAGTGACACAAAATCTCAATTTAATCAATTTTTAATTCAGGCTGTAACACAACAGAATATCAAGGGGTGTGAATACGTTCTGAAGGCTGTAACTAAGGTAACTGCTACGGTTCTCGCTTTTTGTTTGTTCTTGCTTTTTGAATATCATGTGTTCTTCTGTTATTGCATCGAAAATGTTTTTCCTTTAGAATTGTAAAATAAAATAAAAAGTATACTTTGTCTACTTTCAAAAATATCATACAAAAATATCATAATATAATAAAATATATTAAATATCTATTTTCAAAAAGTCTAATCTCTCTAGTCTTTCAAATGGCTATTTCTCTCACCGGATGTAGTTAAACATTTCCCAGCTCCTCTCTCCACACTGCCTCAGGCTTCCCTGGGAGCAGACCAGCTCCATAGACCCCTGCAGTCTTTTCACCTGCTTCAGCCAGTCTTGGCACTGGGCATTAGAGTCCAACGCAGGAGGCTCCAGCTGCTCAACACAGGCAACTGCTGCGTACACATCCAGAACCTGTTGGTAGAGTGAGGCAGAGAAATGGTTACTAAAAGCAATAATACAAGATCAGGTCTGGCACAACATGATGCGGTCAGTCACTAGGAACAAGCCACAGGCGGACTGATCACAAAGTGATAAAGTGCTCAATAACAACATCACGGATGGAACACACTTTTTGACCAATCAGATTTCTTGGCCAGAATGAACCATTTCATAATATGACATTTACTAACAGCATGTAGGAAGCCTCCTTTCAACACATTATGCACCAATCCTAAAGTTCAACTACTATCATGCACTCATAGAACGCAAACATTTTGCACCTAAACACTGATTTCGCATAACTAAATGTAGCAGTGTGTGGAAAATATCTCAACCTACCATCACTTGGCTATCTTTCACTTGTGGGTTTCGCTGCAAGTGAAGGGCCACCTGTGGCTGCAGGGACATCATCCTGGACAGGTTCTGAAGGCGGGTGCGGTACATCTGGTAGGCCGAGTGGATCAGGGGTAGGGATGGAATATCTTCACTTGGAGCTTTTCGTCGTCTCTGGAGCTCATTCACACAGCTGTTCAGGGCGTCACACAGGAGCTGAGAAGAGAGTTACATATTCATTAGGATCACCTAATTGATGTGTAGGCATATTATATCAAATCTGACTGTAAATATGAATGACCCATTCCTAAATGGAGGCTAATGCTGTGTTTAAATGGTAGGAGGTAGATGGTAGAAGGAAAACCAGATGTTTTCAATGAGAGCACGGTGGTAAATGCCATTGACACTGCGGTGAATGCCGTCAGCCACCTGCCGTAGCGTTGTTTTCTACCGGATGTTGATATGCACTGTTTGTTTACTGAAATTGCCATAGCAATGCATACGGTCGTGCTGGCTTGTTTTTGCCGTCACCCTCTTATTTGCTTTCTTGTCCCGCAATGCCGACTAGTAATAGGTTTTTTTGCGTCCCTCGTCTAAACGCAGCATTAGCGCTTTGCCTGTTTTACTATTTGTATGAACATGTTGAAGAACTGTGCAATAACATACCTTTAACTCCCCCTCTGAAGCCACTTTCACCATCATAGCAATGAAATCCTGCAGGTACCTTTGAAAGAATTCCCTCTGCATTTTTTCATCCATTGTAGCCATGTACTGCCCAAGGGGGATTTTCGGAAAGAATTCCTCGAACTGCCTAGGACTGTGTCCTTCAGAGAAAATTTTTGTGAAGTTTATGCAAGTTCTGCAACTAAACATACTGTAAGTGATTAGAAGTCCATTTGGGAGTTAAGAAACACACAAACAACATAGTAAAAACCTTTATAATGTTTAAGATCATTTTTAACACATATACTACAGCAAATGAAGAGCTTTAAGATACACTTATCATTTGAGTCTCCCTTGTTAAGTTTTGATAACTGCATTTTAGAACAATCTAAATGTATCTTTTAGAAAAAAAAATAAGGCTTTTGATTATTTACTTTCGCGCTGCTGAGTTTGCATCATTAGTTCATCCAGGATATCCCTGATCCTCCAGCTGAAGGGCATCCTGGAGCGCATGGTCCTCTCAGCTGTGATATGGCTCTGTACCAGAATGGTCTTAGACTCAGAACTGTAGGAATTAGACAAATAGTTTGTTGGACCTCGATGGTAACATAGAAATACCCTTGCTACATCGCACATGAGCAAAACCACCTACTTGGGATCCACTTTGACAAAAGGAATATCAAGCATCTCGTTGCTGCCGAATAACTCCAGCCACAGTTTCTTGACTTCCTCCCCACAGTTGACATCTAGCAGGAGGTCCAGATTACAGTCCCTGTCGATAACTGAGACCAACTGGGCCAAGAGGGGTGTGACCACTGCTTGGATTTTCTTCCACAGAGTTTGTCTGTGGAACACGTACAGTATTTGAACAGACTATACTCCTGAACGATGACGAGAACAAATGACCATTTGAACATGAATGAAATGATGGATTTTATGTGAGCTAAGTTAATAGTGCAGTATCATTGATTAACATACGTGAAAGTTCCCCCCTCTTGAAGAGCATTGATGTTGGATGCCTCCGTTAACACCCAGTTCTTGGGGAAGGGGATGTTTCTCTCGTGGTTCTCCAGTAGAGAGTGAAGGCGGCTCCTCAGGGTTTTCAGGAACACAGCTTTAGGGCAGAGATCAAATATATAAATACATGTAAAAGCCAATTAACTTTAGCTATATTATTGGCTTGCCGTCACGACCTGACATAAGTCTGTCTCGGACCAAAAATGTCTAAACAAAATTCAACACATAGATCTAGAACCCCTCATGAACCCCTTTGTAATAAAATGGTCTCGGAAAGGGTTCTAGGTCTGGTCTTTAACCATTGAAACGGTGCTTGGGTCTTGGAGCTACAGTAAAACACTGGAATACTGTGGGTTCGTTCCTAACCTTTCAGGTCCTCACTATCTTCCAAAAGTGTTAGCAGGATCTCCACCCTCCTGGTGCTGAGAGCGCCACTGTCCTCCTGATCTCTGAGCATGCTTACTGCACTCTGCACACAGCTTCGCACCAGATCTGTGACATCAAACTCAGCCTATAACAACAACATGCTCAGATTAATAACACACACCCATACCTACAAACTTGATACAAACTTATACAACATTTAGTACATCCATGTTTTTGATTGCAACATCAAACACCGCAATTACACTTACAGTGTGCTCTGGCGCAGGTGGTTCGAAGTCTGTATCTGTATCTGTTTGCATTGCTTAAACAAAAAAGAAAGCTATATGAAAACTGTTACTATCAAACAATTATTTTCAGTTATTTCTAACTGAAAATAATTGTTATTAACTATGGCATTTGTGCTAATGATTGTAATAGCAATTCAAGTTAATTTACCCTCACACGGCTCCTTCATGTCCTCAAAAAGCTGGCTGATGGGCAGGTTTCTCAAGGACTGGACATCTGATACAAACTCTTTGGATCTTCTAAGGTCGTCAATGTGAACTGATTTCCAGGGTCCTTTGAAAAAACAAAGTGGATGGACTTGCTCTTTAACATTGAAAGAAATGCAGAATGGATAACATTTTCTCTGTGGACTGCTAGGTCATATTATCATACCAGCATGTTATACAAAATTAAAATCTCACCTCCATGAAATCCAACATAGGAGGTTCCACCTTCAATTCGAGGCAGTTTGGTAACGAAGTACACAAACACCCTTCCATTGCCACCATTAGCTTTTGGTTTGTTTATTTCATTTATGGACGAATACCTGAAGAGATAAAAAATAAAAATGTAAATGAAAAAGGGACACAAAATAACTACACTATATATATAATCAGATCTTGCAAATCTATTCGATTAGTTAATATCCGATAGATGTGATGACAAATCCAAAAAGAAACAACTCACTTGGCAGATGCAAGAATGTTCATGCTCTGGGAAGCCTCATCATAGTCGGTTTGGATGATGAGGACTTTGTCGGCAGATGTAGAGTCAAGAAATTGCCTAGAGAGGGAACAAAGTTATTTTCTAATATCTTTCTGAAGAATGATCTACACAGTAACACAAATACCAATGTAAAAAAATATGCTAAACTTCAGATTTTGAAGCAGACCTGATTTCTTTGAGGAATGAGTGCTCTGTGTCAAACTGCTGCAGTGAGAGCAGCTTGATGTTGCAAAGCTCTGTGATGTTCTGGAGCTGTTCGATATCTCCTGCTGTTAATTGCCGGGAAAACGTAGTGACCTTCACAAAGAGCCAAAAAATATGTGAGAAAAATACAAGATGCATTCAATGCAATCCATATTCTTCATAGATAAAATAGTCAAGTGAATTACCTCTGTAAAGTGGGCATGGCACCATTCCTCCGGCCGTGTGTGAGAGGCAATGAAGTCAGCCAGGGATCTGTGCTCCTGCTCTTCAAAATATATTTGTGTCAGTTTCTCTGTCTCAACATCAGACAATTTGGTCCCATCCAGCCGAATGACAGAATCTGGAGTTGCACAGTTCAGCATGATGAACTTGGCTTCATCCAGGACTCTCCTTTGAGGGTCAGAAATGTCAGATTCATCTTTCATCTTCTCTGTAACTTGAAGGACTACAGAGGAGCATGTGTCTGAGTGGTAGCCAATGAAGACATCCGTTGGCAGATATCTGTTTGTCTTGGATTGCTGGCTTTTCAAGGAGACAAACACTTTGACCCATTCCTGTAGTTGTTTGACAATCTCCTTCTGGTCATTCTTAAGAACAGTGTTGATGTCCAGGTAGTGCTTCTCCAGCCTGTTTATCAAGGGAATTGGGAACTGTGTGTAGACCACCTCCTTCTCTTCAATGACAATAAGCCTGAAGTTTTTGTGAACTCTGCACTTCACACGATGGGTTCCCAATCCAAGATCAACATACTTCTGACCTCCAAGTGAAACATAGTATTGGTTGAGAGCGTCATAGAGACTTTCGTACAGATTCTGAAGGTTCAGAAGCACAACAGTCTGGCCAGTTTCCATGCAGATCTTCACTCTGTTGATATTTCTGCAGATCTGAGTGTACTCTTGATCCTTTGGGAAGCTGGAACCAAAGATGATCTCTGGATGGCTCTGGTCTGAGAAGAATGTCTGCTGGAGAATCTGGAGGGCGGCATAGTTTTTGGTGAGGACAAGAAGGTATCGGCACTCCTCGTCTTGGCAAAATGGAATTATGTTTTGTTTCACCAGATCAATAGTGCTGATCCCATCCAAATCGGGTTGATTCGATTTGCCCCACAGCTCTTTGGTAAATATACACACCGCATCCACATCATCTCTTCCGCTGAAGTTCCTCAGGACTGCTCCAATGATTTGGTCCACACCAGGGCTCTGCTTAGAGACCTTGGTGATGGCAAACATCATCTTCACCAGACTGTAGTAATCACGTAAACCGAAAAACCCTTTGCCTTTCTTGCAAGTCTTCATATATGCTTTGGCAAAAGGTTTGAAGAGGTGCTTAACCTTCTCCAGAATCATCTTGTCAGATGAGCATATGCCTTTCGCACTTTCGAATAGCTCATTCTGGTCTGGGTCACCATGGGACACAAAGAGGCCTCTGTTCATCTTGGCAGGGTCCAAGGCCCAATTGGAGATACCAATGAATCCAACCCTCTGATGGGGCAGTGGCTTGTCATCAATGCAGCCTTCCTCCAGTAAGGGGTGCAGTGTTTTCAGAGGCATTTTGGGGGAGTCTTCTGCTAATCCGATCTCATCTAGCACAACAACAGAGATGTACTCCTCCAAATTCTTGCTCTCTTGGAAACGGGCACATTGCTTGAATGTGTTGATGATTCCCTCTGGCGTGGAGTGAGGGCTGCACTGAAAGGACACCAGATGAATCTGTTTCAGTCTTTTGTACAGCTCAGAATGTGCAGCTTGGCCCTGCATGGCATCTGCAACCAAAGTTTTGGACAGAGACTTGGAGCTCCCAGGCTTGCCAACCAAAAACAGGGGGATTCGTAGCTCAATGCAGATCACCATCATGAAGACATTCTCTTTCAAAGCCTTGTTTCTTGCTATTGTCTCTCCCATTGGGACCCCACTTAGGAGGAGATCCTGCATGAGTGAGATTTCCTGCTTCATTTTTGGGGGGATGACATGGGGAAGGAATTTGCAGATTTCTTTCTGGTACTCACCTTTTGTCTCTAAACAGGCTTGATAACACACACCAACAGCCATCAACAGCGACCAATCAACTGGATCACTAGCAGGTGTGCGTACCTGGTCACGCCTGTTCCTCTCCTCCCGGGGTTGTTTCTGGAGGAATGCCCTTAACTCTTCAGAAAACATTGAGTGGTTCTTGTAGAACCACACAAACACTTGCATGCAGCGCTCCACATCCCTGAGACTGACAAAGCTGCATTCGTCTTTCCTCTGTCGCATAAATCTCTGCGATGACGACAATACATCAGTGATCATCTTAATGGATACTCGGTTTATTGAAATTTTTTCCACAACTCTCTGCACAATCTGCTGGATGTACATTTTCTCTGTGTGGTCATTGAGTTGCCCAAAGTCCCACACCAGAGGGATCATGCTTGGAGGCAACACTTGGACCCTATACACCAGCTGCCGAAGAGGGATTAATCCAAGTCTTTCTTCAGTCTCTTCAGCTCGGACCCTGTAACCCAAACCAGCTTTCTCCAGCCTCTTGATCATCTCATCTGTGTGTTTCCTGTAAGGGTTGCATGCAGCAATGATCTGCAGTCCAGTTTGGGAGCCAAGTTGTTGTCCTTGCACAGTGTTGTCACACAGGATCTCCTTAATGCTGCTTATAGCTTCCGTGGTATTAGCTTCATCAAAGAAAAGAACAGAATCAAAACCATGTTTCTCCTTATTGGCAACCGCAACAGCCTCTGCCTCGTGCACTTTGGTGCAGATCATGTCAGACGTAGTTCCTCCGTGAACTTTGACCAGTTTCATGTTCTCGGTGGGTGCTCCACTCCTTCTCAACTCACACAGGAACTTGATGAGTCGCGTCTTCCCACAGCCAGTCTCCCCCATTATGATGACTGGAATGCCACACCTGAACCTCATGTGAATTGCCATCATCTTCAGTATGTTGTCGGTGGTGAGTTCATATGTTTCATCAGGGTCTGTTGGCCACTTGATCCCCAGCACACTACATAGACGCTCAATCTTATCTGCTCGAGAAAGTTTGTCAAAGTCAATGTTAAATGGAACTCTTTGAAGTCTGAGGCCATTGTACAGATTTCTGGTCATAATGTTTCTCTTGATCACCACATTTGTTGATGGATTTATGGCATCAACCCCATTCTGCTTGTTCTCCCGTAGGTGAAATCCAATGAAGGTCATGGATGCATGGTCATCATTGAAGAAGATATATGGATGCGGTTCTGACTCCCATCTCTTTCGGATGAGGAACGGGGCTAGATCCCTTTCGTTGAGTCCATTGAGGTCCATCTGCTGCCTCTCATGGCTCTGGTCAGTGATGCAGAGAGATGGAGTGGCAAAGTCCTTGGCCATCAAGATCATGAAGTCAACCACAAAGTTTCTGAATCCCCTAAGAGTGTCTCCAATAAACTGAAAGTTGCAGAAGGCCGATGTCTCACAGTCTAGCAACTGAAGATTGAGGAACCAGGCAAAGTTCCTCAGCTCTGCCCAGGACGGATCACTTATGCCACAGTAGATGAAGAGCATTTGAAGACACTCTGCATGAGTTCCTTCAACTCTTTGGTAGGTGAAGCTGTCAAGATTCTTACCCCTGTGGAACCGTGTTAAATACTGGTATGGTCTTTGAAAGGCCTCACTCCTGAAACACTGGTCATCCATGAGTGGGTCTTCACTTTTCAGCTCTGGATCATCTCCATTTTTCATTTCCAACCCCATAACTTCTTTTGGGGGACGGCAGAAGACCTTAGGAAACACCTCAAAGAGAGGAAAGTGTCCAATCGGATCCTACACAGACAAATACATGCCATATTAAGTATTTTGACAAACACTACCTACACAACACAAATGGGACGTCTAACACAAAAAGTATATAATAACTAGTTTTACGATATACTACAACTGCTGTGTGAAAACCATGCTAATGCTAGCCGTAGGTGGCAGTATCTAAGTAAACAAAGCCAAATCTTGGGTTGTTGACTTCACCCCATAGACTACATTCAAGGTAAAGAAAATATTACGTGATTTCGTCATTTGGGTGATCTATTCCCTTCACTATCGAGTTATAATAAAATGTTAACACGCTAGCCACTGGTGGTTTGGTACGGACATTTAACTGTATACATCCAACCGTTTCACATGACATGACAAAATACAAATAGATTGCCACTTACAGCTCTTGAGGCAGATCTGGGCAGTTCATGTGTGGATTGTAGTGTCTCGATGACATACAAGTCCTTGTTGCTGCATTTCCACATCAGCCCATCCGAATCGGCCAGGTAACGCAGGAAGAACAGTTTGAACAGAAATTCATGGAGTCCTTTCTGTACCTGAATAACATAAATAGCAAGCATATAAAGCACCTGAAACAGAAAAACATCAACATTTTCAATATCTTAACAATACCAAGTATCCTTACCGAGGATGTGACATCAAAATGAAAGACTTTGTGTTCCTTCTTCTCTGGTGTGTCAAACAAGGACTGAAGAATGATATGCTCATCAACCTTGGGCTCAACTAAGCGAATGCATTTGCGGAATGTGGTTCCTTTTCTCATGGTTCCCTCCAGTTTATCATACAACCTTTGTATGTACAGAGATTTTCCTGCAGATAAATAAAACATTTGATTCAGCTCTACAAAGACCTAGGTCAAATGTATGGGCATTGAAGAATTTATGTTTGAAAACTCATGGTAGTATTGTGAGTATGAACGCATTAGTGTTCGTGAAATTCAACACGTGCAATTGAAAATACTGAATATCAAATAATTGTCTGATAAAAAAATCACTTAAAAAAATTATATTCTTATGTACCACGATTACAACTGAAAACCCATATCAGGCACCATAGCATTATGTAAAGTGACAAAACTCAATAAGGTATAACTCACCAACTCCAGCCCTCGTGGAAGACACCATCCCAATAAAGTGTCTACCTTTGAACACAGACGCAGCACTGGCCTGATGTGAGGGGACAGTGTAGTGCCTGGACAGGTATTTCTGTATCCTCTCAGGAGACTCCTGAGGCACAATGTTTCGTTTGAAGTGACTGAAGGCAGAGGGAATGTAGGCGTGCTCTCTTTCTGCGCTGCAGATGATCACCAGCCTATAGCTGCTCCGAGAGCATGAACTCAATTTCTGAAAGAACTTCTCCACTGCATAGCTCACCTCATAGCTCAACTGGTCTGCGAAGAGCAGGGTATAGATCTTCTCACCCATGTAGCCCGGTGTGAGACATCGTCTGAAGAAAAGCTCCACCTGCTCATATGACGTGGTAGGGGTACACAGGAGGACTTCATCGTAGGTAGGCAGCTGCTCATCATCACTGGTCATATACAAGCAGACGCTGGAAGTCAAGATTTTATCTTGTGGGCAGATTATGAGATTAGGTTGACCAGTGAAGAAGCCTTTTGGGAGCTTTCTACTGACTGTATTCTCACTTGTTTCTAAAAGCATGGGTTCCTCTTCCTCGTTTTCTTCCTGGTTCTGTTTGTTGGCTAACACCTCTAGCAGACTGCCTAGGCTTCTGATGTCTAAAGAGTACTGGATAATGCTCCTCATGTCTTTCATGTAAGCATCCCAGACCAGATCCAGTTTTCGTAAACCTACAGCCTGGTCTACAACGCACTGCAGAACATCAACGGCACATTTTCTCTCACCAGCAAAAGAGGAATCTAAGTTTTCCATGTCACTTTGAAGGTCAATAAAAGTCTGAAAACTGGTGTCTTCCTCTTGCCCAGCTGTATTCATGGAGTGGTTCTGAAAAGTCATCCACGTCTCCCACACTTCTGACACAGAGCAGTCAGGTTTGATGAAAGAGAGCATCATCAAGACCTTTTCCTCCAATTTCTTGTTCAGATTCTTCTCGGTCAAAACATTACAAAGGTAGACTATCTGCTCTGCTGTGTAATAGTTGAGGTAATAGTGCTGAGATCTCTGTTTGTCTATGAATCTGTTCCAGTCATCCAAACACATCTCTATCTTCCTGCACAGGTCTGTAAGATGTGCGACTGCATTGCCCTCCACCATGATCTTTCGTAGGATGTTGCCAAGGTTGAAGTCCATTATGATACAAGTGTCACTTTCCATATTGCAGTGAATCTTGGCCTCCCAACACCTAAAAAGTGGGTTCCCAGCAGCATAAAGATCTACAAATGCTACAGCTAGCCTCTGGACACTGTCAAAAACCTGAGAAGATAAGATGGAAATTTGGTGTCTAAAAATTCAGTTCAGTTTCTGTACGTAAAACGTAAGGTTACTTGCATAACCCTGGTTCTCTGATATTATGAGTGAGATATCTCACATGTGGGGTTTCGCTAGGAACATCTACTCTCCAAAGAACCTAGCAAAAGCATCTGACAGGTAGAGGTAGAGTGCGAATGAGGTGAGCCCCTCACCTTCCTTAAAAGGAGCCACTCTCCAGCCCTTAGGTTATTCTCAAATATGCTTCTCTTCCTTGCACTCTTGTGAGCAGGGGAATGCGGTGAGATATATCACTCATAATATCAGAGAACCAGGGTTATGCAAGTAACCTTAAGTTCTCTTTCAACTATTCATTATCTCACATCTGGGGATATAGCCAACTCCCATATCGCAAAGACATGCTCTCCGAAGCTAGGGTAGGCCCAAGATCAGCAACCCTAAGAGGTCCCGAAACCTAGGGAGTACGCACCAAGAAGGTGCAGAAACAACCCATTGGGGAAAAAATCTCATAACCTCATTAACTGAGGGTTGTCAAGAGCTCACTCACGAAGCAGGCAGTGGCCCAGCTGAATGAACCAATCGCAGTAAAAATGGAACGAGGAAAAGCCTGAGGGAGGGAGGCACTCGGGGGGGAACAAAAAGTTATCATGTGAGCACGGTCACTAAAGTGAGCAGACCATAGCAGTTTTTTGTGCAGTGAAGAAAGTGCCTGTGAACAGGGAGTGATTAACAATAGCTTGCACTTCTTCAGATATGCAATTAAAAACAATTTTGAAGAAGGTGGTGGGGACAGGATCGAGAAGGCAGGTAGAAGGCTTAAGTTGTGATATCACTTTCCTGGCCATGTCTGTGTCAACCAGGGAAAATAAATCCATAGTGCTTTTGCGTGGTAGGCTAGGGCACATATCATCAAACTTCTCATCAGGTCTTGCTTGACTGATACACAGCCTAATGTTTGTTATCTTATCTCTGAAATATGCCACAAATGTCAATAGAAAGCCCCTTGGTAATAATCAGGTCCAGAGTATGGCCGCAGTTATGGGTGGGCCCAGTAACATGTTGGATAAAGTCCATAGAGCTCAAAAGATTCAGAAATTTGATGGCCTTCGAGTCTGTCTTTATGTCAACATGAATATAGACAATAGTTCAGAGAAATCAGTAAAGAAAGTAGGGCAGTGCTTTGGTGGCCTACAGGTTATGGCCAGCACTGGTTGCTGACATTTAAACAGTATAGCATGATGCTCAAAAGACCCAAAGTCGTGAAATGACTGAGAGCATTAGTAAAAATAGAGGCTGTCCCCCCACAATTTTTCCCTTTTCTGATAGAGTATGAAAAGCTGTAGTCCGGGGTGGAGGCTTCAATAAGAGCGGCACTTCAGCCTGAAGACAGCCATGTTTCAGTGAGAGACATGCAATGAACTTAGTAATGAGGCCAGTAATGAGGTCATTCACAAGGTTTTACTAGTGATTGCGCTAACATTTAAAGTGCCATATTCAATGACTGTGGGCCACTCTGCCCCTGGTGCATCTGCCTAGAGGTAACCAATGGAATAACAACCAAATGATTAACATTACAACCGTGTTTTCTGACAGTTTCCAATCTATCAGAATGGTAGGAGATGAGTCTCAATAGCTAGCCATGAAGCTATCTACCAACATAAACTGAGAAGTAGAAAAATATTTTCTACACAAAACAAAAAACCTTTCAGGTCAGTACTCAACCTCTCGACAAGGTCTGAAGACCTACGCTCAACAGCGATATCCTTCACGGTTCACTTGTGAGCAGTTCAGCAGGAAAACAGGGATCCAGTCGATCTGAGGAGAGCATGAGAGTAATGCTCTTCGTGAGGAAGAGAAGCGAGAGTAACTAGAGGGTGGGAGAATGGCCTCTTTTAAGGAAGGTGAGGGGCTCACCTCATTCGCCACTACCTGTCTGTCTCCATCAGATGCTTTTGATAGGTTATTTCGAGAGTAGGTGATCCTAGTGAATCCCGACATGTGAGATATCGAAATGAATAATTGAAAGAAAACCATATTTTTTCTAATATGTCAACGCATGTCGTAAGGAGCCTGTGGTAGCATGATAATCAATTTAATAAACATTTTCAGTAAATGATCATTTCAGGTTTGTGATGGTTCTCTTGGTGTCCAATCACCTTACCTCAGTAAAGTGATCCACCTCACTCTGGCTTTGCTCCCCCTTTCCAGACATCAGCATGAGTTTGTTCTGCAGATCTCTCAGGTCTTCTAAGGAGTAGTTACGCATCTGACCTTCCTCCTGCTGCTCTGGAATCTGTAGCTTCAGAGCGGTGTCTAAGCTCAGCTAAAGGAGAAAACAATAGAAAATATCCAATACACAATATGTCAATTTACCGCTGCAGGTATTCAGGAGAGTGCTCACAGATATTTGTCAATGGCAAATATAAATTGAAGACATTGTATGAGTACAAATATAGACATTGACTCCATAATTATGATCTTTAAACAAACTAATGTAAAATAATCATTCAATTGTCTCTAAAAAACATTTTTTTAAACTTAAAAAAATGATTGAACAGACCTTCTTCTGGTTATGCGCACTAATAATATATATGCCTCTTGTGTTGATAGATGTGGCCAGAGAAAGAGAAGAGAGTTCCACAGACCCATGGCTGTCCTTCACAGTTTTCAGCCACTCCAAATGGCGTGCAGTATCTCGCTGCAATCAGGGAGGAAACAATAGTAGAATGTGGTTTAAAACATGAGTTTAAGTTCCAAACCAAATGGCATGCTAAGATTGTGAATGATTATATCATTTAGATTTGTATGTATTCAGGCCAGTAAATGCTGCTCTGCACATCAAACACTTCTGAAAATCCACTCTGCATTTAATCAAATAGTGGCCTTAGTCTTTCTGGTTTGACAAGCTTTCCCCAAATATGAAATATGCCATAATTGTCAGAACATCTTACCAGCTTTTTTGGTATGTTGCTGTCACTTCCAAGCGCCCTCCATAGTTTTGTCAAAGCCTCCTTGAAGGAATTAAAGTCAGCATCTTGTGGTAACCCATACAGCATCGAGGAGTAACCAAGAACAGCGTCATGGAAACAGGCTACACGGTCCACATCCAAGTCGTTCTCTCCAGCAGAGATGGAGGCCAGGTCGACAAACACTTTCAGCTCATTGATATCTGCAATGGCAAAACATGAAACATTTATCCCCTTTTTCCCATGTAAACATTGTTTGAATTAGTAATGGCAAACTAACTAGTTGGCTACTACTGTTGCTGCTCTTTCTGTCTTGCATTTCCTTCTGGTACGACCTCACCTTCAAGAGCTTCTTTGACCCATTTGACAAAGTTCCCCCAAAGGCCAAGCTCCTGAAGACACAGTCTGCGAGGTTCTGTGATGTCCTCAAGAACCTTTTTAGTCTCCATCAAATTGTAATCAATGTAATTCAGACTCTTCTCCTTAAAGTCTGCATTACTCTGGAAACATTGTAATATATATAAATATACAGTAGTAGCCTAATGATGGGAAAGATGCATAGATTGAACATGTGGACTGTTTTGAGAATTTTCCTAACTCACCACATCCAGCAAACTCTGTAGCACTTTGAAGTCCCCTTTAGGACAGATTGTCTCTCTGACATCCATAATGACCTTGGCTGAATCCAATGCTAGATGAAGGTCATGGTACTGTTGGATCTGCTCAATCCGCCTCCTGATCCATCTTCGATCATCAGACAAGTTGATTCTGCACATGATCTCCAGATCATTTTTCATCTCATCATACTTGTCTTTGTAAGCTTCAAAGATCCTATCCACCTCCTCCAATGATAAAGTGCCAGATTTCAAACTCTCATAGATCCTCTGGTAATTGTCGTAGCAACCCTGGAATATTTTTCTGTGGATCACATCGAGAGTGTACACTTCTATCTCCCTCTCAGGCTGTTCTGTCTCGTCAGTGTCAATATGGTTGTGGGAAAGTTTTTTGGCTTGATTCTCCAAGCACATAGCAAAAATGAAGCTTTCCCTGATAGCATTTAGTTCAAATGCCATCTGCCTGGTGACATTACAGAAGTTGAAGTATGTGACCACCCCAGTTACGTCAGAGGTGCGCCCGTCAAGTCTGTGAACTTCCATGAATTCATCCAGCGTCATCTGATCTATGTTCTCTTGGTTTTTGAGCTCCAGCTCTTTCACATCGACTGTGGATTAATATGACATCAATGAGAACCATGACCAAGGCTGTTACATCATGCATTAACAAATATTTTATAAAGACTACCAATAACATAAGCTTTAATGTATACCGTTATCAAATATAATTTAATTCACCTTTCAGATGCTCCTGGAGTCGGAGACAAACTATGACTAGGCCCTCAACCATCTTCTTGTCACTGTACACAGCCTCCATTTCCTCTTCTCTAAATCTCAGTAATCTTTTCATAGTGGTGTCGTCCTTACAACGACCATCTTCACACAGGCCATCTGTAAAAAAAAAAAAAAATTTAACTACATTTTTACAAAACACTCAAGACAATACTTTGACCTCATTGTGGTTCTACTGAAGTGTAATCAGGAGTCCCTTCTCAGATCTGGACTTTTCCAAAGTGTTGGTCTTGGTTTTGAGTAATAACCACTTAACCTCACATCTAAATAAAAGTCCCCTTTTGTCATTGCTAGCATGCCCGCAATACAGTGCATTCGGAAAGTATTCAGACCCCTTGACTTGTCCACATTTTGTTATGTTACAGCCTTATTCTAAAATGGATTACATTGTTTTTTCCCCTCATCAATCTACACACAATACCCCATAATGACAAAGCAAAAACAGATTTTTAGACATTATAAAAAATGTATTAAAAATGAAAAAATGAAATATCACATTTACATAAGTATTCAGACCCTTTACTCAGTACATTGTTGAAGGACCTTTTGCAGCGATTACAGCCTTGAGTCTTATTGGGTATGACGCTACAAGTTTGGCACACCTGTATTTGGGGAGTTTCTCCCATTCTTCTCTGCAGATCCTCTCAAGCTCTGTCAGGTTTGATGGGGAGCGTAGTTGCACAGCTATTTTCAGGTCTCTCCAGAGATGTTCGATTGGGTTCAGGTCCGGGCTCTGGCTGGGCCACTCAAGGACTTTCAGAAACTTGTCCCGAAGCCACTCCTGCGTTGTCTTGGCTGTGTGCTTAGGGTCGTTGTCCTAGTCTTAGGTCCTGAGTGCTCTGGAGCAGGTTTTCATCAAGGATCTCTCTGTACTTTGCTCTGCTCATCTTTCCCTCGATCCTGACTAGTCTCCCAGTCCCTGCCGCTGAAAAACATCCTCACAGCATGATGCTGCCACCACCATGCTTCACCGTAGGGATGGTGCTAGGTTTCCTGCAGACATGACACTTGGCATTCAGGCCAAAGAGTTCAATCTTGGTTTCATCAGACCAAAGAATCTTGTTTCTCATGGTGTGAGAGTCCTTTAGGTGCCTTTTGGCAAACTTCAAGTGGGCTGTCATGTGCCTTTTACTGAGGAGTGGCTTCTGTCTGGCCACTCTACAATAAAGGCCTGATTGGTGGAGTGCTGCAGAGATGGTTGTCCTTCTGGAAGGTTCTCCCATCTCCACAGAGGAGCTCTCTGTCAGAGTGACCATCGGGTTCTTGGTCACCTCCCTGACCAAGGCCATTCTCCCCCGATTGCTCAGTTTGGCCTGGCGGCCAGCTCTAGGAAGTGTCTTGGTGGTTCCAAACTTCTTCCATTTAAGAATGATGGAGGCCACTGTGTTCTTGGGGACATTCAATGCTGCAGACATTTTTTGATACCCTTCCCCAGATCTGTGCCTCGACACAATCTTGTCTCGGAGCTCTACGGACAATCCCTTTGACCTCATGGCTTTGTTTTTGCTCTGACATGCACTGTCAACTGTGAGATCTTATATAGACAGGTGTGTGCCTTTCCAAATCATGTCCAATCAATTTAATTTACCACAGGTGGACTCCAATCAAGTTGTAGAAACATCTCAAGGATGATCAATGGAAACAGGATGCACCTGAGCTCAATTTCGAGTCTCATAGCAAAGGGTCTGAATACTTATGTAAACAAGGTATTTCTGTTTTAATTTCTAATACATTTGCAAACATTTTAAAAACCTGTTTTCGCTTTGTCATTATGGGGTATTGTGTGTAGATTTATGAGATTTTTTAATCAATTTTAGAATAAGGCTGTAACGTAACAAAATGTGGAAAAAGTCAAGGGCTCTGAATACTTTCCGAATGCACTGTACATGCAAGAGTTGCCGCAAAGTCCTTTGGGGGACTTATTTTGATGTAAGGTGAAGTGATGAAGACCTGAAACCAAACCAAGACCAACATTTTGGAAAAGTCTGTTTCATAATACTATGAATATTTTGCCTGTATTTGGACCTTTAACAGAACCAACCTCCCAATGACCCAGTAGATTAACTCTTTATTGGATTTAATTTAACTATCAATCTGGGGAGGCTCTCCTGGCTACTACAGTGGGAGTAAAGCAATATTTACTTAAATGTCTTAATTTTGTATATTTCTCTGACAATCACCTATCTTCAAAAGCTCAATGAATGTTGTTTTCTTTGAGAGGACTTTACTGAGAGTCTTCATCTGGATGTTGCCGTTGATTACTTTATCTGAGACAGAACTGAACGCAGATCTTGCCACAACCATCCGCTCTTTAGCGTCGTCCGTCAAATGGTCAATCATTTTCAGATTTCCACCTGTAATAAAAACATAGTTAGTGGGTTTAAGTGGACATTTGGAAAAATGCACTCAAATGTAAATACACTACATTGCCAAAAGTATGTGGACACATGCTCGTCAACCATCTCATTCCAAAATCATGGCCATTAATGTGGAGTTGGTCCCCCATTTGCTGCTATAACAGCCTCCACTCTTCTGGGAAGGCTTTCCACTAGATGCTGGAACATTGCTGCGGGGACTTGCTTCCATTAATCCACAAGAGCATTAGTGAAGTCGGGCACTGATGTTGGGCGATTAGGCCTGGCTCTCAGTTGGCGTTCCAATTCATCCCAAATGTGTTCGATGGGGTTGAGGTCAGGGCTCTGTGTAGGCCAGTCAAGTTCTTCCACACTGATCTCGACAAACCATTTCTGTATGGACCTCACTTTGTGCACGGGGGCATTGTCATGCTGAAACAGGAAAGGGCCTTCCCAAAACTGGTGCCACAAAGTTAGAAGAACAGAATCGCCTAGAATGTCATTGTATGCTGTAGCGTTAAGATTTCCCTTCACTGGAACTAAGGGGCCTAGTCGAACCATGAAAAACAGCCCCAGACCATTACTCCTCCTCCACCAAACTTTACCGTTGGCACTATGCATTGGGGCAGGTAACGTTCTCCTGGCATCTGCCAAACCCAGATTCGTCCGTCGGACTGCCAGATGGTGAAGCGTGACTCATCACTCCAGAGAATGCATTTCCACTGCTCCAGAATCCAATGGCGGCACTCTTAGGCTTGTGTGCGGCTGCTCGGCCATGGAAACCCATTTCATGAAGCTTCCAACGAACAGTTATTGTGCTGACGTTGCTTCCAGAGGCAGTTTGGGACTCGGTAGTGAGTGTTGCAACCGCGGACAGACGATTTTTACGGGCTATAGCACTCAGCAGTCCCGTTCTGTGAGCTTGTGTGGCCTACCACTTCGCGGCTGAGCCGTTGTTGCTCCTAGATGTTTCCATTTCACAATAACAGCACTTACAGTTGACCGGGCCAGCTCTAGCAGGGCAGACATTTTACAAACTGACTTGGTGGAAAGGTGGCATCCTATGACGGTGCCACGTTGAAAGTCACTGAGCTCTTCAGTATGGCCATTCTACAGCCAATGTTTGTCTATGGAGATTGCATGGCTGTGTGCTTGATTTTATACACCTGTCAGCAACGGGTGTGGCTGAAATAGCTGAATCCACTTATTTGAAGCGGTGTCCACATACTTTTGTATATATTGTATAGCGTAGCTCTCAAGGAACATTTGGAAGTGACAGTTATACATTTAATAGCCATTGTAAACTCAGCAAAAAAAGAAACTTCCCTTTTTCAGGACCCTGTCTTTCAAAGATAATTCGTAAAAATCCAAATAACTTCACAGATCTTCATGGTAAAGGGTTTAAACACTGTTTCCCATGCTTGTTCAATGAACCATAAACAATTAATGAACATGCACCTGTGGAACAGGTCGTTAAGACACTAACAGCTTACAGACGGTAGGCAATTAAGGTCACAGTTATGCAAACTTAGGACACTAAAGAGGCCTTTCTACTGACTCTGAAAAACACCAAAGAAAGATGCCCAGGGTCCCTGCTCATCTGCGTGAACGTGCCTTAGGCATGCTGCAAGGAGGCATGAGGACTGCAGATGTGGCCAGGGCAATAAATTGCAATGTCCGTACTGTGAGACGCCTAAGACAGCGCTACAGGGAGACAGGACGGACAGCTGATCATCCTCACAGTGGCAGACCACGTGTAACACACCTGCACAGGATCGGTACATCTGAACATCACACCTGCGGAACAGGTACAGGATGGCAACAACAACTGCCTGAGTTACACCAGGAACGCACAATCCCTCCATCAGTGCTCAGACTGTCCGCAATAGGCCAAGAGAGGCTGGACTGAGGGCTTGTACGCCTGTTGTAAAGCAGGTCCTCACCAGACATCACCGGCAACTATTGGCACAAACCCACCGTCGCTGGACCAGACAGGACTGGCAAAAGGTGCTCTTCACTGACAAGTCGCAGTTTTGTCTCACCAGGGGTGATGGTCGGATTTGCGTTTATCGAAGGAATGAGCGTTACACCGAGGCCTGTACTCTGGAGCGGGATCGATTTGGAGGTGGAGGGTCCGTCATGGTCTGGGGCGGTGTGTCACAGCATCATCTGACTGAGCTTGTTGTCATTGCAGGCAATCTCAATGCTGTGTGTTACAGGGAAGACATCCTCCTCCCTCATGCGGTACCCTTCCTGCAGGCTCATCCTGACATGACCCTCCCTCCAGCATGACAATGCAACCAGCCATACTGCTCGTTCTGTGCGTGATTTCCTGCAAGACAGGAATGTCAGTGTTCTCAATCCCATTGAGCACGCCTGGGACCTGTTGGATCGGAGGGTGAGGGCTAGGGCCATTCCCCCCAGAAATGTCTGGGAACTTGCAGGTGCCTTGGTGGAAGAGTGGGGTAACATCTCACAGCAAGAACTGGCAAATCTGGTGTAGTCCATGAGGAGGAGATGCACTGCAGTACTTAATGCAGCTGGTGGCCACACCAGATACTGACTGTTACTTTTGATTTTGACCCCCCCTTTGTTCAGTGACACATTATTCCATTTGTGTTAGTCACATGTCTGTGGAACTTGTTCAGTTTATGTCTCAGTTGTTGAATCTTGTTATGTTCATACAAATATTTACACATGTTAAGTTTGCAGAAAATAAACACAGTTGACAGTGAGAGAACGTTTCTTTTTTTGCTGAGTTTATATAAATTTTTCTAGAAACAAATGTGGTGAAAATTCCCACCCAATGATAGCCTTGATTGTATGTGGAATTTGTTGTGGAAATGGTTAGAGCAGTGGAATTTCTTGAGAAAATTCACCTTGGACTCTAAAGACACTTTTGGCCATGGACCAGTTGAGAAGATGTTCCACTACACACTCCTCCCCTTCCAGGTATTCTCCGTTGGCAGTTTGGGGCCAGGACTTCATCACAATAGAAGACAATAGCCTCTGAAACTTGCTAAAGTCAAGTTTTTTCAACCGTTCAAATAGAGCCTCCTGAGAGCTCCCCTGATCATGTCAAATGAAAATAGGAGATAAAAATGCATTACTTTACTTCCTCACAAACTCAATGCACAGCCTAACGATTAAGGTAGCCTAACAATTAAGAACGTTGGGCCAGTAACCAAAAGGTCACTGGTTCAAATCCCCGAGCTGACTAGGTGGGAAAAAACATCTGGCGATGTGACCTTGAGCAAGGCACTTAACCCTAATTGCTCATTTAAAAGTCGCTCTGGATAAGAGCGTCTACTAAATGACGTAAATGTACATTTCCAGATTTAAATTGGAACTTTCATTTCTACTAGAGAGCGTTTTCAAAATAGTGATGTTATTCATCTTGCCTGACAAATGACTGTGACTGCTTCCAAAGCGCATTTCTCCAAGGAGTTCTTCAAGAATGGCAGCGTCCCGCTCACTTCCTCTATCTTATTGATGTATATTTCAATTTGATGCATGGACGTTTCCTGATGGCCATACAAAATATGAATGAATGATGTACATACATATTTTTTAAATTGATGACCTTGTAGATGTATCTCACCTGTTTGAGTTTTCCTTCAAAATCATTCAAGAATGCATTTCTCCAGTATTGGGTGAATTCTTCTGAACCAATTTTAAGTGAGATCAGCTTGTTCCAGACCTACAGGAAAAGGTTTTCACCATACTTCAAGTTTTCCTTTTATCAAACACTAGAATTCCAAATTAGAAACTGTTCTGCAATAATAATAATACAAATATAATATTTTTTTAATATCAATTATTTAATTAGGTCAAACAAAAACTCTTACCTTAGTCTCATACATGGATGCAAAATCAATGTAATTGAGATCTTTCACCAATTTGTTCTTGAATGTGATTCGCAGCCATTCCTTCATGATGGTAATGGTCTCCTGTAACTTCGTGTTTTCCAAAAGGTTATTTGTCACTTCCTAAGTAATTCATAACAAAAATATTCAGACTCATCAAATATTCATCTCTTGGACAAATCACTCTTTATATTACAATTCAGTTCAGCCTGGCTTAACATTTAATCGGCCTTGTAATGCTAAGCCAGACTGTATTGAAAATAAATTCTGACAATCTTTGCTTTAAGAACCACCATGTTGATTCTTTCCTTCTAAAAAACCTAAAGAATTCAAGTTATGTATGGGGTTTTAGAGATATACAACATGAAATGCTTATTATCATTTCAAGCAAGGCCATCTTGTTTACCATTTATTGCACAATATTGAATATATTTTTTTATATGTGCAGCACATTTTGAGATTTACAGTTGAAGTCGGAAGTTTATATACACTTAGGTTGGAGTCATTAAAAATCGTTTTTCAACCACTCCACAAATTTCTTGTTAACAAACTATAGTTTTGGCAAGTCGGTTAGGACATCTACTTTGTGCATGACACAAGTAATTTTTCCAACAATTGTTTACAGACAGATCATATCACTTATAATTCACTGTATCACAATTCCAGTGTGTCAGAAGTTTATATACACTAAGTTGACTGTGCCTTTAAACCGCTTGGAAAAATCCAGAAAATGATGTCATGGCTTTAGAAGCTTCTGATAGGCTAACTGACATATTTTTGAGTTAATTGGAGGTGTACCTGTGGATGTATTTCAAGGCCTACCTTCAAACTCAGTGCCTCTTTGCTTGACATCATGGGAAAATCAAAAGAAATCAGCCAAGACCCATTTAACTTCCTGACTGATGTCTTGAGATGTTGCTTCAATATATCCACATAATTTTCCTTCCTCATGATGCCATCTATTTTGTGAAGTGAAAAAAAAAACTGTAGACCTCCACAAGTCTGGTTAATCCTTGGGAGCAATTTCCAAACGCCTGAAGGTACCACGTTCATCTGTACAAACAATAGTACGCAAGTATAAACACCATGGGACCACGCAGCCGTCATACCGCTCAGGAAGGACACACGTTCTGTCTCCTAGAGATGAACATACTTTGGTGCGAAAAGTGCAAATCAATCCCAGAACAAATCAAATCAAATCAAATCAAATGTTATTGGTCACATGCGCCGAATACAACAGGTGCAGACATTACAGTGAAATGCTTACTTACAGCCCTTAACCAACAGTGCATTTATTTTAAACAAAAAAAGTAAGAATAAAACAACAACAAAAAAAGTGTTGAGAAAAAAAGAGCAGAAGTAAAATAAAGTGACAGTAGGGAGGCTATATATACAGGGGGGTACCGTTGCAGAGTCAATGTGCGGGGGCACCGGCTAGTTGAGGTAGTTGAGGTAATATGTACATGTGGGTAGAGTTAAAGTGACTATGCATAAATACTTAACAGAGTAGCAGCAGTGTAAAAAGGATGGGGTGGGGGGGCAGTGCAAATAGTCCGGGTAGCCATGATTAGCTGTTCAGGAGTCTTATGGCTTGGGGGTAGAAGCTGTTGAGAAGTCTTTTGGACCTAGACTTGGCACTCCGGTACCGCTTGCCGTGCGGTAGCAGAGAGAACAGTCTATGACTAGGGTGGCTGGAGTCTTTGACAATTTTGAGGGCCTTCCTCTGACACCGCCTGGTATAGAGGTCCTGGATGGCAGGAAGCTTTGCCCCAGTGATGTACTGGGCCGTACGCACTACCCTCTGTAGTGCCTTGCGGTCAGAGGGCAAGCAGTTGCCATACCAGGCGGTGATGCAACCAGTCAGGATGCTCTCGATGGTGCAGCTGTAGAATTTTTTGAGGATCTGAGGACCCATGCCAAATCTTTTTAGTCTCCTGAGGGGGAATAGGCTTTGTCGTGCCCTCTTCACGACTGTCTTGGTGTGTTTGGACCATGATAGTTTGTTGGTGATGTGGACACCAAGGAACTTGAAGCTCTCAACCTGTTCCACTACAGCCCCGTCGATGAGAATGGGGGCGTGCTCAGTCCTCTTTTTTTTTTTCCTGTAGTCCACAATCATCTCCTTTGTCTTGGTCACGTTGAGGGAGAGGTTGTTGTCCTGGCACCACACGGCCAGATCTCTGACCTCCTCCCTATAGGCTGTCTCATCGTTGTCGGTGATCAGGCCTACCACTGTTGTGTCGTCGGCAAACTTAATGATGGTGTTGGAGTCGTGCCTGGCCATGCAGTCATGGGTGAACAGAGAGTACAGGAGGGGACTGAGCACGCACCCCTGAGGGGCCCCCGTGTTGAGGATCAGTGTGGCAGATGTGTTGTTACCTACCCTTACCACCTGGGGGCGGCCCGTCAGGAAGTCCAGGATCCAGTTGCAGAGGGAGGTGTTTAGTCCCAGGATCCTTAGCTTAGTGATGAGCTTAGAGGGCACTATGGTGTTGAATGCTGAGCTGTAGTCAATGAATAGCATTCTCACGTAGGTGTTCCTCTTGTCCAGGTGGGAAAGGGCAGTGTGGAGTGCGATAGAGATTGCATCATCTGTGGATCTGTTGGGGCGGTATGCAAATTGGAGTGGGTCTAGGGTTTCTGGGATTATGCTGTTGATGTGAGCCATGACCAGTCTTTCAAAGCACTTCATGGCTACAGACGTCAGTGCTACGGGTCGGTAGTCATTTAGGCAGGTTATCTTAGAGTTCTTGGGCACGGGGACTATGGTGGTCTGCTTGAAACATGTTGGTATTACAGACTCAGTCAGGGACATGTTGAAAATGTCAGTGAAGACACTTGCCAGTTGGTCAGCACATGCTCGGAGTACACGTCCTGGTAATCCGTCTGGCCCTGCGGCCTTGTGAATGTTGACCTGCTTAAAAGTCTTACTCACATCGGCTACGGAGAGCGTGATCACATAGTCATCCGGAACAGCTGGTGCTCTCATGCATGCTTCAGTGTTGCTTGCCTCGAAGCGAGCATAGAAGTGGTTTAGCTCGTCTGGTAGGCTTGTGTCACTGGGCAGCTCGCGGCTGTGCTTCCCTTTGTAGTCTGTAATAGTTTTCAAGCCCTGCCACATCCGACAAGCGTCAGAGCCAGTGTAGTATGATTCAATCTTAGACCTGTATTGACTCTTTGCCTGTTTGATGGTTTGTCGGCGGTCATAGCGGGATTTCTTATAAGCGTCCGGGTTAGAGTCCCGTTCCTTGAAAGCGGCAGCTCTACCCTTTAGCTCAGTGCGGATGTTTCCTGTAATCCATGGCTTCTGGTTGGGGTATGTACGTACGGTCACTGTGGGGACGACATCATCGATGCACTTATTGATGAAGCCAGTGACTGATGTGGTGTACTCCTCAATGCTGTCTGAAGAATCCCGGAACATGTTCCAGTCTGTGCTAGCAAAACAGTCCTGTAGCTTAGCATCTGCGTCATCTGACCACTTTTTTATTAACCGAATCACTGGTGCTTCCTGCTTCAGTTTTTGCTTATAAGCAGGAATAAGGAGGATAGAGTTATGGTCAGATTTGCCAAATGGAGGGCGAGGGAGAGCTTTGTATGCGTCTCTGTGTGTGGAGTAAAGGTGGTCTAGAGTTTTTTTCCCCCTGGTTGCACATTTAACATGCTGGTAGAAATTAGGTAGAACGGATTTAAGTTTCCCTGCATTAAAGTCCCCGGCCACTAGGAGCGCTGCATCTGGATGAGCGTTTTCCTGTTGATTAATGGCCTTGTACAACTCATTCAGTGCAATCTTAATGCCAGCATTGGTTTGTGGTGGTAAATAGACAGCTATGAAAAATATAGATGAAAACTCTCTTGGTAAATAGTGTTGTCTACAGCTTATCATAAGATACTCTACCTCAGGCGAGCAAAACCTCGAGACTTCCTTAGTATTTGATTTTGTGCACCAGCTGTTGTTTACAAATATACACAGACCGCCACCCCTTGTCTTACCAGAGTCAGCCGTTCTGTCCTGCCGATGTAGCGTATAGCCTGCTAGCTGAATGTTATCATTGTTGTCGTTCAGCCACGACTCCGTGAAACATAAGATATTACAGTTTTGAATGTCCCGTTGGTAGGATAACCGTAATCTTAAATCGTCCATTTTATTCTCAAAAGCTTGAACGTTGGCTAATAGGATTGATGGAAGAGGCAGTTTACTCGCTCGCCGTCGGATCCTTACAAGGCACCCGGATCTGCGTCCGCGATATCTCCGTCTCTTCCTCACGCGAATGACGGGGATTTGGGCCTTGTCGGGTGTCTGTATGATATCCTTCGCGGCCGCCTCGTTGAAGAAAAAATCTTCGTCCAATGCGAGGTGAGTAATCGCTGTCCTGATATCCAGAAGCTCTTTTTGGTTATAAGAGACGATGGCAGAAACATTATGTACAAAATAAATTACAAATAACGCGGAAAAACACACATAATAGTACAATTGGTTAGAGCAGTGGTCACCAAACTACGGCCCGCGGGCCGAATACGGCCCGTCAGCACATTTGGCCCGGCCCTCTGAACAATACCAGAGACGCTATCGGATTTTTTTCCTATTTGGCCTCCAGAAAAAAAATCCTAGGCCCGGCCCTGTCAAAGAGAGAACGGAATAATGGCGAAAAGGTTAGGTAAGAGAAAAATTGATTCAGAATGCAGGGTATTTAACCTGCAGTGGACAAACGATTATTTTTTTGTTCAATGCAAAGAAAAGGCTGTTTGTCTCATCTGTCAAGAGACGGTGGCGGTATTCAAAGAATACAATCTTCGCCGACACTATGAATCCCGTCACAAAGACAAGTACGATAGCTTGCAAGGCCAAATACGAGCAGACAAACTCTCAAAGCTAAAAAGTGGACTACTATCTCAGCAGAATACATTTGTACGCCAAGCTCAGCTGAACCAGGCATCCGTTCGGGCCAGCTTTCGGGTTGCTAAACTGATAGCAAGCAGCGGTAAGCCTTTCACTGACGGAGAGTTTGTTAAGAAATGTATGGATGCTGTCGCGGAGGAGGTGTGTCCCGAGAAGAAAGATGCATTTAATGCCGTAAGTCTGTCGGCGAGTACAATCACCAGACGCGTTGAAGAAATCGGGAGTAATGTATATGCCCAGCTGCAGCAGAAGACGAAAGAATTTGACCTTTTTTCATTAGCACTGGATGAGAGCACGGACGTGCAAGACACAGCGCAACTGCTCATTTTTATTCGTGAAGTTAGCGCAAACTTTGAGATATGCGAGGAGCTGGCAGCCCTCCAAAGTCTCAAAGGGACTACAACGGGAGAGGATATTTTTGACAAAGTGTGCCAAACCATGGAGAAGTTGGACCTGGACTGGTCAAAGCTAGCTAGCATCACGACTGACGGGGCTCCTAGCATGGTGGGCGAAACTCGCGGTCTAATAGGACGCATGAACCGGGAGTTGGAAAAAAGGGGTCTCACCGCCCCGCTACGAGTCCACTGCCTAATTCACCAGCAAGCACTGTGCTGCAAAGTGTTGACGTGGGATTCTGTAATGAAGGTTGTGGTGTCGTGCATAAACTTCATCAGAGCAAAGGGACTTAAACACAGGCAGTTCCAATAATTCCTGTCTGAACTGGAGTCTACGCACGGAGATGTGCTGTACTACACAGAGGTCCGATGGCTGAGCCGGGGCAGAGTTTTGAGGCGTTTTTACGAGCTGCTACCCGAAATTAACGCATTTCTTCATTTAAAAGACAAAACGGTCCCAGAGCTGATCGACCCAGAATGGAAATGGCACCTCGCATTTTTAACAGACGTGACAGAAATACTTAACAGCCTTAACTTGCAGCTACAAGGCGAGGGGAAACTCATTTGCGACATGTATTCACACATAAAAGCATTTGAGGTGAAATTAGCGCTGCTTTTGGAACAAGTGAAAAAGCGCAACTTCGTCCATCTTCCTGCTACCCAAAACCTGTCGACAGAGAACCCAGCGGTCCCGTTCCCAGCTGAAAAGTGCGTGGAAGCACTGGAAATGCTGAAGGCGGAGTTCGGTGTGCGATTCAGTGAACTACATGTTCATGCAAAAGAAATCCGTCTTTTTCAGAACCCCTTTGTTGCCGACATTGATGAAGCCCAGCCTTCATATCAGTTTGAGTTGGCTGAGTTACAGAACTGTGATGTTCTGAAAGACGCATTCAAGCCCAACAGTCTCATTGACTTCTATGCCGCCCTCCCAAACGACACATATCCAAACATCAAAAAACACGCAATGAAAATGTCCACAGTTTTTGGCAGCACGTATATCTGCGAGAAAACCTTTTCTCGCATGAAACTGCTGAAAACTCCGATGAGATCAAGATTGACAGATGAACATTTGCATCAGTGCTTGAGACTGGCTGTAACTAGAATGGAACCTGATATTCAACTTCTCACCAGCCAGATGCAGGCCCACAGTTCACACTGATGAACATACATAGGTAAGCTCACTTTTCTGACTTGAATGAGTCATTCTGAGCATAAACAAATATAATCATAATAAAATCTACTGGGATAAAATCCATCTTTACAACCATACTGGTAGTGAAATGTATTGTGCTGTGTAGGTGCTGTATCACTTAGTTCAGTTTCTCAACCTGCTTCCTTTGTGGTTTTCACAGGGAAGTTGATGAGAGAGAGCTGCAAACAGCGGTGTCTACAAGCCTACTGGAACCTACAAAAGGATTATAAGGAAGGAACACAAGAACTTTAAGAGACTGCTCATATGTGTCAGAGAGATTCTGCTCTGACAACTGAGCTGAACTTTTATCTGTTAAGATTGTGCATGGCACAACAGAAAGTTAATGTTCCATGGCTTTTTTTTCTATGAAGAACCCAGAGAGAGTTATTTAGTTATTATTTATTTCATAAATAGTGTTATTTATTTCCTGTTTTTTCTGTGAAGAACTCAGAGAGGGTTATTTAGTTATTATTTATTTCATTAATAGTGTTATTATTTGTTTCCTGACTTTTTTTCTGTAAAGAACCTGGAAAGGGTTATTTGGTTATGTGTGGCTTTCTGGAAAACAATAAATTTTTTAAGCTCCCCTACGATCGTCACACTTTTTCTGTTACAAACTGACACCGGCCCCCCATCAGAGAAGAGAAAAGTTATGTGGCCCTCACAGGAAAAAGTTTGGGGACCCCTGGGTTAGAGGGTTGGTTAGAGGGCTGTAAAACGGCAGCAAAGGACCTTGTGAAGATGCTGGAGGAAACAGGTACAAAAGTATCTATATCCAAAGTAAAACGAGTCCTATATCGACATAACCTGAAAGGCCGCTCAGCAAGGAAGATGCCACTGCTCCAAAACCGCCATAAAAAAGCCAGACTACGGTTTGCAACTGCACATGGGGACAAAGATCGTACTTTTTGGAGAAATGTCCTCTGGTCTGATGAAACAAAAATAGAACTGTTTGGCCATAATGACCATCGGAGGAAAAAGGGGATGACTTGCAAACCGAAGAACACCATCCCAACCGTAAAGCACGGGGGTGGCAGCATCATGCTGTGGGGGTGCTTTGCTGCAGGAGGGACTGGTGCAATTCACAAAATAGATGGAATCATGAGGAAGGAAAATTATGTGGATATATTGAAGCAACATCTCAAGACATCAGTCAGGAAGTTAAAGCTTGGTCGCAAATGGGTCTTCCAAATGGACAATGACCCCAAGCATACTTCCAAAGTTGTGGCAAAATGGCTTAAGGACAACAAAGTCAAGGTATTGGAGTGGCCATCACAAAGCCCTGACCTCAATCCTATAGAACATTTCTGGGCAGAACTGAAAAAGTGTGTGCGGGCAAGGAGGCCTACAAACCTGGCTCAGTTACACCAGCTCTGTCAGGAGGAATGGGCCAAAATTCACCCAACTTATAGGATTAAATGTCAAGAATTATGAAAAACTGAGTTTAAATGTATTTGGCTAAGGTGTATGTCAACTTCCGACTTCAACTGTACATCAGTTTGTATCACTGTATGTCCACCTGGAGTAAAGATCATGAGCTTCATTATTCATCTGCCTACTCTTTTCTTCATTATTCATCTGCCTACTCTTTTCTTCATTATTCATCTGCCTACTCTTTTCTTCATTATTCATCTGCCTACTCTTTTCTTCATTATTCATCTGCCTACTCTTTTCTTAATTATTCTGAGTTGTTATGAGATTATTAAAACGTAAACATATTTTTTTATTTTTAGAGCAAAGAGCAAAGATTGAATTCATGGTTGTTTTCGGATATACCTGGAGATGGGAGACACCAGCCGTTTCTGCAATCACACTGATAAGATCCAGGCAAACCAAAGGAATCCCATGGTCCAAATCATTTTTCATATTCTTACAAATGGTCTCCAGAAGCCTCACAGCTGCTTTAAGGCAAAAGTCCCCATATCTGTCATCATGGCTGAAAACAACATGGTGGTTAGTGATGGTGAACAAGCATTTTATGTCAACCTTGAAACTTGTCATGGTGAGGAGCTGCAAGACTAGTCTGTCTAATCCTTGTGGTAAATAACAGACAATTATCACTTCATGTATTTCAATTTGAATTCCTTTGCTGAACTGATATCTATTCAGATGGAATTGAGAACAACTCTAAATATTGTGTTTGTTTGAGACAGGTGTTACCTGTGCCGTTGTTCCTTAACTTTGCTGAAGAGATGTGACAACAAATCATTCACAGCCTGTCAGTAAAAAGAATGGCGGAAGGTATGACAGAACGGCATTAATGATTTTTGCAAATAACAATGTAAACACACACAAATACAGCGCCTTGCAAAAGTATTCATCCCCCTTGGCGTGTTTCCTATTTTGTTGCATTACAACCTGTAATTTAAATTGATTTTTATTTGGATTTCATGTAATGGACATACACAAAATAGTCCAAATTGGTGAAGTGAAATGAAAAAAATAACTTGTTTCAAAAAAGTCAAAAAAATAAATAACGGAAAGGTGGTGCGTGCATATGTATTCACCCCCTTTGCTATGAATTCCCGAAATAAGATCAAGTGCAACCAATTACCTTCAGAAGTCACATATTTAGTTAAATAAAGTCCACCTTTGTGCAATCTAAGTGTCACATTATCTGTCATATGATCTCAGTATATACAGTTGAAGTCGGAAATTTACATACACCTTAGCCAAATACATTGCAACTCAGTTTTTCACAATTCCTGACATTTAATCCTAGTACAAATTCCCTGTTTTAGGACAGTTAGGATCACCACTTTATTTTAAGAATGTGAAATGTCAGAATAATAGTAGAGAGAATGATTTATTTCAGCTTTTATTTCTTTCATCACATTCCCGGTGGGTCAGAAGTTTACATACACTCAATTAGTATTTGGTAGCATTGCCTTTAAATTGTTTAACTTGGGTCAAATGTTTCGGGTAGCCTTCCACAAGCTTCCCACAATAAGTTGGGTGAATTTTGGCCCATTCCTCCTGACAGAGCTGGTGTAACTGAATCAGGTTTGTAGGCCTCCTTGCTCGCACACGCTTTTTCAGTTCTGCACACACATTTTCTATAAGATTGAGGTCAGGGCTTTGTGATGGCCACTCCAATACCTTGACTTTGTTGTCCTTAAGCCATTTTGCCACAACTTTGGAAGTATGCTTGGAGTCATTGTCCATTTGGAAGACCCATTTGCGACCAAGCTTTAACTTCCTGACTGATGTCTTGAGATGTTGCTTCAATATATCCACATCATTTTCCTTCCTCATGATTCCATCTATTTTGTGAAGTGCACCAGTCCCTCCTGCAGCAAAGCACCCCCACAGAATGATGCTGCCACCCCCGTGCTTCATGGTTGGGATGGTGTTCTTCGGCTTGCAAGCATCACCTTTTTCCTCCAAACATAACGATGGTCATTATGGCCAAACAATTCTATTTTTGTTTCATCAGACCAGAGGACATTTCTCCAAAAAGTATGATCTTTGTCCCCTAATGCAGTTGCAAACAATAGTCTGGCTTTTTTATGGTGGTTTTGGAGCAGTGGCTTCTTCCTTGCTGAGCGGCCTTTCAGGTTATGTCGATATAGGACTCGTTTTACTGTGGATATAGATACTTGTGTACCTGTTTCCTCCAGCATCTTCACAAGGTCCTTTGCTGTTGTTCTGGGATTGATTTGCACTTTTCGCACCAAAGTACGTTCATCTCTAGGAGACAGAACGCATCTCCTTCCTGAGCGGTATGACGGCTGGGTGGTCCCATGGTGTTTATACTTGCGTACTATTGTTTGTACAGATGAACATGGTACCTTCAGGTGTTTGGAAATTTCTCCCAAGAATGAACCAGAATTGTGGAGGTCTGCAATTTCTTTTCTGAGGTCTTGGCTGATTTCTTTTGATTTTCCCATGATGTCAAGCAAAGAGGCACTGAGTTTGAAGGTAGGCCTTGAAATGCATCCACAGGTACACCTCCAATTGACTCAAATTATGTCAATTAGCCTATCAGAAGCTTCTAAAGCCATGACATCATTTTCTGGAATTTTCCAAGCTGTTTAAAGGTACAGTCAACTTAGTGTTTGTAAACTTCTGACCTACTGGAATTGTGATACAGTGAATTATAAGTGAAATAATCTGTCTGTAAACAATTGTTGGAAAAATTACTTGTGTCATGCACAAAGTAGATGTCCTAACCGACTTGGCAAAACTATAGTTTGTTAACAAGAAATTAGTGGAGTGGTTGAAAAACAAGTTTTAATGATTCCAACCTAAGTGTATGTAAACTTCCGACTTCAACTGTAAACACCTGTTCTGAAAGGCCCCAGAGTCTGCAACACCACTAAGCAAGGGGCACCACTAAGCAACCGGCACCATGAAGACCAAGGAGCTCTCCAAACAGGTCAGGGACAAAGTTGTGGAGAAGTACAGATCAGGGTTGGGTTATAAAAAAATATCAGAAACTTTGAACATCCCACGGAGCACCATTAAATCCATTATTAAAAAATGGAAAGAATATGGCACCACAACAAACCTGCCAAGAGAGGGCCGCCCACCAATACTCACGGACCAGGCAAGAACGGCATTAATCAGAGAGGCAACAAAGAGACCAAAGATAACCCTGAAGGAGCTGCAAAGCTCCACAGCGGAGATTGGAGTATCTGTCCATAGGACCACTTTAAGCCGTACACTCCACAGAGCTGGGCTTTACAGAAGAGTGGCCAGAAAAAAGCCATTGCTTAAAGAAAAAAATAAGCAAACACGTTTGGTGTTCGCCAAAAGCCATGTAGGAGACTCCCCAAACATATGGAAGAAGGTACCCTGGTCAGATGAGACTAAAATTGAGCTTTTTAGCCATCAAGGAAACCGCTATGTCTGGCGCAAACCCAACACATCTCATCACCCCGAGAACACCATGTTTTTCATCGGCAGGGACTGGGAAACTGGTCAGAATTTGCACACACTGTATATAGATTTTCTATTGTGTTATTACATTTACATTTATGTCATTTAGCAGACGCTCTTATCCAATTGGTGAGTCGCTCTGGATAAGAGCGTCTGCTAAATGACGTAAATGTGCCCTTGAGCAAGGCACTTAACCCTAATTGCTCCTGTAAGTCGCTCTGGATAAATGACTGCTAAATGACTAAAATGTAATGTAAAATGTAATCCAGAGCGACTTACAAATTGGTGCATTCACCTTATGATAGCCAGTGGGACAACCACTTTACAATTTATTATTTTTTTAACTTTATTTTTAATTTTATTTTTAATTTGTATTATATTTAAAAAATGTATTTCAAATTTTTATATATGTATATTTTTTCGAGTATATTTTTAATTTTCATGTGTTTTATATATATATTGTTTTGTATTTGTATGTTCATTTTGCTTTTTATTTATTTAATTTAGTATCTAATTTTTTCCCTTTTTTATTATTTTATTTTTATTTGTTGGGGGGGTAGGGTATGGGGGGGGGGGGGTAGAAGGATTACTTGTATTCCTTATTGACTGTACGTTTTGTTTATTCCATATGTAACTCTGTGTTGTTGTTGTTTTTACCGCACTGCTTTGCTTTATCTTGGCCAGGTCGCAGTTGTAAATGAGAACTTGTTCTCAACTGGCTTACCTGGTTAAATAAAGGCGAAATACAAATAAAATAAAATAAAAATAATTGAAGGAATGATGGATGGCGCTAAATACAGGGACATTCTTGAGGGAAACCTGTTTCAGTCTTCCAGAGATTTGAGACTGGGACGGAGGTTCACCTTCCAGCAGGACAATGACCCTAAGCATACTGCTAAAGCAACACTCAAGTGGTTTAATGGGAAACATTTAAATGTCTTGGAATGGCCTAGTCAAAGCCCAGACCTCAATCCAATTGAGAATATGTGGTATGACTTAAAGATTGCTGTACACCAGCGGAACCCATCCAACTTGAAGGAGCTGGAGTAGTCCCTGCGGACCTGGCATCTTTTCACTCCCTCCTCTCTACATTTTCTTCCTCTGTTTCCGCTGCTAAAGCCACTTTCTACCACTCTAAATTCCAAGCATCTGCCTCTAACCCTAGGAAGCTCTTTGCCACCTTCTCCTCCCTGCTGAATCCCCCCCCCCCCCCCTCCCTCTCTGTGGATGACTTCGTCAACCATTTTGAAAAGAAGGTTGACGACATCCGATCCTCGTTTGTTAAGTCAAATGACACTGCTGGTCCTGCTCACACTGCCCTACCCTATGCTTTGACTTCTTTCTCCCCTCTCTCTCCAGATGAAATCTTGAGACTTGTGACGGCCGGCCGCCCAACAACCTGCCCACTTGACCCTATCCCCTCCTCTCTTCTCCAGACCATTTCCGGAGACCTTCTCCCTTACCTCACCTCGCTCATCAACTCATCCTTGACCGCTGGCTATGTCCCTTCCGTCTTCAAGAGAGCGAGAGTTGCACCCCTTCTCAAAAAACCTACACTCGATCCCTCCGATGTCAACAACTACAGACCAGTATCCCTTCTTTATTTTATCTCCAAAACTCTTGAGCGTGCCGTCTCTAGCCAACTCTCTTGCTATCTCTCTCAGAATGACCTTCTTGATCCAAACCAGTCAGGTTTCAAGACTGGTCATTCAACTGAGACTGCTCTTCTCTGTGTCACGCACTGCTAAAGCTAACTCTCTCTCCTCTGCTCTTGTCCTTCTAGACCTGTCTGCTGCCTTTGATACTGTGAACCATCAGATCCTCCTCTCCAACCTCTCCGAGTTGGGAATCTCCGGCGCGGCTCACCCTTGGATTGCGTCCTACCTGACAGGTCGCTCCTACCAAGTGGCATGGCAAGAATCTGTCTCCGCACCACGTGCTCTCACCACTGGTGTCTCCCAGGGCTCAGTTCTAGGCCCTCTCCTATGGCTCTGTCATATCCTCACATGGCCTCTCCTATCATTGCTACGCAGACGACACACAACTAATCTTCTCCTTTCCCCCTTCTGATAACTAGGTGGCGAATCACATCTCTGCATGTCTGGCAGACATATCAGTGTGGATGACGGATCACCACCTCAAGCTGAACCTCGGCAAGACGGAGCTGCTCTTCCTCCCGGGGAAGGACTGCCCGTTCCATGATCTCGCCATCACGGTTGACAACTCCGTTGTGTCCTCCTCCCAGAGTGCAAAGAGCCTTGGCGTGACCCTGGACAACACCCTGTCGTTCTCCGCTAACATCAAGGCGGTGACCCGATCCTGTAGGTT